AAACAGTGAAGCCCGTGATTTTGAACTCGTCTTTCAGTTGCAGCGTGTCCTTGCCGACTTCCAGTTCCAAGAACTCGGGACTCAAGTGCAGCTTTAGCTTAGAATCCAGGTTGATGGCCTGCAACAAGTATTTGCCGGATGGCACATTCTTGAAATTATATTCACCAGATTTGTCCAACTGGGAGAAGCACGAAGCTGCTGATTCGTAGGCGCTATTGGCACTATTTGCCGGCGCTGAGGAGGTTTTTTCGCAATTTGGCACTAGAGATTGCTGAAAATAAGTAGTTTTATATTAATAATAATTTACGAAAATGTTATTTTAGAAGCAAATAGAAAATTACTAGAACTTCCTTATCAAAATCTGTGACTCAGGAACCAAAGCTGGTGAAAATGACAGGACTTACTCCTTTCTTTTTGTAGAGAGCCACACCCAGGTTTCCGGGAAGCTGCGTGCTAGAATCGAAGCGGCCGACCACATCGAATCCGGAGACCACAAGTGAGTTGGCCGGCAGCTCGGTGTTACCACTGACGACCACCACGTTGTGCTCCGCCTTGGAGAAGTGCCACCTCGGATGGGAGGCCTTGACTACATAATTCCCGGGAATAATGGGTGTGAAGGAGAAGACGCCGCTGGCATCGCTTTTGGTGCGGCGGACTTCGCCCTGCTCCGATCGCAGTTCCACGTCCACGTCACGGGCTCCGCCGCCGGAGGCGAGGGATACCTGTCCGGTGATTCCGAAGCCCTTGAACACAAAGTTCACGTCGCGACCCTGGCTGCAGACATCCGTCTTGCCGTCAAAGTTCAACTCCACCTGTTCCGGCTCGAAACTCCAACCCGGCGGCGGAGAAATGCTGAGCAAATAGTCGCCCTTATCGTAAATGGGCAGGAAGTAATAACCGTTCGAGGGCGAGCAATCCGTCTTGTCCTTCAGGGATCCCTGCTTGGTCAGTCTGCAGAGAGTGCCAGAATTAGGTTAATCACATACGGGTCGGTTAATTTATTATTCAATTAGCGGCCACCATGCGCCTAGTCTTATCAGGTCATCCCCCTTCGAAGGGAACTGCTACTTACAGCTTGATCTCCACCCGGGAAAAGTCGATGTCGGCGTGGCTCTTGATGAATCCCCCGCAACCGGCGACCTCCACCTCGCCGGCGTTGGCATTTTCGAAAAGTTTAATTAATAAAACTAGGAATACGCCGGAAAAAAACCTCATTTTATTTTTTGACTACGTGCCCAGAGTGACCAGGGCTGCACCTCTACTCGAATGCGGGCGAAAGTGTGACCGTTCAGATATTTTAATCGGCTAACGTTAACATACTAAAAATAAAGTACATTTTTGAATTTAAAAAAATACCGCCAATATACCATTAGAATAACGGTTTTAAAACTCTCTTTTTATATTCAAGTTCCCAAATTAACTGTTCATGAAAATTAATGATTAAATTAATTAATTCAGCGTCTTTTTATTATTATAAAAAAATAAAATAATTAAAAGGAATCTAATAAAAATGTACTCTTAGATTACAGTGATTTATAAAATTATAAGTGTAGGAATCCACTTTCGGATTATAGATATGTAATGACGAAATCATTATTATTTATTATATATTATTTATATTATTTTTATTTAGTTGTCATTTAGACTTCATTTTGTTGGCCCTGCAATACCATTCATCAGGAATTTAAAACCTTTTGTCTGTTACCACCCATTAATAGTATTATCGTTTTAGTTTTGTTATAAAAGAAATGCGATCGCCCGATAAAGTGGATAGCATTATCTTAAAGCTTTTGCCATTTGGCGCCGACATTGAACACACTTTGTGCAAACAGATAATAGCTTGTCGTATATTAATAATCGGAACCAATTTCCATCACCCCAAAGCGAGATAAAGACACACACCCAAATGTACGTACATACATTGTATCTGGATGAGTGTGCGAATATGGTTGCAAAGAAATTCATTTCAAGCATCGTTGGTGCTATTGGGGTGCTTGTCTAATAAATTTCGTCGATGATCGAGATAAACGACTTGCACATAAAGAATCCACAATATGGAAGAACTCTGGGTCCGAGTTCCAGAGTCTCGAATCCACACAAAGCCCAAGAGCTTTGGAGCTCTGACACATGCTGTTCTACAAAGGGGGGAGAATTCATATAATGGAATGACTGTGTGTCTGTACATTTGCAACGTCAATTGCCCGGCATTGACTTTGAAAAGTGCGCCTTGAGATCGTCTTGCTTCTTGCGTATGCTCGATCAAATAAAAACACCTCTTAACGAGGTAAAAAACTAGTGACGATCGCGCCTTCAACATACAAAAGTTCTGATATCAACATTTGTGACGAAAAACTATTACACTCGTCATTAAATAGACTTTCTAATATTTTCTCATTCGGCGGAGCGTTAGTTGTTCGAGCTGGCAAAAGTGGCTATTTTCGTATAAAAATAACTTTTAAACTTTTTACAGTAATGTGTTATATACCAAAATTTAAGGAATCTCAAGGGCTATACAGTTTAAAGTTGTAAGGAAAATCGTTAGAGCCGTTTTTGAGAAAATTGAAAAAAAGCTAAAAAGAAATTTAAAAAAAAAATTCTTTTGTTCATATCTTTTTAACTATTACATTTACACAAATTGCATATGAAGGGCGTTTATAGCATTTAAAAATACCTTTCAAACGAGATGCAGCACAAGTCTGTAGCTTTAGTAGTATAGAATTTACGGAATTCCGAATTTTAGCTATTTATAGCTGTTTTCCCGCTAAACTAGCGAGTTTTTCCAAAAGTGGTGGAACAAAAGTTTTTTATATCGATGTGATGAACGTCATATCAAATTTTCAAAACTTAAAAAACATGTTTTGGACAAACTGACAAACTGACAAACAGAATTAAATTTTCATTTTGGGAAGACGAAGAAAATCTTATTTTGGCTCATTCATTGACCCCTCATTCGACGGGTATTTTCAAAAGGAACACAACTAAAACATTTCGAGGGGGCATTTATCCCCACCGGCCCCAACAGCTCCAAATTTCGAAATTTTTACTTTCACCGCTCTCTCTCCCAAGCCAATTGATTTTCTTAAAGTCTTGGTATGCAATCCTGTTAGTTTTCGCTATACCTTTCGATAGGTGTATCAATTATTATGATCGGACCATCACAGTAGATTTTCATTTCTTCGTGTATATATAGTAGTCGCCTTCGCACACTCTCCTGGTGCGCTTCGTCACTACATGGACTGCCGTCCATAGTGATTAAGTGAGTCTCGGGCTAACCCTCTGAGTAAACACGTAAAATATGTAGGTATATGGATCTTCTCGTAAGCATTAATCGAAAATATGTTAAATTCAATTACATATTCAGATAAATATTTATATTTTCTAAACATTATCATGTTTTCAAATTTAGATTATTTTGAAGTTATCTACATACATACAATGATTAAATTAAAAATATATTTCATAGATAATAACTATAATTTTAGTATTGCATATTTTTGTTATAACAACAATTTTTGGAATACCGTTGAATTAAATTAACTTAAAATAACCTTTAACTAAGAAAAAGATTTAGATTAATGGGTTAATGGTAGCACCGGAAGCGTGTGCTACTCCGCTCCCCGTTGGTTTGGCCTGAAGTCTACCTGTGGCTACCTGTCGTCGCCGTCGATTCAAAACTAATTAGCGTCGGCATTTGCATCTTTCCCGATTTTCTAAGGGTGTCGGTCAGATTTACGATATGGCTGTTTTTGGCAGCCAGCCGGACAGACAGATTGTCGCGACGGTGGCAGATCGGATCGGATCAGCATTATGTATTCGGTTTATGGCTTCCCTGCGTTTCCCGCAATTAGAACCCGTACTTAGACATGGCGGTGATAAGCCGACGAGCACACTAAGTAATAATTAATACGATTTTAATGAAATGCTAAAAGTTCAGTGGGCTTATCTATGGGTTTTGTCAACGATGCGACGGTTTTCGGAGCTCAATTAGCTGCGCTTCGCGAATCGAAGATCGGGGATCCGTTTAATGCCAGAGTCACAAGGGGAGCTCAACAAAGCAAGCCACACAAAAAAGAAACCTTAGGGATGTGAAACCCAACCGCGTACAGTGGTGCAGATTTCAATAAGCAATCAAGCAACCCCTATTGAAGCCCAGGGGGAGGTTTTAAGTACACAAAACACATAAAAAGAAATAAAAGAATCAATGAAAAACACTGCGCAAAAAGTCAAACACGCTTTGCTACTTACATGTGATCGCCATATGGATAATGGAAATCGAATCGAATCGTACAGTAGATCTTGGTTAAGGAAACATTGGAAAATGGGAAAGCGATATTTTCAAGATAATAACATCAAATTCATAAAATGTAATTCGAAAATGATCTTTCTTAACTGAACCACTGTAAAATATATATTTACATATATCGTCTTATAAAGCGTATAAGCTATTTTTTTAAAAAACTTTATTTATTTTTAATAAATTTAAATTTAAACGCATTATCGTCGGCCGATTTCAACAATAAAAGAATGAAACAATTAAAATAAAATACCTCAAACAGCGTTAAGCGACTATCGCTATTTCATTCAAATTAGCATGACTCGACTTTCTTTAGAACTAAAACCAAACGTATTCGTAATCAGTTTCCCAAAATACATTGATTCTGAAAATTAGGAATTTATCTAAGATCTGTGCTAGTTGTAAGTTTATCCTTTAAAATTGCTTAATGCGTTTCTTCTTATTTTTTTTAACCAGGGTCCACTGTACCACCAGAAACACCACCCCCGGGAGAGTTGCCAAAAATTAATTACACAAAGTAAATAGCGCAGGCGCCCTTAAGTATGCCCCGCATCCTCGACGTGCGGAAGAGCGAGACGTGCAGAGTTGCTCTATCCCCCTCGCTCTCCTGCCTGCTCGCACATGAGAAAGCAAGTGCCGTTCGTTCGCTCAGTTCAGTTCCCGTTCTCAATTCATATCACCATATTCATTCTCTTTCGAACCGCCGACGCGAACGGACGTTCAAAAAAACCGGTAAAATCTGAGATCGAGAGCAAGCGCGTGCGTGCCTGCCAAGCAGAAAAAGCTAACCGTTTCAGTTAACTACCAAGATCGAATTTCGCCATCGGGCAATTACTAAAAATAAGTGCAGCTCGTCAACATTGTGTTTTGCTTGGCTTTTATCGCAGACAAGAACTGATAAAACGAGAAAGATATCTCGCGAAACTCGTTCTCGCAGATCTCTTGTGCAAATTGGCGTTCGCGGAAGGGAAAAACAAGCAGCAGCGCGAAGAAAATCCGCCCGTCTAGACAAAGAATATATCATCTCTCAAAAGGGCAGCAGCCCGAGTGGTTTATCTATATTGTAGATGTTACAGCTTATCATCTTTCTGTGAGGGTGTTTTGAGATACATATATAAAAAAATACAGTGTACATAGTGCGACAAAGCTCGAGTGGGAACAGCTGTCGAGTGCCCTTGAGTGGGCGGGCAAGATCGTCATTAATATCATCCGTATCTGAAGGCCCCGGCCGCTCTAAGATCCGCAGTGTTCATCAATTATGACCGCCGAGACCCTCAAGCCGTTTATAACGCCAACGAGTGCCAACGATGGTTTTCCGGCCAAAGCGACCAGTGCGGCGACCGCCCAGCGACGCACCCGCCAGATGATCCCCTTTGTTTTGGGGTTCATCGGTCTCGGTCTGGTCATTGCCATTCTCGCTCTAACGGTAAGTTCATAGGGTAGGTCAACAGATCTATTTTGGCTGAAGATATTCTAACCTATTAATTGCACTACTTTACGTACCAAATATACTCTTATCTGCTGCAAAGCAATATGTAAATATGTATAAGCCAAAACGTTTTTTTAGGAAGCGGCCATAAGTAAGACCAATATATAAAAACATTTATGCAAGATTTCAACAAGGCTTAATAATTTTTTTTATTTAATTAAAAAACAAGAAAGGAAGCTAGCTTCGGCCAGCCGAAGCTTATATACCCTTGCAGATCATTCCTATTAATTAACAAATCGCAAAAATGTTCAATTTTCTAATATTTCTCATTAATTTTCCGCTCGTTCCTATGGCAGCTATATGATATAGTCGTCCGATTTTGATCAAATTAAAATTAAAATTTGGAAATATTTAAAAAGAGTCATATCCTAGAGTAGAAGATAATACAATAAAAACCAAAGAAGCTAGAATTTATTTCCTATTACTTTTCCATTAATTTTCCGATCGTTCCTATGGCAGCTATATGATATAGTAGTCCGATTTTTTAAATAATTAATTCGAAATTCAGAAATAATTAAAAAATAACATCCCCAAAAGTAGAAGGTAATATTTCAAAAAACACCGAAGCTAGAATTTTTTAAAGTTTTTTTTTTCCGATTGTTCCTATGGGAGCTATAAGATATAGTTGTCCGATCCGGTCGACTCCGACATATATACTACCTGCAATAGAAAGAAGACTTTTGGGAAAGTTTTATCCCGATAGCTCAAAAACTGAGAGACTAGTTTGCGTAGAAACAGACAGACGGACAGACGGACAGACGGTCAGACGGTCAGACGGACAGACGGACAGACGGACAGACGGACATGGCTAGATCGACTCGTCTTGTGATGCTGATCAAAAATATATATACTTTATGGGGTCGGAAACGTCTCCTTCACTGCGTTGCAAACTTCTGACTGAAATCATAATACCCTCTGCAAGGGTATAAATATATGTATTTGTTATATTTGTTTAAATTAGTTTTCGTTTTATTTGTACAGCTAACGTTTCCAGTCATGACAATAAATTACAATATTTTACAAACTTTTCGGGGTGTCATAAAATGTTCTACTACCGTATTAATGTACGTAGGACATTTACCAAAGAGATTTCAGTGTTACCCCCGATTGTAGTCATTTTTAATAACTTTTCTATATCTAAGTACCCTAGATAAGGCTTCCAGCCATTTAGCAAAATAAATGTAGGTTTCTAAACAAAAACGCTTTGTTTGTATTTCTAGAATAGAAGTGTAAATAATCTTAGCATGCTAACTGCAGTTATAAAGTTAAAACGAAGATTATAATTAATCGTTTTTACAGTAATAGAGCAATGCCATATCAAAATACTTCTTGTTACCGTGTGACAATCAAAGATTCGCCGGAATTCCAAAGGCGTGGGGATATCAGTTATGGTTGGGTGTTTTCCCAGAATAAAGATATGAATGAATCGTTGAATTGGCTATGTTGTTAAATGGTATTTTCGGAGCCAAACTGGAGCACATATCATTAACCATTTAATGTGATTTTTTAAAACAGTTAAACAATGACTACAAGTTATTGCGCCATATTGAGCAAGTATCATTAACCATTTAATGTGATTTTTTAAAACAGTTAAAACAATGACTACTAGTTATTGTGCCATTATCACCCACTTGATAAGAGTTACTTTAAAAAGGTTTTAAATATAATTCCTAGGATGGTTTATTTTGGTAGTTAATTCACATAATTTACGATTTCGACTACGTGTTATGTGTTATCTGTCTGGAACGAGTTTTCTTTTTAATTTGGAAACAAGATTTTACCGGTAAAGGCAAAAAGAAGAGATCATATAGCCATGAACTGCCTTATAGACTCTGAACAGACTCCTATTCTTCGGAAATGTTTATTTCAGTAGCTTGCGAAAATAAATTACGAATAAATATAAATGCAAATTGGACTTTAACAAACATACCACATATATAGACACCCCCGAAATCGCAATCTAAAAATGAATATTTAACCTCTGGCACGCTTCTGCTTATAGAGCTGTTTGTCACAAAGTCTTTGTTGATGCCAAATTAAATACGAAATTCCCCAGATGCATAAATTGAAATGAAAACAGATTTTATGATCCGTGACCGTCGCAGATGCGTTAACTATAATTTGGCATGGAACTATATTTAGAACAGAAAAGTCGCCGGCTTCTTGGCTGATCAAGCGATGTCATCACCGACACGTCTTTGGGCCAAATCGGTTTCTAATGATCCAGCTAATCCAAATAAAGCGGATGCAGATGGTAGAGAGTTGTTTATCGGTACATGTCTGTTTTGTTTTTGTTGAACCAATTTAAATGCCACTGGGGATTGTTCTGGTGTGCATTCGAAAACCGATAAATCTTTGACTGGGATGTTGGGTTGTTGGATCATGCTTTTTCTTTTCGCTGGTAACTTTGAAAATGACTCTGCACGCTGAAAGGCGGATTTGAATTGCAAAAATTAAGATTCTAGATCTGAATCGGCCGCTTCCCTAGAAGTCCCACATGACCCACTCAACTTTGGATTAAGTGAACGGAAATCGTACAATTGACTTGTAAATGATTGGCTTCAGCCACTGACGTGGGCCACAAGTTTTGTTTTCCCCATAAATCTCTGTTAAGACTTCAAGTTGTTCTGTGTTTAATTCAATTTTGCTGCCCCTTCCATATCCTGACATCCAATCGCAGTGACCGCAACGCAGTTGACCCTCATCATCTGGAGGCCTCTGTGAAAGTGACACACTGCAGGCGCTACGATCGATCTACAGATCGGTCGATAAGCCCTAATGGAAAGTGGTTTACTGGAATCCGAAACACGAGCCTCAAACAAGTTTCTTGTCCATAATTTATACAAGAATTCAGTACAAGTTTTTATTTGTACCTACGTATGTATATTTTCCCCCCGTCTGCGCACAGTGGCTTAAGTTGAGCCATTCTTTTTTGATTTCGGGTGGCAGTCGAAAAATGAGAAGTGTCTGTATATAAGGCCTCTGCACGGCCCGAATGTTAATGATCCATTAAGCAGATTATGTGCCTGAGTGGCGAAGTGTCGGTACCTCGGCGTATTTCCCCACAAAATCTCTCTCAGCTCGTCTCGTCTCGCCTTTATCTGTTTGTTCAGTTATTTTTTATATATTTTCGGGTGGTAAAAGTTCGCGGCACTGGGTGTTATATGATGTGCTGGGCCCGAGCAGACACTATAAATGTTTGATTGAGGCTTATTAAATTGATTGCCAAAGTGATAATGACTTGATAATTAAAATCGAGTTCAGAATAGTCTAAACAATTGAATTTTATTCCAGATCTGGCAGACATCGCGGGTCACGCAGCTGGACAAGGAGTTGAAGAGTCTGAAGCGAGTCGTCGATAATCTCCAACAGCGATTGGGCATTAACTATCTGGATGAGTTTGACGAGTTCCAAAAGGAGGTGAGCCATTGTATAAATTACTCTTAAGCACCATCTATTTATCTATGGGCGGAGTGTAACATTTGTCTGCGGCAAATAAAGATCTCTCGCATTGTTTACAAAGTCGGAAATGATTTCGTTATTCCCAGAGGCAGTTATTGAGTGATTATTAGGCCATCGCTAAACTATTTGTTTTCGTGTTTAATATTAGCCAATTTTAAATAACATTATCTGGCATTTGTTTATACCCAATATCTTATAAGGTATTTCCTAGTTCGTATAGCAAGCGCTTCACTTTTAAAAAGAATGCCTCAAAAAATACCCAGACATTTTTTGTGGTTATTGTGTGGGACATACAGATATATTTTTAGAAATATGTGCTAAAATATAATTTCGGAGCGAATTCATCTGTTTTTCTTCTTTATTTTTTTCTTAGACGCTTTTCAAAAAGCCTGTGGGTATTGTGATACATTAATTTTATTATAATGTCTCTTTCCCCAGAGAAACACTCAATTAAAGTATGATATACATTTGGTTTGGACGAGGCGCCAGCCGGTCCAAGTAATTTATGGGATACAAATCCTCAAGTGACAAAAGGCAAAAGCCCCAATAATTCAGGAAAAGTACCAGGCTCTATCCGTAAATATAGTCGTCCAAGGCGAGCGATTGCTTTTGGCTTTATGTGACGATTGATCGGATCTCATCAAATGGCCTAATGGCCAGAGATCGTTTCAAGATTTTAAGATTTATTTATATTTTGATGGCTGGGCATCTGTATAGGCAATTCGCTTGAGAGTCTTTTCGCTTTTGAATATGTTTTTATATATGTGTATATATTATGTCTTTGAGGGAGGCGCCATCAATTAGGATGATGACGAAACAGCTTTTGCCGCGGGCGTGTGTCTAAAAATGAACGTCCCAAATGAATGCGAGATATATATGAGCCAGGACTGTGCCAGCTGCAGTCACGTACTTGGCCAAGTGTTCTGACCCAAAATGCTGACCCCATCCCATCTCTTCGTTGCAGTACGAGAATGCGCTCATCGACTATCCGAAAAAGGTGGATGGCCTTACGGACGACGAGGACGATGATGACGACGATGATGGTCTGGATCCCATTGCAGATGGGGAGGAGGACGACGATAGCTATGGCTCTGAAGATGATGGCATCACTGATTACGAGGACTACGCCGATATGTTAAACAAGCTGCACAATGCACACTCTGAAACGACCACGCCCACATCCGCGACCACAGCAGAGGGCGATGGCGAAACGGACAGTGCCTCCTCCGCCTCGAATGATGACAATGTTTTCGAAGACTTCACAAGCTATAACGCCCACAAAAAGAAGAAGGAGAGGTGAGAACGACGCGCATTTTCATGTGTTACACATATTTAACATAATATTGGATTTACCCCAACACAGAAAATCTCGCTCGATTGCCGATGTACGCAATGAGCAGCAGAATGTTCAGGGAAATCACACGGAGCTGCAGGAAAAGTCATCCACGGAGGCTGTTTCCAAGGAGAGGTGAGAAATATAATATACACAAGTGAGATTGTTATAGTGGAGCACCCCGACTATCAGATACCCGATACTAAGCTGAAGAAAAAGTAATGCTTGCTTCTACTATTCGATAGGTATTAATAAACACAACCAATTAGCCAGCCGAAGCTTATATACCCTTGCAGATCATTCCTATTAAAATACAATTTTGACTTAAATTTAATTCGAAATTCTAAAACTTTAAAAAATGAGTAGAAGAGATTATTCTTATGGAAGCTATATGATATCGTAGACCGATCCGGCTGGTTCCGAGTCGGAACTTCCGACTTATATACTACCTGCAAAAGAAAGAAGACAACTTCAAAACTATGAGACTAGTTCGCGTAGAAACTGATAGACGATCGGACAGAGCGACAGACATACGCACAGACGGGCATGGCTATATCGCGTCGAAAATTCTTCCGTCTACCTGTTACATATTGCCCGACGAATACAATACACCCTTTTACTTTACGACTAATGGGTACACAATTTATATATAATATAAAAATAAATAACATATCTTATTATATTTACCAATACTAAAATAGTTAAATTATTTTTATTTATATTTATATTAATGGTAGGTACATAAAAACGATTTAAAGAAAAATAAAAACAATTATTTATAACTTTATATTTACCCACCAAAGTAGCTAACTATAAAACTATTTCTTTAATCTACTTCTACAGCTCATCTGCACTTCACCATCGTCGCAGAATGCATTCCCGCCATCGTCGCCTGTTGGTCCGCAAAGGTGCGTAGTCAAGAAATGCGAAATACAATTGGCAGAAAACGAATTCCAAATCTCTATTCGCACCTCTGTTAATTCGCAGGTGACTCTCTTATTTCAGCCAGATCCGAGGATTCGAAACCAGCCGCCCATTTCCACCTGAGCAGCAGAAGGCGACACCAAGGAAGCACGGGTAGGAATCTTTACTTGATGAACCTTTCCTCTCCAGTCAATTTCATAAATTTCCCTCTTAACATCTTCAGGTTATCATGGAGACATGTATATAGGAAATGATAATGAGAATAACGCTTATCAAGGACACTTTCAAGCGCGCGACGGCGTTTTGACTGTGACCAATCCCGGCCTATATTACGTATACGCCCAGATATGCTACAACAATTCGCACGACCAGAACGGGTTCATCGTCTTCCAAGGGGACACTCCCTTCCTGCAGTGCCTGAACACGGTGCCCACCAACATGCCCAATAAGGTGCACACCTGCCACACCAGTGGACTGATCCACCTGGAACGGAACGAGCGGATCCACCTGAAGGACATTCACAACGATCGCAATGCCGTTCTACGGGAGGCGAACAACAGAAGCTACTTTGGCATCTTCAAGGTGTAGAAACGAGAGAGATTATCCCTGGTCAAAAGAAATAGAACCAGCCTAAGCTTTAGTAGTCCCCGCGACAGCTCGTGAATGCGATTCATCGCCAGCGTGGATCCATTAGTTGATAGTCCCTAGTCTTAGTCACTCATAACCTAATCTCAATCTGAATCACGCACACTGCAACGATGAGGCAGAAACCGCATGAAATCATATTTATTTTGTATATACTCCTTCGACTTTAATTATACGATGAAAAAGTGAATAAATCTCTTGTGTATCTTTAGCGGAATTTCAATGAAATGTGGGAAAAATTGTTTGCAATGACTTGTGTGGGTAATTAAAATTATTATTACTAATCTTCGCGATTACAGCTTGACACTCTTTATTATTCAAGGGAATTTGGATTAATATACTGCAATCATGCGCGTTGTTTTGATTGTACGCAGGGTCCTAATTGAAATTCCAGCTCACGATGTGCTTTATTAAAAATTGTAAAAAGAATTTCGTCAAAGGGAAGGAGAATCGCATTGCAGCTAGATAATATCCGGACCGGGAGTGGTGCCGCAGCTTTAGCTCCTGTCCCGGGCAGCATCTGCATCATCGTCATGGAAACCGCAGGAAAGCATCGCCCACTCCCTTTTCACCAGGCACCTGGACACCAGCACCAACAACAGCCCACCTGTTCCCGGAAATCGGAACTCGGACAATTGGACCTTCGAGGAGGGGAAAGAATGACGGAGATTGACAGGTTCCAAAAGTACAGTCATCAGTACATGCATAAATCACGCATGCACGTTACAAGTACATGAAAACATTAAGGTGGTATTGTTGTGATAAGCTTGATTGCTCAAATAATCAATTACTCAAACGTAAAGCTGTCCTTCTATTTTAGTTGACAATTAAACAGAACTGAATTGATAACACATTAATTAAGATGTTTTTTTTTTAGATTTCACTTATGAAATATTTAAAAACATGTTTTTGACCTAAATATATTTAAAACACAAAAAAAGAAACTGACCTGTTGCTCACATTTTGAGCATTTCAAGTGAATATTGATACCACATAACGTAAAATCGATCATCGCTTTATATCAAGTTTTTTTTGAGTGTAGACATATTGAACTTGGTCTCTCTTGTTTAGCCGATACAAAAATATTTTTGGCGTCCTCAAGGCGTCATTATTTTGTTAACAATTGCAATTTAAGTGGGATTATGGTCCAGTTACGTCCGCCCCAAAGTCAAAAGTCGAGTTCCCGTCTAAGAGGACATCGCCGGAAATAATTGTATGGCGAATGCAGCCCGATTGACGGGCGGGTGGAGTAACAGGTGGCTGGAAAAGGCTCCTGCTGATGGGGAGCAACAGTTCGTTCCCGGAATAAGTATGTGCTTTCGGCCTGGCCAGAACAGAACGTGTGTACATAATCCCCAGCTGCAGCTCCGTCACATGTTCCTGGCCATGCGCACTCAGACCCAAAATCGCTGGGGAAATGGCAGACAGTCGGCCGGGGAGCTTTCGTTTATTTACCTGACTATTCCCTTATTGCCCCTTGATAATATCCGTATCGAAGTGCATTTATTTCGGATGCAGAGCCAGATAATTTGCAGTTCGATTCTGGTTTCGGTGCAGTGCGGTTGAGATTTTATTCCGTGTTGCAAGGGCTTTGACTGGCCGATCTGCAAGGATTGAGTGGGCCGGAATGGTAAGTCAACAGTTGTATGTGGGTGGCGTCCGTAAAAAGTACAGTCATTCAGGCAGTCAACAAGTGGCAATAAAATAGAGTTTTGGGAATTGGAAAAGTACATTTTTGAAAGATTTATTGTAAAATTGAATTACCAAGACATATTTATACCCGTTACTCGTAGAAAAATGGGGTATATTGTATTCGTGTAAAAGTATGTAACAGGGAGAAAGAAGCGTTTTTACCCTCATTAAGTATCTATATTCTTGATCAGGATTACTAGCCGAGTCGATCTAGCCATGTCCGTTACAGTCAGACGGAAACTACAAAAGCTAGAAAGTTGGGATTACCCACACATATTCTTGGGCTTCCTACGCAGCGCAAGTTTATTTCAGCCGAGCGCCACGCCCTATCTAACACCCACAAACGCCCACAAACTATTTTAAAAAGTGTCTGGCGCCCACATTTTTAAAGATTTTGGAGAAGTATAAATTCAATTTTGTTGTGTTTATTTATACATATCGAAATGTAGAATAAATTTTTCAAATCGGACCATTCGTTAAAAAGTTATGCTCGTTCAAAGTTTTATATCTCCATCTCCCTCGCAATCCCTTTAGCAGAGTAATGGGTATCTGATAGTCGCGTACCCCGACTGTTTTAGTTGATTATGAGTTGAATAACTTAAGGGGGAAACTCATATGGACACATATTCTTGTGTATCTCCATCCAGATTATATTACTCAAGATTTCCCAAAGATTACAGTGAAATTTTAAAAGAGTCATGCTCACAGATATACATCTAGAGATCGTTTAAGTTAAAAGTGACTTATTTCGGGCTTTCAAGAGGTTACTCCTTCTTCTCGCCCAACTTGGCTTGAATCTCGTTGAGGGTCTTGCCCTTCGTCTCGGGGATCAGAAAGAGTACAAAGAAAAAGGCGCATACTGCGAAAGCTAAGAAAATTCCAAAGCAGCCTGTGGCTCCGATATGCACATTTAAAACGGGAAATAGCAAAGTGACGAGGAAGGCACACATCCAATTCATAGTTCCGGCTATCGAACCAGCCAGCGGCTTAACGTCCTCCGCGAACAGCTCGGCCATCATGACCCAGGGAATGGGTCCGAATCCCACCGAGAAGCCGATGATGAAAATGCAGACGGCCATCAGGGCCAGCCAGCCGACTCCAGACATCATCAGCAGGGCGAAGTAAAGGGTCATGATCAGGGTGCTTATGGCCATCATGGCAGAGGAGATCAGGAGCAGTATCTTGCGTCCCAGCTTCTCGATCAATAAGATTGAGATCATCGTGGCCACCACCTGCACAATGCCAACTATAATCGTCGAGTATCGGGGTTCCAGAGTAGATCCCGCCGACTGAAAGATGAATGTGGTGTAGAACAGGATCGCATTGATGCCGGTCATCTGCTGGAAAACCATGAGCATGATGGACAGGAAGAGGCCCTTGATTGTAACCTTCCGGCAGAGCAATTTCCTAGCGCTGGTCTTCTCCTTTTGGGCCTCCGCGGTTATGTCCCTCAGCTCACCGCTCACATCGGCATCCTTGCCGCGCAGGAACTTCAGTGACTTCTCCGCCTTCTCGGTCTTGCCCTTTTGGGCCAGATAGACCGGCGATTCCGGCATAAACATCATTATCAGAAAGTAGATTATCGGCAAAATGGAGCAGGCGATGCTGAAGTAAAGGTTGTTCGCGAAGGCCCCGACGATAAAGGCGTACAGAATCCCATTGACGATGAGCAGCTGGAAGAAGCAGCCCAAGATGCCGCGGTACTGGAGCTCTGCGATTTCGGTGGAGTACATGGGTCCTGCCACGCAGAACGCTCCTCCGCAGAATCCGGCTATGAAGCGTCCGATCAGCAGCATTGATATGTGCACCGCCAGGATGATCAGCAGCCAACCGATGAAGAACGGTGGCAACAGACTCAGCATCGTCGTCTTCCTCCCGATCTTCCCAATGAGCATGCCCACCGGAATGCAGGAGAAGGCTGCTCCCAGCGTCATCAGGGATCCCACGAGGCCCCATTCAGTTGTGTTCGGCTCAAAGCTGTAGGCCCCGAAGTACTTGATTTCCATCTCCACAGGTCCCGACCATCCGATCACTGCCCCCAGGCAAAAGGCGCCCATAGCGCCAATAAAGCCCACTACAAACTGCGTTGCCTTGCCCATTTTTAAAAGATTGTATAAATTGTATCAACTTACAAATTTGTATTGAATTGTACGAATTGTATCTACTTTAATTTTAATTTTAGAAAGTAAATAAAAGGAACAATCTATATAGAATAAGTTGAATTAGCATGTCAAAGCCAACTTATCAGGGGTGTCACAGAAATCTCTTCCAAGCAAACCGCCGTCAAAACCGTCGACGCTGAAATATCTTAGGTATTTACAATTATTCTGTAACACTTCATTAATATAAAAAAAACAAGAGAGAACGCTATGGTCGTGTTTGGTGTCCCGCTATAAAACTAATTTTGGTTTTTAGGCGTGAATTTTAACGAAGCCATTTATGACAGCATTTTTTGGTTTTTCCGACTTTTTCAACTTTAACAAATTGTAGCTTCTAAACTAATGAATGAATCTCAATGCTGTGTATAAGAAAGTTAGAGGGCATTCCTGTAAAATTACCTGTAAAATGAGTCTTCGATGGCCAAAATAGGTTAATCCCAGCTCGAGTTAGAAATTAAAATAACGTCAAAAACGTTTTTTACACTTTAAAAAAATTGGTACCATATAAAAAATTGTAAGTGCCCATTTCTTAGTCAGAAAAACAGAAAATAAAGGTTTCATCAAGTGCGTATTTAATCAATTTTTTTGTAAACTGGTGTAATTAATATTTTTATTTTTATACCCTTGTAGAGGGTATTATAATTTCAGTCAGATGTTTGCAACGCAGTGAAGGAGACGTTTCCGACCACATAAAGTATATATATTCTTGATCAGCACCAATAGCCGAGTCTATCCAGCCATGTCCGTCTGTCCGTCTGTCCGTCTGTCCGTCTGTCCGTCTGTCCGTTTCTATGCGAACTAGTCTCTCAGTTTTAAAGCTATCGCGATGAAACTTTCCCGAAGGTCTTCTTTCTATTGCAGGTAGTACATATGTCGGAGCCAGCCGGATCGGACCACTATATCTTAAGGCTCCCAAACAAATATAAGAAAATTCATTGTAACTTTGTAGGAAGTAGACGTTTTGATTCTTGACTACTTAAAAACAAAATTGAAATAAATCGAAACGCTGAATCTGGAATCCCTGGAACTGCACCGAGTGAGTATTCTTTTATCTACAAGGGTATATAAGCTTCGGCTGGCCGAAGGTAGCTTCCTTTCTTGTTTAATGTCAAAAATATCCCTCTTTTTTCTTAGATAAAACCCAATTGGTAAAAAAATACACGTTTTTTCACTCTGGACCACAAATTAATTTCTCTTGTTTTTTATACCCGTTACTCGTAGAGTAAAAGGGTATATTGTATTCGTGCAAAAGTATGTAACAGGTAGGAGGAAGCGTTTCCGACCTAAAAAAGTATATATATTCTTGATCAGGGTAACAAGCCGAGTCGATCTAACCATGTCTGTCTGTTCGTCTGTCTGTCTGTCTGTCCGTATGAACGCCGAGATCTCGGAAACTACAAAAGCTTCCTACGCAGTTCAAGTTTGTTTCAGCCGAGGGCCACGCCCCCTCTAACGCCCACAATCGCATTAAACTATTTTAAAAGGTGTCTGGCGCCCACACCTTTAAAGATTTCGGAAAAGTAAAAGTGCAGTTTTATAGTCGGAGCACACGACTATAGCGTTCTCTCTTGTTATCTTCAAAATATTTTAGTACTTATAAAGTATCTTTTAGAGTTTGTTAAAATGTTGATTGTAATCGTTTGATAAACTAAAATTCAAAATCAAAATGGTATTGCAAAATGGTTTTTCAGTGTCTTTCAACAAAGCTTGGCTGCAGCTGAAAGCTTTCTCTCTGTTCTCCCTCCTTTCTTCTTCCCCTTTTCCACCACCCACACACGAGGACGGAGCTCTCGCCGAGCTTCGGGTCCCGTCGGTCCTCGCGGGTCCTGTATAAAACATGGAAGCTCCAGAGACTGGCCGACACTCTTGGTTCCGCCTTGGCTGAGCACAGAGGTGGGTACAGTGGCTACTGGCTGGCAGCGACGAGCGTTTCATTTGTGGTGCTGGCGTAGGCGTGACGCCATGTTGTGAAAAGTGTCTGGCAAAAAGTGAAAAATTCGCACGGAAAACTGCACTCGAGCGTCGCGAAAACAAAAAGAATATCCAAAGCGATCCAAGTGAGTTAAGAGTTGAGTGCAACATTTTCGGGCAGTGTTTGTGCGCCGTCGGAGGGGTGAAAATTACGCAAATGTTGCAAAGGATTTTCCGTTTCCATTGATTTCGCTGGTGGGCGTGAGCATACATATAGATATATTTTTATGCGTGGGAGAAACAAGCAGAGGCTAAATAATTGCGTATATTTCATTTGCAACTCTCTGTTTTCACTAATTGGACAATGGAACTGATGAATTGTTTGTTGGCCTGTTGACAAAATACCTCGGGCAGTTCCCTGAATAAATGATACATACACACGCTCGCAGAAACTTGGCTAACAAGTTGGTAACTGGCCCGAGGACAGGACATCTCCTTCGTTGGCTTTAAATATTTAAAGGCAGAAAGCTTTTCCTGGCCCCTAATTAGCCTCTTCCTCTGCCGACAGAATGCATTTACTTAGTCGCCGGACAACAGCCCGATTCAATTTGTCCCAATTTTCACAAAAAGAGGATCTGGTTTATATGTACGTTTTATGTGTGTATGTATAGAATAGTAGTATCCATGGTTGCTGCGACAAATTCAATTAGGGCGCTAATTTAAATGCCCTGCTGGGTCGCATTTGTTCGGTCTGGAAATCTGATTGCCGGGGAAGAAGAGCCTGTTCAGCTGAAACTCAATACATTATTAGCACTGACTCCGTTTGATGTAGGAAACGCAAGACGACAAGGGCATCAATCAATATTAATCATACGCCCCGTGCCACTCTAGATGTGGCGGTCCCCTAACCCGTACTTCTTAGTGTCTTTATTTCTTTGAATCAAGCAACATGGGTATGTTGTGGAGTAAGAATATACTGTTATATGAATTTATGGGCTTAAAAACAATAAGTTTATATTAATCATACGCCCTGCTCGCCACTCAAACTTGTTTTAGTTGAAATAAAAAATGATTTTTCTTACTAATTAATTTTACCGCAAAACTTATTTGTTATTAAATTAATAGTTATTCTTGACAGCATAACTAACTTTGTTATTAAAATTGGATTACTACGTACAGTTTTTATATAGCTTTAAACACTGTTTTTAATGCTATAGTTTCAATAAAAAACTCAACCCATTTAGAAACAAATTAGGAATTCACAATTTGTATTAAAAGATAAATGTTTCAGTAAGGCAATAGTAATACAATTTGGGGAAGTTAGAGTTTCTAAATAAAATAAAAACCAATAGAGCAGCAACAGATTGAGCGATAATGATACAGAGTTGCTACTACTAATTTCTCTGTACAATTTAAATGCTGTATACGTTTATGGGGACCGCATCACCCCGAGCAACAGGCAAGTGTCCTGCCAGCACCATTGCGATTGGAGGGAAATGAAATCTGCTTTATGCAGCTGCGTTTAATCTGGATTAAAGCGAAGGCACAGACACAAAAACATCAACAACTAGGGGACTCGTTTCCTTAGACAAAAGCCAGCCAAGCAGCAATAATACAATGAAAGGGGCAGCAACGAGCCAAACAGCTGCAGGCGAGACGCAAATAGGGTTCTTCACCAGAGCGGGAGTGGCCATAGAAAAGCGCAGGAAAAACCGAAAGAAAAGCGAATGAAAAGCGACGGCTGCGTCTGCGGCTGCCTTGACATTTAATGGGGGGTGTGGAAATGAAAAGCAAGCGTGGCCACAGGTACGAGATAAGTGGGAAGAACTATGGAGCCAAGTGGTGGTGGGAGGCACGATGTGATTACCATATATTTTCCTTTTCCTTCCACGCCAGGCCATACATATATTCTCTTCTTAGAAATGCGTAGCATACTTATGTGCGCCGCCATTAAACCGAGAAAAACTGAAGAAACGGAGAAGCAAAGACGGGATGAGCATTTCAATGGCAGTTGGCATCCGAGCAGCAATTCAACTTTCCCATAATTGTCAGCCCGGCTTTGTCAGCGGCCAAGAATGCTAAAAGTCAGTGGGGCAAATTCAAGTCGTCCGATGAAGTTTTCCCCCTGTAATTTGCCAAGCATGCGGGATATTTGCAGGCACATTGGAATTTTATTGATTTACATGCCCCTTCCTTTGTGCTCTGTGTATGCATGAGGCTGAGGGATTCGCTTCATTAGTTAGTCGACTGAGATGGGCAGATTATTCAAATACCTTCAGCAGGATATAGTCCGGCACTTCGGGTACCTGCTGCTCGTTTGCATAATTAAGCGGGGAAATATGGAATTTCACACGCCATCAAGTGGCCGCGAAAAGATGACACCTGATACACACCCACAAATACCAACGCAAACCCCACCCACACACACATACATTCATGCACAAAAAGGACCTTTCTTTAAAGTGCAAATGTAATTAAAAGTTTTTTACGCACCTGGCGGAAACGTGTCGGGCATTAAAATCCATTTTAATGCCTTTTTTCAACCGTTTAACTGGCTTTCCTCTAACCAGTCTTTCATCTCTTTTACTCGATGAAAAACGCTTTTCAATTCAATGGAGTTTAACAAAAGCAACAATACTTATTGCATAAAGCAAAAAGTAGAAAATGTTGCAAAAGCCTGCAGGCTTTTACCATGGTAATATTTCTTTTAGAGGAAATGTCAATAATTTATGCATTAGCACTTTGATATCCAAATGATTAAAGAAAAGGCTACTAGATTTGGATTATTATAACAATAAAATGTTTTAAAAAGAAGCGACAAAAAGTATTCACATTCGAGATCAGGATGAGTGGGGGTACGATATTGCCATGTCTGTCCGTGTGAACGTTGGGATCACAGTTACTATAAGAGCTAAAGAGTTGGTATTTTAGATTCAGATTCCTTACCTTCTGATTCAGTTTCTTTTGGCATTGTGCATTGCAATTTTAACTGAAATAGATTTGTTTTATCAATACCCTCACAAAATCTGTTCAGCGCACACATTTTTAAAGGTTTTGTTAAAGTGTAATGATATTTTGTTTTTATTATAATCAAACAATTTATAAATTTCAATTGCCGTACAGACATCTAAAAATTGAAACCATTCATTAACAAGAAAGGAAGCTAGCTTCGGCAAGCCGAAGCTTATATACCCTTCCAGATAATTCCTATTAATTAACAAATCGCAAAAATGTTCAATTTTCTAATATTTCTCATTAATTTTCCGATCGTTCTTATGGCAGCTATATGATATAGTCGTCCGATTTTGATCAAATTAAAATTGAAATTCGGAAATATTTAAAAAGAGTCATATCCTAGAGTAGAAGATAATACAATAAAAACCAAAGAAGCTAGAATTTATTTCCTATTACTTTTCCATTAATTTTCCGATCGTTCCTATGGCAGCTATATGATATAGTAGTCCGATTTTTTAAATAATTAATTCGAAATTCAGAAATATTTAAAATAATAACATCCCCAAAAGTAGAAGGTAATATTTAAAAAAAAAACCGAAGCTAGAATTTTTTAAAGTTTTTTTTTCCGATCCTTCCTATGGGAGCTATAAGATATAGTTGTCCGATCCGGTCGATTCCGACATATATACTACAATAGAAAGAAGACTTTTGCGAAAGTTTCGTCCCGATAGCTCAAAAACTGAGAGACTAGTTTGCGTAGAAACAGACAGACGGACGGACTGACGGACATACGGACAGACGGACATGGCTAGATCGACTCGTCTTGTGATGCTGATCAAGAATATATACTTTATGGGGTCGGAAACGTCTCCTTCACTGCGTTGCAAACTTCTGACTGAAATCATAATACCCTCTGCAAGGGTATAATAATAAGACATATACAGGGGTGTTACAGAAATATTTTCCATCCAAAATAAGTTGTTTCTTTTGAATTTACATTAATAAATTAAACCAACCGACTTGGGTTGCAAGCGATTTCTGTGACACCCCCGATAAAATGGTTCTGTATAAATCATATAATTGCCTGATAATTTCAATATATTTTTCGTCCAATCTTTCAGATTTAGGACTAGAATTCTAGTGACAGAGTGAGAGGGAGGCAGCAGCCAGCGAGTCAATGGCCAACCGATTTGTAGGCCCCAGTGGTGCCATAGTGGTGCTGCTGCTGGCGGTGGTGCAGTGCATCCAAGCCATACCACAGCGCACCGCCGCATTTTCGCTGCAGGCTGCCGTGGATGAACTGCATCGACGGGAGGCGGCGAAATATCCTCTGAATGCCCCGCCGCCACCCACTTTGGATGACTGGGACGAAGGTGAGTGAGGGGGCGTGGGAAAATCTTGCCGGGAAATTGGTTTCCCTTGGGGAAAAGCTGAGACCTTCACCTTTGCGCGCACGTTAGCTGGCGTAAGTTAATCAAGCAATTCCCCCAAGAAATTTGAACTTTGATTAACCTTCAAGTGAGCGCGGAGCAACACGTTTTAGTCGCCCTTATTTACTTGGTAGTTTATCAATATTTAAAGCATTCCCTGTGTTTGCTGATTAATTATCCTGTTTTTGTTAAAAGAATTACTTTGTAGTTGGAAATTGATTGCTCAAAGCTTTTTATCCATAGAAAGGTTTTAGTTGCTGATACTAATTAGCGGTAATATACATATTTAATTTAAGCTAGATAATAGAAATAATATATTATCTTTTGTTTTTCCAAAATTAAAAACTCTTTAAAAATAAACATAAAGTAAATAATACGTAAATAAAATTTCATGATATTAAAATCAATATGACTAGAAAATCTCCCACTTGGAATATGCAGAAGACAAATAAATATTTGACGCAACATAAGCCTGTTATGCGTAATCTACTGACGAATTCGTGTTCAGTGATGCAGTCTCTATCCATATGCCAATTTATAGATATGGTGATATATGATTATTATTAGATTTATGTGGATGGATTTTAGGATGGACTGTCAACTGCATGTATAGATTGTATAAGCGCAAGTCGTGGCCGAAATCGGAAAATGATATCCATCAAGGCGAAGAAAAAAGTAGGAAAGCCGCATGAGGAGTGCACGTGCCTTGGATAGCCGAAACCCTAAGCACAGATTTTCCGCATTTCCCCTCACAGTCACATGTACAATTGTTACTTTTCCTCGTTTCCGTTCCCTTTCTCTTTTGGCCACACCACCACCTCTTCCCCCATCCCGCACAGAAGGCGATTTATTTGGCAAGAATAGGAATCGGAATCGCCATCGAGTAAATAAGGCACTCGGCAAGTACTTAGAACGCGACGAGGACATCTACGGTCCGGATCACAACCTGGGATTGGGCCTGGGTCTGGGATTGGGACTAGGATTCGAGGACGGAGGAGATTTGGGGCCGAATAATCTCCAGCTGGCCGATGAGAAGAGAAAGCGCTTCTCCTCTTTTCGGGAACGTGACGAGCAGTTCGGTAAGTAAGAGCCACGGCACAAAAAAGCACGCACCCAGAAATGGATACCCACTATGAAGGTCCTTTAAATAGCATTGCACCATATTGGGGTTTTTAAGGTTTACAATTAAAATAATTTATTTTAGTATTTAGGATTCAATCGGTTCAATTGCACTAAGACAGTTATTTTCGATTGGTCAAAGTAATAATCACATTTAAATTTAGCTTTTATGAAAAACAACTTTGTTGTTTAGATTTTAATAAAAGTTTTTTTCAATTATAGTTATTAACTTTAGTACAAAACGAATAATCTTTTGGTGTTTTAGATAATAAGATTTTAAGGGTTTTTCCTGCTTTTTAACTTGGAAAATAAAATTTTTATAAGAAAAATAATAACAAAGTATCTAAATAATTTAGAATTTAAAATCGAATAGAAAATTTAATTTGGCATTCATTTTATTTCATTATGCTTTGAAATGTTTTAAATTTTATTTTTGGGTTAATGATTTATTCCAAAGACGATAACCTAGAATCTTAAGAACACCCTCTCACCATAAGCTTGATTGAGAACCGCACTAATAGAAAAGTTTTAGCACCTTCATAAAGTGGCTACTTTTGAATGCGAATCACCGAAAATAATTTATGGCGCCTATTCCCTAAGTGCTATTATCCTGACCCAAACTGTGGAGAGCAATGTGTGCTCAGGAGCATGTGTCCACTTGAAATGCCAATGGTAATGGGGAGAGCATGGAGTGGATAAGGCCAACAATGGGCTGGCTAAAACCACTTAGCTCCGATTAACTTGTGAGTGGTGAGTGGGATGAAGGCTGTGGGTTCACTGTTCGCTTTAGAGTCCCGATGATGAATGCAATCAGCTGGAAGCCGCTCAGAACCGACAGATCCTGCCTGTCTCCCTGTCATTTGATTTAATGGCCGGCCCAACAACTTGATGCATGTCCTCCACACACACACGGCCAAGATTTATCGACAGTCCTTATCCTATGTTCTGGTTTTGCCAAGGTCAAAGTTAAGTCATTGCTCATTGATTGGGGAAACAAATGGTTTTAAATCGAGATATTTGTCAATTTTAAATGCATTTAATTAATTTTCGTTGCGATATTTTTCCATGTCAAAATTAAACTGAATAATCAAATTATTGGCAAACTTTATTGTTATGTATTTATTGCACTTTGACTTCTAAATATATACATTCTTTACCTACCTATAATGTAATATAAATTTGTTAATAAATCAATATTTCTTCTTGACCTTAACACTTTTAACCTAATAGCTAAAATATTACAAAATCAAGGAAGGAAGTTAAATTCGGCAAGCCAAAGCTTTAAACCCTTGCAGTTAAAATCTTTCAGTTGCAGGAATTCCAGATATATTATTGCCTTTTTGAAGGTTAATGTTTTTTCTATTATTTTTTCGATTATTCCTTTGGGAGCCATAAGATATTGTGGTCCGATCCGGCTCGTACCGACAAATGTACTACTACCTGCAATAGAAAAACGACTTTTGGGAAAGTTCTATCGCATTAGCTTTAAAACTGAGAGACTAGTTCGCATAGAAACCCTGCAGGAAACGGAATCAGTTTTGGACTATTAAAATACTAGTTTGGTCAAGAAGGTTAACTAGTTCAAGTTATGTCCATTTCCTTGTAACGAAGTGGTCCATTTTTCATATGCTTGTCGTCGGAAACAACTAGTCCATTTGCTACTAGTTTTGCACTAGTGACTGTTAACCAATTTATAGTTACAGCTGTTCAACTACGCTCAAAAAAATATTTTCACGAAAAAATTAAAAATAATCTCTAAACCATCAAGTGATTGAATTTCACTAGTATTTGACGATGCCTAACTTGACGCTCTCCTAATTTAGTATCCAATCAATAGGCACGGTCCTTAGAGAATTTCTGATAATTATTATGTAATCAAATACAGTAAATGATAACACTGTGCAGCATTTTTAGTGCTTTTTAAATTTACCTCGATGGATGCTATATTTTTTTATTCGTTACGAATTCCCAAGTTAAACTGCGTTTTCCAAAAAGTTCCCCGACGCAAGGATTCTTAGCAAAAGGACCTCATAGTTCGAAAAATGCAGAAATTGTCCAACTTTCCGGAGCTCTCAGAGGCAAACGGATTCATGGATTGATTCGATGTTAACGTTTTTTAAAAGATACACTCTTTATCTTTCAAGCCCCATACTTAGAATAATTTTAGGATTTTTTTTAAGACTGAAATAAATTCCAGAAAACATAGTCAAAAAACTTAAAAACATACAGCTGCGGTCAAAATAGAAGTAGTGTTGCCGCCCTGTGTTTTTAAAAGTTTGTTGTTGTAATTCATCTTCTTCTGGTAATATTGTATTGATTATAATTGTACTATTAGACTCATTGGATAAAAAAAAGTCACAACAACAAACTTTTAAAAACACAGGACGGCCACACTACTACTATTTTGACCGAAGCTGTATGCTTTTATGTTTTTTGACTATGTTTTCTAAAACTTGTTTCTCCCTTAATAAAAATCCTATAATTATTCAAAGTATGGGTTTTGAAAGATAAAGAGTATATCTTTTAAAAAAACTTTAACATCAAATTAAACAATGTATCCGTTTGCCTCTGAGAGCTTTTAAGTGCATGTTTTATAAATTTGTTTATTAAAGCATTATCCAACTATTAAAATATTCGCTATTATTTTAAGCACGTGTTTTAGTTTAGTTTTGGCCCTGATAAGATTCTTTGTGCTTTGTGATATAACATTTTAGAAGGAAAAATGGGCCAGGACTCGCTTTTTCTGTGTTATCCTTTAAAAGTTTATGCCATTTTTAATAAAGATGATCCAAGACCTAACAAATTGAGCCGGTTTTCATGACCGTTTTCCATCCAATATGTTTTTTTTAATATTTTTCTTTTCCGACTTGAAAAATTTTTCCACATGTCCTTGTATTGCCAAATGGTAATCAATTTGATGTCTGGATATCAGGAAAAGTTAGTTTTAGTCAAATCTCATAGAATATATCCTTTATACACAAGAATATTAGCGCATCGTAACGTTTTATTTAAAGAAAACGGAAGTGGTGCTATTATTTTTTTCGGCCTTTTTTTGACTTTTTTTCTTAAAATCCGTATCAATTTTTTCAAATAAGTGGAATACTAATCAAGATAATAAAAAACACTTCTTGTATAAAAATCCCCGTTTTCCACATATTTCTTTAATATTAAGAACCTGTGACGAAGTGGTGCTATTATTTTTTTCGCAACTGTATGTGTTTCATTTGCAACTAGTTAAATTCCAGTTGCCTTTTAACTAGACCCTAACATGTATTTGCTCTACCAGTTAAATATTTTTAAGGTTTTTTTTGTCAGAAAGGTACCAGTCCGAGACAAGTTTATTTTTTACTAGTTTTGTATTAATCATTTTTTCGACTAGCACAAATTTTCTAGACCCTGTGTAGTCCAAATGCATTCAGACAAATTCCGGTTGCTTTATATTAGTTATTTAACTAGTTGTTTTTCAGACTAGTTCGCATTTTTCCTGCAGGGAAAGGATACGGCTATTAGTACTGATCAAGAATAGATATACTTTATGTGGTCGGAAACGTCACCTTTACTGCTGCAAGAGTATATTTAAATGGCCTCATCTGTGATACAAATTTCCCCACTAATCTCTTCCAGATTCCGTACCCTCGGCTTTCCGAGAGCGTGAGAACCAGCCATTGAACGCAGAGCCCGCGCACAATGAGCTGACGGATCAGTTCCTGCGCGAGATCGAGGAGGCCAGGGATCGGGATGCAGTGCGTCAGTGGTGGCACCACCTGGACCAGGCCAAGAGCCAGCAGCAACAGGAGCCGGAGCCCCAGGAGGGCGAACTGTTCGAGCAGAAGAAGCGGATGCGAGTGCCGCCCTATTACCTGCTGATGCAGAAGAAGCGCTCCTATCCGGTGCTCCCATGGCTGCCCTATAACGGCGACAAGAGGAAGCGCTTCCCGGTGGCCAAGCGGAGCACCAGCAACGCCGGCAACCCGGAAGCCCCGCTGGGCAGGACCGATGAGCGAGTGGCCCAAGAGTTGAGCGAGCTGTTCGGCCAGCCGGGGGAACCCCAATCGCATCCCGAGGAGAAGCGCAAGCGATCGGCGGATGAGCAGCCCAAGGTTACCACCAACCAGCCCGAATCCCCGCCAGCCACGGCCACCGCCACCGCCCTGGGAGACATGCGCCTGGAGATCAACTTCCAGCGGGTGAACGTGACGCCCAAGGAAACGTCCACGTCGGCTCCTCCGGGCGCCGGTGAAATGGTCCAGCACGGCGGTCATGCCGGACATCACGGTGGCCATGGTCTCCCCGGAATGTCACCCGATTACCGCCACCGGAAGCGCAGTGACCACGCGCACGGCGAGAACGTCGAGGACCCGGAGGCCGATGAGCACGATGAGGAGGGGGAGGAGAGCTCCGATGAGGACGACCACGACGAGTTCGACGAGGAGGATGGCGAGGGTGACCAGGAGGCGGAGGAAGCGGAGGAGCGGCGGCGCAAGAAGAAGCGGGCTGCGGCCACTTTATCCGGCGGCTCTGGTGGCTCCAAGCACCTGCATGCCCCCACAGTGGGTCACCTGATGCTCCGGGCCAAGAAGTCCATCGATTGGTCGCAGTACTTTGGACTGGATCGCAAGAAGAAGTCCGCACAGAAGAATGAGTGGGTTCCGCTTACACAGATTAGGGTTTTCTAAATCAATTTTAATTACGATTTTCTCAACAGGGAACTCAAGAAACGCAGCGAAGCGGACAGTAGCAGCAATAACGATGACGAGGACGACAATGAAAGCTCCGAGGCGGAGAAGAAGAAGCGGGACTTCGATTCCGAGAAACTGGATAGCATGGACAAGAAGCTGCAGTCCATCGAGGACTTCATCATCGACGAGACCATCAAGTACACGGGCGCCCATGAGGGTCTCAACAGCAAGGACGATATTCGCAGGATCAAGGACCATGTCCTCTCCCGCCTGGCAACTGCTTACAGCTTGGAGAAAATGCGCAGGGCCTTGGATAAGCTGAGGAGGTCGGTGGACAACGAGAATCACCTTATGCGCAATACCATCGAACCGGAATCGGAGGAGAACGCCTTGGATTCCAACTACTGGCTGGCCAAGAAGTCCGTGAAGAAGGAGCAGGCAGAGCAGCTGGCGGAGTAAGTACTGGAATATATTTCCAAAATACTCGAACAGCAATCACAAATCTTCCAGGGATTCGAAGCCCCCCAAGGACATGGAGAAGAAGAAGCGCAGTGGCTACCTGCGCTATCCGGAGCAGCCAAATGCCATGGACGAGGCCCTCAGCCTGGGCAGTGCTCCCTACGAGACCCTAAACGACGCCTATCTGGGCAACAAGAACTACATCGTGGGCTCCAACCAGTGCCCCATCATCGAGTCCATGGCGGAGCGCTGCCGGGGCGTTGATCTCATCTCCGGGGACATCAATCAGGAGCTCCTGCCCCTTTGCGGCGTTCACCAAATATGCTATCTATGTGTAAGTGATCTATACAATAAATCGTTCTTTTTGTTCTTACGTATTCGAAACTTACCAGAGATTATAGGTATGAATTAGGTACTACTATAGAGCTTATGTTGAACATTTGCTAGGAACCACAAAAAAACCTTCAATTTAACTCAAATGTTTACTTTTCAAAGCATTTCGATTTATTAACGACCCACCAAAACTGATCTTAAAATTGTAATAGGTTGAACTAGGTCCATTTTAAATTATCAAAAATGGTCTATGAAAATTTAAAATGTTGTTTTATTTTAGGCTTGATTGCACTTTTTTAAGTAATCTTCAAAAGTATTCTTTCATTCAAATTAATAAATTGTTCAACGTGGGAAATCAAATACTCATAGTCATCAATTCGCTACTCACCATCAACAAACAAGAGGGAACGTTATAGTCGGATGCCCCGACTATCAGATACCCGTTACTCAGGTAAAGGGAGTGCGAGGGAGATGGAGATAGAGATAGAAAACGTTGATCACGCATAACTTTTTAACGAATGGTCCGATTTGAAAAATTTCTTCTACATTTCGATAGGTATTGATAAACACAATAAAACTGCATTTTTACTTTTCCAAAATATTAAAATTTTTAAAATCGTATATAAGCGATGGTGGGCGTTAGAGGGGGCGTGGCACCATTTTGAAACAAACTTGCGCTGCGTAGGAATTCCTAGAATCTGCATGCAAAATGCCAATCTTCTAGCTTCTATAGTTTCCGAGATCTCAGCGTTCATACGGACAGACGGACAGACAGACAGACAGACAGACAGACGGACAGACGGACAGACGGACATGGCTAGATCGACTCGGCTAGTGATCCTGATCAAGAATATATATACTTTATGGGGTCGGAAACGCTTCCTTCTACCTGTTACATACTTTTGCACGAATACAATATACCCTTTTACTCTACGAGTAACGGGTATAAAAATGAAAGTATGTAACAGGTAGAAGGAGGCATATCCGACCCTGTACAGTACTTCTATTCTTGATCAGGATCACTAGCAGAGTCAATCTAGCCATGTCCGTCCGTATAAACGCTGAGATCTCGGAAACTATAAAAGCTAGAAGATTGGCATTAAGCATGCAAATTATTGGGGTTCCTGCCAGCGCATATTTGTTTCATCAAGGTGCCCGTCGCCCTCTAACGACCACAATCGCCTTAAACGACTACACATCTTTAATGATTTTGAGAAGGGATAAATGCAATTACGTTGTCCTTGTTAATATAGAAGAAATTCTTATAATCGGACCATTTATTAAAAAGAGCATTAAGCATTAACGGGTATCTGATAGTCGACTATAGCATTCTCTATCTGGTTAATTTAATTTTCATCAATTTTCTGTCTTGTCGGTCGTGCTTAGATTTGAATTTTACTTTAAACGACAAGAAAACCAGATTGCATAAGAATAATATTTAATAAAAAATATAATATAATAATAAAAATAGTATATTATAAAGTATTATCTTTGGTATACAATTACCGAAATCTATTATGTCATGGAAATTGGATTTAATCAGAAACGGAAAGCTTAGATCAGTTTTTGGACGTTTAATTACTCGTGACTTCTGAACATGTAAATATGCTCAGTCCAATTAAGTGTTTAAATACATTTACCTACATATATAAATATATATTATTTATTCATAATTACTCAATGTATTTTTGTTGGTTTAGGTTGTGTTCCGATTTCATTTTAAATCAATATTTATAAAATGCTTTTGCATTTAAGAAACTGTTCCATAAAAACCAATCTTTGCCCGAAGAATGTCGTAAGCATACCAGTGGGTTTGAAGAAAGTATCGACCTTCGGGAAAAGGTAAAACGTCCGTCACTTGGTTACTTATGAAGCCAGTGGATAACTTGTCGATAATGAGATCATGCTAAAAAGGAATGAACTATAAAATACATTGTTTTCTATTTAAGAAACTTACATCGTAGGGACATGTATGATTCATATTGGAGTTGGACATAATAAGTCCATAAAAGTACTTAGCAATCGGTTGAGATTTCGTATTGTTTAGGAAACGACATGAATCCACTGTCATGTTGTAAAGAAACGGCACGTATCCATTCAGCCGTTTATACAACGCAAAGTTTATCTATAAATGAAATAGTGTTTTTAGTTATTTTTCTAACCATTTATTTTTTATTAACCAACCTTTACTTTAGTCACTGGAGTTTTTAATAGTTTAGCTTTGAAAGACACATATTTGTATGTTCGATTTATCGGCTTTATGTAGCAATATTCAATTGTGCTAAAACTTGGATCCACGGAAGTGCATTTAAAGTTGGTCCACTCGAATTTGGATGCATTCTGTTTCAGAGTTTATATGATCATTACTTAATAATATGTTTTGTAGAGAGGTATACCTCTGAAACCAAACACAGAAAAACCACCAGCTTGAGTAAATTATTGAGCTTGCAAAACATCCTGAACTATGCGAAAACTAATCATCACTGATTTTTCATTTTTGGTTCAAGCACTTGACTCTGCTCTATTAAGTACAATCAAAAATTTAAGATCGAACTAATTTAAAATAACTACACCAATATATTTGTTGATGGTTAATTGTTCATGGGATTAAATAAAAAACAAGAGAGATCGCTATAGTCGGGTGCCCCGACTATCAGATACCCGTTACTCAGCTAAAGGGAGAGCGAAAGAGATGAAGATAAAAACTTTGATCCGCCGTAACTTTTCAACGAATGATCCGATTTAAAAAATTTCTTCTACATTTCGATTGGTATTCATAAACACAATAAAACTTCATTATTACTTTTCCGAAATATTGAAATTTTTAAAATCATATATAATCGATTGTGGGCGTTAGAGGGGGCGTGGCACCCTTTTGAAACAAACTTGCGCTGCGTAGGAACTCCTAGAATCTGCATGCAAAATGTCAATCTTCTAGCTTTTATAGATTCCGAGATCTCAGCGTTCATACAGACAGACAGACGGACAGACGGACATGGCTAGATCGACTCGGCTAGTGATCCTGATCAAGAATATATATAGTTTATAGGGTCGGAAACGCTTCCTTCTACCTGTTACATACTTTTGCACGTATCTAATATACCCTTTTACTCTACGAGTAACGGGTATAAAAAAAAGTGGTTAGTCTTATTTACTGGGAAATGTTTGTATGCATATGAATAATTTACATTACATTGTACATTAGGGCTCTCCCCCTTAAACGTGCTGCAATAATTAAATTTCAAATTTAGGCATTGCGAAAAGGGCCTAAAGTTTCCTTAAAAATTACTCATACGACATGTATAACAGTTCGAGTATGGTAAAAAATTTAATTTCTAGTCTGGTCAAATGTTGAATTTCGTTGGAATAATTGGTATAAACAAGAGATCGAATAGTAAACTAAAACAACTTTTTGAGCGAAGGCAACAGTGCGTATGCGTGATAAACTTTAAAGCTATTTCGCAGACCCTAAAACGCGTTTTTTTACAAAAATTCCTTAAGTATGACGCATCTTTTAGGAGGATGAGAGTAGTACCTAAAAAATGCTACATGTCCATATCTTTTTAATAAATACAAAATTTATTAATTTATAATCGCTGTAATTTATTATGTGAATTATACAAATCTAATACAAAAATTCCATTTGCAGGGTGCCTCGCAGGTGGCCTGCGACTATCAGTATTTGGCGGAGGCGGATGGCATTTGCGGCGACAGCAACGAGTGCCAGTCGGCGGCCCGCTCCATCCTGATGATTCTGCGGGGATCCCCCGGCCGGCAGCTGGGTCCTCGGGAGTGCTTGAAGAACCCCTGCTTGTACAGGGCCATGCGGGAGATCGGGCTCTAAGCGGACTGTTCCAGACTGCCGCCCAGCGTTTTCCTAACGTCCTTTGTGTGCGTTTAAAAAGAAAAACAAAAATCGAAAATGAAAAATAAAAAATGAAAAAGGAAAAAACCGTAATGCAACCCAGAGAGAGAAGATAAAAATATGAGCCCAAAAAAAACTATAAATACAAAATACAAACCATGCTGAACTAGCAAAAATCAAACAATTGATTCAAAACTAAATAGTCGTCGCATATAAAGACATAAATATTTTGATGGATTTTCCTGTCCGCCCTTCGAGGCGGCAGCAGCCAACTAGAGTTTACCAGATACCTAAAGAGATGCATATATATATATACAATTTTGATTCAGTTCATCGCAGTAGACGCCCGAAAGAGGCCCGATTTATTTCGTTTTAAGTGTTCGGTGTGAAATGGAATTTTTCGAAACATATTTGCACGTTTTATGGGTGTTTTAGTATACAAGCGTGATCATAACCGAAATAACATACATATGCGTAACGTAACCAGGATATACAAGTAATTAATCCACAACCAGCTTCTTAAGTAATTTAATTCGCTTGACATTCTAAGCAGAAAGAAAGCAGAGCTCACATTGGCAGCTAGTCCTCCAGAGTCACCGCTAGAATGCTTCAATTCGGTTCGACTTGGTGTGCGCACAGACCACACATCTGCAACACACAAAATATATATCGATTTTAGCCTACACCGAGGAATAAAACTTCTAGGCGGACATCACTCGCAGAGCGACGAGTAACTAACTATCCAGAGACTCTTCTCTCTCCCGCATTACTTGTCTACAGATGAACATATACATAAATGTGTTTCAACGTGCTTACAATAAACGGACATAACTAAGACAAATATTTAAAGCTCTAACAAATCTATAGATGTGATTACTAATATACAAGGAGTTTAATAAATGTGTAAATCTTTTAGGGCGAGCATATATACTATACCAATCTGAACAACAGCAAGACGTTTGGTTGCAAAATCAAAATATTATTAATGTATTTACATAAACGAATATATATATTTGAACTTGATGTATATGCTACAGTTTGAAAAACAAAACCCAAAAAAAAACCGTATTTGAAAATATTTATTGCTATACAGTTATCATAAATGTCGAATATAAATATATCGGGGATATCCCAAAGATAGATGGCTTTTAACTGGGGTTTCGGTTGCTTTGCGGCAGCTGTGGATTGTCTGTCAGAAGTTTTTTTTTCGTTTTGAATGTATCAAAAATCATGAGCATCAAGGTTTCCCTGGTCTTTCCTACGTAATGGATCCTTCAGTGCGGCTGGTAGTTTCTTCCGAGCGGAAATCTTATGAGACCCGGACTAGAAAACACATTTCCTCTCCTATTTACCGTCGCCCATTACTGAAAAATAAATCGATTGGCTCTTCATTTACTGCAAGAGCCCCGGTAAAAGTCAAGCAAGCTACGAGAGACTAGCGGAAACCCTTTTTGCACTCACCTTTCATGGCATTTAATAAAAAATGTAACAACAATGTAAAGATCTGTGTTCTTTTTATTGGCGGCCAAACATTTGAATTCAAATTTGCGTGCTGCCAATTTAAAATGGTTTGAGCCCATGATAGGGAAATGCTGCCCATAACTACCATGGACACCCTCCACTATCGATTTTGAATATATCGATATGTTTACACATTTTTATATTTTTCACATCTTTATATTGCAGCCATTCTGAACACAACAACTTTGCGCGTAATAAATATCTTTATAAGTAAACTGAGGCCTCTTGAAAACCAGTAAGCTTGCGATAAACACGGTGATTAACAAGTGGTCAAACAAAAGCGAGCAAACACCAAGGCAGAGATTATTTTATTCAAATTTCGCCGACCCCAAAAGTGCCCACCCTCTTGGTGAGTAAGAAGAAGAGCGAGTTATTCGCATGACTCATCGCCAAACGAAACGAAACGAAACGGGTTTTTATCAGATTGTTTTTCTGTTTTCATCCGAATTAGTTTGACGTCACTGCCCAGGGCAAGCAAACATGAAAACCCCCGTTTCCGCCGCTGCGAATTTGAGTAACCCCAGTGCTGGCAGTTCCGGAGCAGCTGCCGTGCAGATCGTACCGAAAACAGAGCCCGTCGGCGAGGAAGGAAGTGCCCCCATGTCGCTGGACTTCCAGACCCCCAACCTGAGCACGTCCACTCCCAATCCCAACAAGCGTCCCGGCTCCCTGGACCTGAACAGCAAGGGCGCCAAGAACAAGCGCATCTTCGCCCCGCTGGTCATCAACTCGCCGGATCTGCAGGCCAAGACCCTGAACACTCCCGATCTGGAGAAGATCCTGCTGTCGAACAACCTCATCCAGACGCCGCAGCCGGGCAAGGTGTTCCCCACCAAGGCGGGTCCGGTCACCGTGGAGCAGGAGGCCTTCGGCAAGGGATTCGAGGAGGCCCTGCAGAATCTGCACACCAACTCCCAGGCCTTCCCGGCCGCCAACCCCGCGGGCAGTTCGGCAGCAGCGGCTGCAGCCATGACGGCGGTGAACAACGGCATCAGCGGAGGAACCTTCACGTACGCCAACCTCTCCGACGGCTTCTCGGTGATCAAGGACGAGCCCGTCAACCCAGCCGGCTCGCCCACCGTCAGCCCCATCGACATGGAAACGCAGGAGAAGATCAAGCTGGAGCGCAAGAGGCAGCGCAACCGCGTGGCCGCCTCCAAGTGCCGCAAGCGCAAGCTGGAGCGCATCTCCAAGCTGGAGGACCGCGTCAAGATCCTCAAGGGCGAGAACGTCGATCTGGGCAGCATCGTCAAGAACCTCAAGGACCATGTGGCCCAGCTGAAGCAGCAGGTGATGGAGCACATTGCCGCCGGATGCACAGTTCCGCCGAATTCGACGGATCAATAACATTTGGAGTTGTCAGCAGGGGAGGAGAATGACGGTGACGATGACGAGGATGAAGAAGTGGCACTGGAGACTGAAGCTCCGTCGAATCAAGAACCCATTCCTCTGGAGCTCTTGCTAAGTGCCTCCACGAATGGCTTGGAGCTGGAGACCTCCGCCTCTCAGGACATCTCCCTTGGCAACAGCGACCTGCTGGAGGAGGATGGCGAGGACGAACGGCCTCTGGTGCTCTACATCCTCGCGGACGATGCAACCTGAAGTTTTGTGCCTTTTTGGGTTCTAGCTGCAATATTTGAAATGCTTCTCAAGTGTTTTGTTTACTTAGTTACTAGTATAAGCTACCATTAATCAAGTATTATCTGTGTTGAACGTAAGATAATATGCAATGTACTTTAAAAATATACGTACAGTTGCGAAAAAAATAATAGCACCACTTCGTCACAGGTTCTTAATATTAAAGAAATATGTGGAAAACGGGTATTTTTATTTAAGAAGTGTTTTTTATTATCTTGATTAGTATTCCACCTATTTGAAAAAATTGATACGGATATCGAAAACATTGTCTACATATAATTTTTTCAGCTTTTAAGAAAAAAAGTCAAAAAAAGGCCGAAAAAAATAATAGCACCACTTCCGTTTTCTTTAAATAAAACGTTACGATGCGCTAATATTCTTGTCTATAAAGGATATATTTTATGAGATTTGACTAAAACTAACTTCTCCTGATATCCAGACATCAAATTGATTACCATTTGGCAATACAAGGACATGTGGAAAATTTTCCAAGTCGGAAAAGAAAAATATTCAAAAAAGAAACATATTGGATGGAAAACGTTCATGAAAACCGGTTGGATTGGTTAGGTTTTGGATCATAGTCATTAAGAATGGCATAAACTTTGAAGGATAACACAGAAAAACCGAGTCCTGGCCCAGTTTTCCTTCAAAAATGTTATATCACAAAGCACAAAGAATCTTATCAGGGCCAAAACTAAACTAAAACACGTGCTTAAAATAATAGAGAATATTTTAATAGTTGAATAATGTTTCAATAAACTAATTTATAAAACATGCACTTAAAAAAAAAAATCCTATCCGAAATGCGAAACACATTTACAAGGGCATAGGGCTCGTCAAAAAAACTTACAAATGAATGCCCGCAAACTTATGAGAATGTGTGAAGGCAGAGTTATATTGGGTAAGAAGAAATCCTTTTTATAAGTCATGTGTCTTCTAAACACCTAAAATGACAAAAAACATGGTACCAAAACATCCATTTATTGAGCATGGACCTAGTATTAACATAGGCTAGTTTTTCCTTCTTGGAGTAAGATCAATACGGATGAATACATCGTTCATGAATCATCCTATGATGTAAATAGTAATACGGTAGTAATTCGTAGCTTAAACTGAATACAAAATACTTCTTAAATGAATCTTTGACCAATAAAATCCGGCCAGGATCACGGTCAGGATAGCAAAGAAAGAGTTCGAAAGTACTCAGTCAGCAATATACAGTGACTTGTGTACTCGCTTGACCATAACACAACCAAAAATCTTCGAGTTTTTTTTTTAAAGACAGTTTATACAGTTAATCTAAAACGTCTTAAATCATTTCCGAACAAAATTTGAAAATATATCATGACTTTTTGGCCCCAATTCCTTTATAGGTAGGGTCCTGACTTGTTTAATCGATACTAAGTCATTATATCCAAAAATCGCAAAAGATATTTACACTTTAAACTTAGATTTACTTGTTAGCTACCGCCAACTAAAGATTAAGTTACCCATTTGTCATTTTTCTACCTTTTATTCTATTTTTAGAGAAGTGGTGCTATTATTTTTTTCGTACGTTTTTCCAGTTTTGCATAGATTTTCTTAAATAAGTCCAGAAACCTTTTATAAAGCTAACATTTTTTTTCATATTCAAATTATGTTTAGTCTTACTATTTAAAACCCGTTTTGAAAAGTTAAAAAAGTTAAAAAATGTGAGTAGGGTGACTAGTTAAAATTTTTTTGGGTTAGTGGTGCTATTATTTTTTTCACAGCTGTATATTTTCTGTACTTGATATATACATAAAAAAATTAATTCTACGCCTAAAACTAATTTATTCATCCTCCTCCTCCTCATCATCATCATCATCGTCGTCGTTGTCCTCCATGGCCTCTGCCTCTGCGTCCTCTTCCATGGCGCTGTCGGCCTGCTCCTCGTCGTTCACGTCATCCTCGACGTGCAGCTGGAAGCCCTCGCTTTTGGTCCACGAACACTTCATGGTCAGCCGGAACTTGGCCATGGGCTTGCCCACCAGCTTGAGGATCCTCGCCTGCTCGGGCGTCAGTACTTTGCCCTCCTCGCAGACCGTGTAGTCGCTGTAGAGGGTAACGATTCCCTTCTCCAGCTTGGTGGGCAGGCCCAGGGATCGCAGGTGCGGCTCCATGGAGTGCGCAAAGTCCTCCAGTGCACCGGCTGGCAGGGTAACCGTTTCCGTGGCCACAAAGCCACTGCGTGCGTACTCCACGGCCCAGTAGTTTTCGGCCCACTCCAGGACTTCCTTCTTGGACTTGTCCGTGAAGAGCAGACCCACCTGGCCGGTCAATCGCTTGGAGAGCTAGTAAATTGGCCATTAATTTCGGATACAGAGATTGCCCATTAACCATTGCTCACCTTGTGCAGATCCGACTCCACTTCCTCGCTTTTGGTGCGACCCAAACCAATCTGCATCACGCGGTTCTTGCCGAAGATGAAGCGGGAATTCTTCTTCCACTCCTGTCGCAGGTCCTTCAGCAAGCTATTCCTCATGTTCTGAACTTGAAAAACGAATATGTTCGGGTATTTGCCCACGCAAAAGCGAATGTCGTCCACGATTCGCTGTTTCCATGCCAGACCCTTGCGATCGGTTTTGGTCAGGGAAACTGAGGGAATGAAAATACCACTTGTTACAAGTGAAAATCGTTTACCTAAATATCCAAGCTCTCACCTTTCTTATCACGTTTGGAGCGCGGCATGTCTGTATCTGTTAGAAATCAACGTTTTTCGGAGCGAAACTCAAGAAGTATTTCCCACACAACGTAAACACGTGCGGCTTGTTAGAGATGGTGGAAATGTCTAGCCAACCATCGATTGCAATAGCCCTCGTGTATCGGCCAATTTTAATAGACGAATCACCCTGTGGGCCTGTTTTGTTCGAGTTTTTTGGCGCAAAAGTTAAACTGATTTGAATTTGAATAAGGCTAATGGGATGCATAAGAAATTTGTTGTTTATTACAAAGTACAACCAATTTTATTTATTCGTCGTAAAAGAGGTTTTTTTGACCTGATGTTTTTGTTGTTAGAAAAAACATCAACAAAACTAATATTTTGATTTTAATGATTTTAATAAATAAGTAGAATAAGGTAGCCCCGCGGCAAGACCTTTATGGTTTATATTAAAACATAAAAACAAAGGCTTTATTCGGCAAACAAAAATTTAAGAAAAGATTTAAATTTGAATAAGGTAAATGGAATGCATAAGAAATTTGTTGTTTATTCCAGAGTAGAACAAACTTTAATTATCCGTCGTCAAAGAGGTTTGTTTTACCTAATGTTTTTGTTCAAAAAACAACATCAACAAATCATCGATGCTTTGAAAAAAAGTATTTACTTTGATTTTAATAAATGAATAAATAAGTAGAATAATTTAGCCCAACGGCAAGACCTTTATGGTTTATACTAAAAAAAAAAAACCAAAGGATAGTATTATAGGGGCTGTCCATATATTACGTAATCACCTAGGGGGGGGGAGGGGTTCATTGAAATGATTATGTTTGATTACATGGGGAGGGGGGGTCTTGCACAATGATTACGTAATCATTTTATATACATTTTTTTATTTAAAGAATTTATTTAAAAACTTTTTTCCTTTAATTATATCTACAAACTTAGATAGGAAAGCAGAGAAAACATTTTTTTAGTGGCTGGGCGGCGAAAAAGAAAATGTTTAGTGGTTCAATCACACGAAGGACGCGAAGACCTGGAATGGCTTGACGAAGAGTATGTTGGAGATAATTTCAGCGTAGACGAACCGAATGTGTCATTTATAAACAATATATAAGATTGGGTTGCATCTCCGTTTGAATCCACAGATTAAAACAAAAAAAATGTTATTCTTGGGATTACGTAATCATTGGGGGGGGTTTGTTTATTGAATGATTACGTTTGATCACCAGGGGGGGAGGGGGTCAAAAATCACCAAAAACGTGATTACGTAATATATGGACAGCCCCATATATAGCTATATATACTATATATATATATACAGTAAACAGTTTATTGCATACTTTTTGAATAGCAAATTTTCCTTAATTTTTGACCCGAGGTGGGGGTGATTTTTAACCCATATCACCGCGCATGACAGTAATTAACTTAAATTAAAAACACATTATTCGTGCCTTCCTCCGTTTTTTTATAATTGGTGATGTGACTAAAACATCGATTGTCGCCACATAAACATCGATGTACTTAAAAAATTGTAAAACATGCATCGATGTTTCTCCACCTCTACTTCCAACACAGCTGCGCGTTAAGAAGAAGAAGAACCTTCAGGTCCGAGCCGTAAGAGGTGAATTAACTAATTAATAAGTGGTAGCCGTTAAAAACCAAGTCAAAAGTCGAGTGTTGTGAGCCCAAGGAGTACGCAGATATTCGAAAAACGCTTGAAATCCCAGGCGCAGTGAGTAAATTCACCTAGTGCGTCGTGTGTCGGCTTGCGACCGCCATATTGTCGGCGGATAAAATTTTCCCCAAAAAACTGCGCCGCCCACGCACTTTATCGATTCGATGGCCTTCTAATTGGATGCCAGCTGCCCGCGGGGCTTCTAATATTTGGTTGCGTGCGATATTCGCATTGCGAAAATCCCATTACGAATGGAAATGGACGTAGCAGTTTTTCATTACCGCAAGCAAATAGGACGCCGATGACGTAATTTTCTCCGTCTTGTTCTTTGTGAGCTGTAGTAAAAAGTAGAGATGGGAGCGTGAGCAAAGTTTATGTCGCGTCACCCACAAGTTGCGGAAGTCTGAAAAAGTTTTTTTGTTTGAATGAAAATATTTATATATTCTAGATTAACAAGGTTATTTTTGGATCCATATATTCCTTTGCCCCTTTATTAACTTGTATAGATGTTAAAAACAACATAATGCGATCTTGTGCAGTTTTAATTTTTCAATAATTTTTAAACAGTCTATAAAAAATAGTATCAGCTTAAGTTAAGATACATTATGTAGCGTAAAGTAGAGATTGTTTACCTTTTTTTGTAGTATGAAATGAAGGTAAATTGTTACGAAATAAAATTAAACTAGTAAAGAAATAAAGGAAGAAAAATTATTTCTTAAGGTCAAGCTAGAACTTAAATTGTCATCTCAACTTCACGCCCATAATTGGCGGCCCTTGCTCACCTCTCGTTTAAGTGCCGCTGATATCGCGTTTTATGTGTGAGTGCACGAATTCAATGAAATCCAAATTAGAATTAAGGCAATTTACCGCCACCCCTTATCAATGGCATACATCTCCCGATTAGTTTCCTCCTTGCGGAGGCCATAAAGTCAAGATAAAAGCGTAATCTGGCAGCTAGATAAGCGCTCGAAAGTTTCAACAGGTTGGAAACGAACTATAAACTATTACTTCATAAACTGATAAAACGGCAGACTTGACGATAAAAGCTGGCTCTTTGCAGAGCTTTTTATCTACAAGTTCTGAGATTGGCTGTTAATTAGTATACATTTGTATCTCAAAGTTTGGTTCTGAAGCGCTACCTGCACACCTGGCAACATTACTTCAACGGGCAGGTTGGCAACCCTAAGCTCGCTCCCTCTCTTTGGCGGCGCATGTGCCCCAGTGTGAGTGTGGGGAGAGAGAGCAGAAACACAGATACAGCGGCGCGGCGAATGTGTGCAACCTTTGCCGTCCGTCATTCTCATTCGTTCGTTGGTAGTGTTCGTTGTCGTTTCAGTTTCAGTTAATCGAGAATGTAAGTAACATTTTTGCTGGCCCAGAGTGCCTTGTATCTATGTGTGTGCGCCTGCCAGTGTGTGTATGGAATTATAAAACGAAAAATTGCTAAAATATCCGAAGGAAAAACACGTGTAAAACCGCCTATGAGTAATCACTTACATGCATCTATACTTCGGCCCGCAGGAAAATCGAATTACCTCCCATCAGGCATCGATCCAAAGTTGAAAAAAATTCTACGCAAAAAGTAAAAAGTGTGAATTTGTGCAAAAAAAAAAGGAAAGAAAGAAAAGAACATTCCCGATTTGCCCGAGTATTGGTGTATGTATGTGATGCGGTGAGATTCGCTTGTAGCTTCGTATTTCTCATCATCATCATCAGCAGTTCATCGGTTAAGTTGTAGGCGGCGGACATAGCCGACTTCTATATATACGCATATATAGGCAGCTATATGTACACACAGTACGCCAAGAAATATATATATATATCAACTTGGATGGGGACACGCGGTTAGGTGGGTTTTCACGCCGAACTCAACACACTTGGCGGCCGCCTGTGGTAGATACATTTCGGCCTCTCCCTCTCTGCGGCGTTCGCCGCTCTCTTTTCGGGCTCCCCGCTCTCTCTTCGCCAGCCCCCCTTTCTCCCGATTATTTTTATAATTCTGTAGCGCCGCACTTGGAAACACGATTGGCGGCCCCACCAACACCATCTCACCAATCCCAATCCCCACCAGCACCACCACCACCCAGAACGCACCAACACACACGAACGCACCGAGACGCACGCACACAGCCCCCATAAAAGTTAGTAACTTTTTCGCCCCATGTAGAGACGTACTAGTACATATAGCGGTATCTACAGTGTAGAGGAATTTCTACATCATCGGGAGGACTGGGTTCTGGGGGTTCTTAAGCTACTGCGCATGCTGTGTCGGCCGGCGCAGATAAAGTTGAAAGTACCAAAGTACCGACTTGGATTTTGCAGACTTTTCTAGCCCCGCAGTCGGCCCAACCATATGGGTTTACCCTTTCTAAAGTGTATCTAAATAGCATCGAAACCCCCTCCCACCTGTAATTTTGCCCTTTTACCAATATATTCGTTCAAGCAGATGAGCAATATGCGTGGTTGAAACGAGTTTTTTTCTTTTTGATGAATCCGATAAAAACTACAAACAAATCTGTGACCATTTAGGGGAGTGTTACGTTAATTTACGTTACGGCTGGCTTAATGTTTTGGCATTTGCCGAACAGCCAGAAAAACATGTCAATTGACCTAAAAACGCGTTGGCAGACCGCACCCACCCTCCTCCATCCCCCCGCCACGCCCTACCGCCCATTGTTTTGACAAAGGGTCAATGCTTTTTTAATTTGGAGGTCGATCGCAATACAATAAAATGCCCCAACATCAATTAGTTGATTTTTATGCTGCGCACTTACTATTGAACTCCAGAATATACTAGTTTCAACATTCGTTATGCCCAGAAAAAGCTATTACTAATTTGCCTTACTTTAATCTTTCTCTCATAAACAATAGTATTTGTTTATATTATAATTATTTCTGCCTATTTAAAATCTTTTGGAAGGCAAACAACTTTTTATTTGCCACATGTTGTGGAAGTAGTTAGCCAAGCTGGACTGTAAATCCAATTGAACGCTGTTTCTGTGGGCTGGTTGGTGGTGCTTTTATGACGCCGATGTGTTGAGATTTTCCATTTCAATCATCGGCTGGCTGCATTAGCTGGCATTCTTTTACTTGGCTTTCGAGGTTTCCGCCGGGCGGGCAAACAAAATGTATTTTGTCCAGAGCGCAAGTTGTCTAAAAATACCAGCAACGCCCATGTGCATTTCCACACACCGATTTTCACCCCTCTATGGGACGAGTTCTGGCTTTCAAGCTTTCTCCAGGTCGGGCGGAAATTAATCGATTTTCGTTCCCCACGTCCCTTTCAAACTGCCGAGCCGGAAATTGATCCTACATTAAAAGTTTGGATAGATCCTATCTCAAAAATTTCTAATTGGATTACGTGTGAGCGGATTAATGATTGTCGCATATTTTCCCGTTTTTTCTTACGTTTTTTGTTCTAATAATTACAGCACGTTTAATCGATAGAAGTTCACTGAGTGGGCAACTAATTGAGTGCGTCACTGTACACAGTACGGTGAACACAAACAGACAGTCTTTATGCACGTACATAAATATCTATCTTTGGCACACACACGAAAATATATAAAAACGCATTAAGGCGAGCCGACTTTTGCTCCATTTCCCCCTCTGTTTTTATTCATGGTTTATTTTTATCGCTGTTGTCGAACTTGTGTTTTTTTCACATCTCTCTGCCAAATACTCTCTCTACCTCCGGCCTTCCATAACCCATAAACTGGGCTTTAAATACATAGTTGCATAGTTGTCACACGTGCGGCCATGTCCAGTGCTGGTTTTTTCCTTTTTAAATTAGACATTCCGTCAGCGATTAGTCAATAAAGACCTGCTGCGAGTCCATGAGTCATCGCAGCTTTAAATTCAACACTTTCGTCAGGCGGAAGCATGACAACAAACTAAATTCGTACGCATACCCTGGAATACTCGCTGTAAGTGCATTGTGGGTATACTGGAATTCGGAATCTTCAGCATATAAGTCAAAGCTATAACAATTTAGAAACGTTTGCCTTTCAAAGCTATACACTTTAAATTTTATAGAATTGTTGTCATTATTCCCACGAAGTTCATTAATGCAGGTTTTATAGTGCCCTTCAGTTAAATTTAAAATAAACAGAGAGTTAAATATTAGAATATATGCACTTCCCCCTAAAAGTCCTGATATACCCGTTAAATGGGCAACTCACATCACAGAAATTATTGACCAACAAAAATTCGCAGTGTTGTGCAACTTCTGCTGGCTGTGGAATTCAAGCTAAATAACAGCCAGGTAATCCGCAACAGAAGTCTGTTAGTCAGTCAGGTGTTTGTAAAAGGCCAACAGCCAAGAACCGTTAGCCGAGATAACGGTTTAAGGTGGCCTCACCTACATTTCTCCTCCACTAAAAAACACATTACTAATGCTCTTGTTTACGATCTAATTTATTGCAGAAAGCCATCGTAAGCAACTTTTGAGCGGCATATCGAACTGTGTGGCGTATTTTATTAGTTTTGTGAAGTAACCGAAAAAAAAATCAAACAAAATGTCGACAGTCGATAAGGAAGAGCTGGTCCAGAAGGCTAAACTGGCCGAGCAGTCAGAACGGTAAGTGTTGAGTCCTCTAAATATAATCCTAACATATCGCTGAAGAGCTTTTGAAACTTATTCAATATATTGTATATTATATATACATTTGTTGCATTTTCACAAAATTCGTAGTCCCTAATTTGTTTAAATATAACTTTTTGTTAAGATAAGCGTTTTAGGGCCCTCTTAAACCAGAGGTTTTTGTAAATCTTTTTATAAAATTAAGTTTCTGTGCTGAAGCAGATAAAATGTATTTTTAATTACTAATTAAATGTTCTTTACGCAGCTACGATGACATGGCCCAGGCCATGAAATCCGTCACAGAGACTGGCGTTGAGCTCTCAAATGAGGAAAGAAATCTGCTCTCCGTTGCCTACAAAAATGTGGTCGGTGCCCGCAGGTGAGTCGATCAATCACCGCTCGATTAATGTCGCACCATAGATTGGAGTTCAAGTGCTAAACTGTGTGTTTCTCCCCCTTCTCCGGGTGTGTTTAACATGCCCAAACCAGGTCATCGTGGCGTGTCATCTCCTCCATCGAGCAGAAAACCGAAGCATCCGCTAGAAAACAGCAGCTCGCCCGTGAGTACAGAGAGCGTGTGGAGAAGGAGCTGAGGGAAATCTGCTACGAAGTTTTGGTAAGTGGTGGTCCGCAATTCTGCGCAAGTCTCTTTCTGACGGATTTATGGGGTTGTAATTGGTCCATCTAATTATTTTTATACCCACAACTCACTTGGGTGTTCGTCTAAATTGACGGCGTTGAAGCTGGCAAACCTGTCAGCCTCCTAAATATACCTATATATGTATATGTATTTCTAAAGACCCCCGCCCTTGGCAGGCTCAGCTGTCGAGGGTGTTGGTTGGTTGGGCGTCTTCTCCAGAGGGTGGGCCTCGTTTTCTGCTCTTCTTTCTTGCTCTAGTGAAATATAAAATTTGTTACAATCAATAAATCTATTTTTAAAATGAACAGTTTTCCGTTTTCCCCCACACACAAAGGTTTGGCTTGTGTGTATATGGAATTTTTATTGGCATACATGGATCAGAAAATAGACCACGGCCAGGGTTGAACTTGGGGTTTCCCCCATGCGATTTCCTTTGATTGGGGCTCTTATATTGGATTAAACTCAACGCGTGCCTGATGGATTTTTAAATGGGAAATTGTCCGGAACAGAGTTTACAATAAGCCACTGGGCTTATTGGTTAATTGTAGCGGTTGAGGCCGTAATTGATCTGAAATTAATTGAAGTGCTTGTTTTCTTTGCTTGCAGGGACTTCTGGACAAATACCTTATTCCAAAAGCCAGCAATCCCGAGAGCAAGGTGTTCTACCTGAAGATGAAGGGTGATTATTACAGGTATTTAGCCGAGGTTGCCACAGGAGACGCACGCAACAGTAAGTATCTTGGAAAACACTCAATCACAACACCCCAATCCCATTGATACACCCGAATTATACAGTAACAAACTCTTTATAAACCAAACAACAAATATTCTTGCAAACACAGCCGTTGTCGATGACTCGCAAACCGCTTACCAGGATGCATTTGACATTAGCAAGGGTAAAATGCAGCCAACACATCCCATCCGATTGGGTCTGGCCCTTAACTTCTCAGTCTTCTACTATGAGATTTTGAACTCGCCAGACAAAGCTTGCCAATTGGCTAAACAGGTTAATAGCACTCTGAGACTTGGCTCGATCAATCGAAATGTATGGCAAGCGAGCAAGGCACACGAAAATCACTATCCACCGATACTTAAGAACTTTTCCGTTTATTTTTAAATGGTTTCCTAACATTTGGTATTTGTTTCTTACTTTTTTACATAACTGAATCATGTGTAAATCGTTAAGCCGTCGTTGAGGACTCGAAAAAAGCCTATCAGGAGGCGTTCGATATTGCAAAAACCAAAATGCAGCCCACACATCCAATCAGATTAGGTCTTGCACTCAACTTTTCCGTCTTCTATTACGAAATTATCAATTCACCAGCGAGGGCTTGTCACTTAGCTAAACAGGTTCAGTTCAACTTATACATGTCTCTTCTATGTATACCAAATAACCCGCTTACGAATACTAATCATCCAATGAAAAGATACAATTTGTTGTTGTTCTGTGACTAAACTGAGTAAGATATCCAGCGACTAATAAACCAACTAAATGAGCTTTAACCCAATTGAAGATATACATCTGAACACCAAGGCGTTTCAAAAGTTCAAAAAGAAAAATCAATACAAATTCCAGACCGGAAAATACTGAGAATTCCGCTATTGCTATCACGTTTCTCTAATTAATGACTATTAAAATGTTAAACTTTCTAAACTTCAGTAACATGTAAAAAACGAACTTTGGCAACTATACTTTTTGTTCGCTACTGAAATTTCAAACTTTCTGAAACGCCATGTATATCCATCCTTCCTTTTTTTCCCCTCGAACTGCATGAGAAATGCCAAAAACTTTGCCTGTAAAATAATTTACTTGCGGCCTTTGCTGGTGAACACTCCGTTTTTTATTTCGTTAAGGTCAAAAAACACTCTTGTTACTTTTATTTTGATTACACACTTTGCTTTCTAGTTTAGTTCGATGAAGTTGTTTAGTGAAGCCAATTATGAATGTATGATGAACCTAACGCCACTTTGAAAATGCTTTCGTTCTACCAATTTGCATTCGCCTTGCCAAACATTTCCTTTGACTCGAAACCTTTGAGAATAAACACTAATAAACCATTTTTAATTGGCGACCTAGGCGTTCGATGATGCGATAGCCGAGCTGGACACACTCAACGAGGACTCCTACAAGGACTCGACACTCATCATGCAGCTGTTGAGGGACAACCTGACCCTATGGACGTCCGACACCCAAGGCGACGGCGATGAGCCTCAGGAGGGCGGCGACAACTAACCAAACAACTAAGCAAATGTTTCCTTTTTGACTATGCAAATATTATTCAGTAATACAAACAAACAAAAACCAGAAACAACAAAGAGAAACAAATATTATAAAACGCAAACCAGCAAAGCAAAACAATTTGAAATGAAACGATAATCCAGGCGAGAGCAGCAGGCAGGCAGATAGCGCGAACATTTGAGACATTTACATACGAATTGAGGGCAGGATGCTTCACAGTTCATTTGGGGCCGATGGGCCGGCATTTGAGGCTGTTCCCCCGATTTTCACGGGTAGTTTTTGGGCCCTGTATACATATAGTCAAATGTATGGACAGATGCCGGCCGATCTGACTCAAATGTAGCCACTGCAACTGCTTAAGAAATACAGAAAAATACAGCATCGCTGTGGGGGCCGAGCGAAGGCGGAGTATTTCGGAGTTTAGTAGGATTTTTCCGGTTTTTGAATCAAATTAATCTAGCAGATAATTCGTAATTGTGTGTGTTTTTCCCAATCGAAACGACCGAACTCCGTATGCTCTGAATTTGTTCGCCCTGGCGATGCCTCGTGTGGATTTCCTCCTTACAAAACAAACAAATAAATAATATTCCTAACTGTATACACAAGAAATGAAATGAGATAATCGGTTATTATATGTTTTTTGCAAGTCTAAATTAATTATTTAATTTTCATATGGCAACAGAAACAACTGCAAAAGAAACAGCAACAACAACAACAACCAAGCGAACCAAATGAGAAAAACAAAAATAAAACAAAAACTTATGTATTATTTGTAATTCTTTTTCTAAACAAATAAAACCAAAAAAACCTAGTTTCCCATTTTATGTTTTATTTAAATTCGAATTCGGTTTGATTTTCGTTTTTCAACCTCCCCCCCACACAAACAAACAGAAGCAAACACAGACACACACAGACAGGGCTGCATTTATAATGCACGTGCGGAAATCGGTTCAAATCCCATGAATCAGGAACCATATCTGTTAAAGGAACGTGGAGAGAACGGAAAAATACAGAAAATATATAATTGTTCATTGCTATTTTTTATACATGTCTTACATAAAACAAAAGGGTTAAATCTACGATTGCAATTTCTTTGTTGTTTTTTCTTGGTATAAACAATTGTGAAAAGCATAACTCATATAATACATACATATAACCAACTGTCTGTCAAATGAATTTTTCGAACGAAATGAAGTCTAATTATTCGGTAGTGGAAGTCAAATCCTTTTTTTAATGTGCAACATGGCGAAGGCACGAGTTTTATTGTGCGCAATGTCTGCACAAGTTTCCAATTTATTTCGTTAGTTGGGTGTAACTATTTCAAGTATGTAAGCCCAGAAAACGTTTGCCCAACAAAGAAACGGCCATCAATTGTTCCTAAAGTCTGGCGTTTGTTTCTTAACGATTATTTTATTGTTCGAAAAAGTTTTCGACTTCTTCATTATATGACAATTGCAGCCTGCAAATCAGCAATGGAAATACTACTAAAAAAAGTTTATGAAGATCGAATCAAAATACATAAATATTGTGAGCTAAAACTATTCAAATTTTTAATTTAAATACAAGAAAACTTTGCATGTGTATTGAAGAAAATATATTATTGTCCAACAAAACGGTAACATACAGAACATATGTATGTATGATAAAAGTAAATGTATATTTTCGCAATTGACTTTATCGCTATATTATGAATGTGAGGAATATAAAAAAACATACAAAAAAATATATATTTAAATAAAAGAAACACTTTTGCCGCAACGCTAATAAGTCGAATCCCAAAACATATAAACTAATAATATTGTGAAACTGCAATACATTCATGAAACAGAGTAAAAACAACCAGATGAAAAATACCGGGTGTAGGCGTAAATTGTATGCATATAACAGAGGCAAAGATTGATGTATGAGTGGAATATTTAAGTTTATTGAAATTACAGTTTCTTAATTACCAACAAAAAAAACAAAAAAATTAAATAAATAATACAAAAAAACCAAACGAATGTTTTTCTTATTGGAATTTACTTTTAAATCAATGTTCCTTTAGCTAAAATGTCAAAAATTAAAAAATTCACTGCCAAAAATATTTACAAATTGTTAAACTTATAAAAATGTTAAATATTTAGGGGCAAAATTTAATTTGGCATGCATTCAATTAAATTTCGAGTATTAACTAAATTAAGACCTTTGTAAGTTGCTGCATGGGCCTAGACCTTCACAATAATCCCTTTTATTTGGTTATTCAGTTTTTTGGAAATTAATGGGACGATACCAAAAGGCCGCAAATTTCATGGACCACAATCTGTAACATTTTTACTAGAAAAGCTTGACAAAAACGCTCTTCTTAGCCAGAAGGTAAAAAACCGGAAATAAACGAATGATTTTTCAGGATTTATTGCCCATTAGATTACCTTTTCGACGATCGATCACCGGCAAACACATTCGGGCCATTTTATTTCTAAACCGTATGTAATATCTTACTCTTTTAGAGCGTTTAAACTGTATTCTTTCACAGCCATAAAAAAGATGTCCTTTTAAGGAACAACAATAATAGTAATCTGCACTTAATAAAGTCGTACAGTGGTTCATCCGGTGATCAAGATAAGGAAGGTCCTGGCACCGATAAGACGAAAGATGAAAACAGTGATAAACTTTGGAGACCATGTGGGCGGCACATACCAGTTACTGATTTGCACAGTGGTTTTCTTAATGCTAAAAACTTTTCCGAAAAACTTCCTATAAAGAAGGAAAAGCCCGACCCAAAAGAGAAATGTGGCAAAACACTCGATGAGCTGCGAAAAAGTTTGAAAACATTTCAAGATGTGTTTGATTGTGCACATCCTATCAGGCCTTATGTAAGTTCTTTAACTTGATTTATATACATAAAAAATATTAAATAATTCAGGAAAGTCTTAGTGATAGGGTCTTTACAGTGTAATTAAGTTTCTTAGTTTTTAGCCTGTAAAAATCAGTTAGATTTCAAAGTGCTTCCATATCGATAACGCTTATCGCCACCGATGAGACAGCTCCAAAATTTCCCCATCCCCATCGGTGAAAGCTCGAAAGCTTTTACTCGCCCCAGTGATAAACAGCTGACCAACAGCTGATCGCTTGTGGGCTGAACGTAAACAAATTGCTTAAACGCTATTTTCCGCTCGTTGCTACTCGCGAAAAGTCCGTTCGTAACAGATAGAATCATCCAATTTTCGACCTTAAACCGAAAAAGTTAAAGAAATCGTGCTGCTGCGACCGTGGGGGGATTTTAACCACCCGAAGTTTGCATTGCATCAGTACGCACTTACAGAAAGCCCGTGCCTGTGTGCGTGAGTCCGTGTGTGTGTTGTGTATGCGTCTGGCCTGAAGGTCACCTTGAAACGTCAAAAGCAAAAGCGAAACTTGTGAATACCGCCTGTGAATATACATCGCTAGTAACTGAAAAGCCACGGAAAGGAGCAGTAGTAGTATTTATAGCCCATTTGGATATAACCCAGCTCTCCAGCTGCGTGGTTAACATAGTTGAAAAAAACTTGATTGGTGGACAGTAGGGAAATACTTTCCCGAACCGTAGTGCATAACAGTTGGTTGATCCTAGTGTGTGTGTGCCCAGTGAGATATCCCCTAATATCCGAGATACAGATATAGTTAAAAGAAAAAATGAATTCCGAGATTAATCAACGATTCCTGGCCCGCGGCTCGCAGAAGGACAAAGGATTGGCGGTCTTCACCAGCGGCGGGGATTCCCAGGGCATGAATGCCGCCGTACGAGCCTGCGTGCGTATGGCCATCTACTTGGGCTGCAAGGTGAGTTGGTGACCTCTGTCAAGTACTTTCCGCCCCCGCAGCATCGTGTATGGCACCCCAACCCCAAACCGACCCCGTGTGAACCGAGAAATTTACGTAAAACACCTGGTAATTTGCTTATCAGCAGCCATTGAACCACGGCAATCGGTCTGTTAAGCCAGTTAGATAATCTCTAATCGGTACGAAAAGAAATTCAAGAATATATGTGTATATGCACATTGACATTGGGTTTATTTTCGGGCCCCTCACATGCGACGGATTTCGGCTAATTTGTTTCGTTTTTTGTTGTCGCTCTTGGTTTCGTTTCGGTTTATTTTCCTTTTCAAATGAGTTCTTTGATGTTATAGGGAATTTCTGGGTGTTGGGCACTTCTTTTGCGCTCTAAAATATGCAAATAATTTGTCAATTGGTGCCCAATTTAGATTGATTAAAATCTATTTATTAAATTCAATTTGTTGAGGGTCAATAAAAGTGAAATTTGTGACACGCGACGATGGGCGATTTACTTGCTATCCTATAGGCTTTAATTGTAAATATTTCCTGAGTATGCTAATAACATTTTGCGTTTAAATGGCTGCCAAGCAATTCAACTAATCTAATCTGAACGATCTAAAAGCGCCCAGACATCATTATTGTTTATTTTCTATTTTCCCTTTTTAGCTATGAAGCAATACTAGATTTAAATTAACACAATATAATTATTTTTTTAAAGAACAAAATTAAAGCTCTTGTTTTTATTAAATAAATTATTATTTAAGAAGTGATTAGTCGTAGTAGTTTATTAAAATATTAAATGTGAAAATGAAGATAAATATTTAACTCCGCGAATTGGACTAATTTTAAATTTTGGTGATTCATCTTAAATGGTGCTAATGATGTCATGCGCCACAAAGATAACTCCCTGGTTTACACAATATCTACAAATATTTCGTGTCTTTCTCTGCTAAGGTCTACTTCATCCGCGAGGGTTACCAGGGAATGGTTGATGGTGGCGAGTGCATCCAGGAGGCCAACTGGGCCTCGGTCTCCTCCATCATCCATCGTGGTGGCACCATTATTGGCTCCGCCCGCTGCCAGGACTTCCGCGAGCGCCAGGGTCGCTTGAAGGCTGCCAACAACCTTATCCAGCGGGGAATCACCAATCTGGTGGTCATCGGAGGCGATGGTTCCCTCACCGGCGCCAATCTGTTCCGTCAGGAGTGGTCCAGCCTGCTGGATGAACTGGTGAAGAACAAGACCATTACCACTGAGCAGCAGGAGAAGTTCAATGTGCTGCACATCGTTGGATTGGTATGTTTTGAAGAGGTTTCGTGGGGTGTCACTGCTAATGGGACGTGTACTTACAGGTGGGCTCCATCGACAACGATTTCTGTGGCACGGACATGACCATCGGCACGGATACGGCCCTGCACCGCATCATCGAGGCCATCGACGCCATTTCCAGTACCGCCTACTCTCATCAGCGCACCTTCATCATGGAGGTCATGGGTCGTCATTGCGGGTAAGTCCATCCTTATGAAATGTCCAAGCGATTTCGGGCTGCCCCTGTATTAGCATAAGTGTCAGTGATTAATTGGGATTTTAGCTAATGCCCTGCAACGACTATCTCTAGCTATCTGCCGGTGGTAGCTGGCATTATCTCCGAGGCAGACTACGTGTTTCTGCCCGAGTCTCCTCCACCGCACGATTGGCCCGATCGACTTGTCCTCAAGTTGGAACAGGCAAGCCCAAAAAGGAAATCTGTTGAATGTCGTCGGCTCATTTCGCCCATTTCTGTTTTTATGGCCAAAACACCGTGTCGATCGATCTTAGAGTCCCCGTTTCCCCCAAAAATCCACCTCTCCCCCTTTGACTAATATTTTGTAATGTATTTTTGCAGCTATTTAGCTCTTGTGGGCGGACTGGCGTGCGAAGCGGATTTCATATTCATTCCCGAAATGCCGCCCAAGGTCGATTGGCCAGACAGGCTCTGCTCTCAGCTGGCCCAGGCAAGATGCAGCTCTATTATCCAATCCATATGCACTGAGAAAATCGCTAGAGTATTACGAATATGTTCTCGACAACTCATGTTAAATGTCAAAAAAATCGTAAAGGAAAATTTCGCTGTTTAGAAAGAATTAGTTAAAGCATGTTAAAAAAATTGTCTTATTCTAAAAAAAAAATTATGCTTAAAATTAATTATTTTTTATTTGTTGTGGCTATAGAGCAGTACTTTATAACAATAAATAGTAATGTTAAACTTCATTGAACAACGATAAACTATGTTAATTATATTAAAAAGAGCAAGTTGTCGAGATATTATCCGTGTTTTTGAATAAAGTTTTATACTTCAGTGCAGTTGTCGTCGCTTAATTTATATGCCAATGCCTGAGTAGTACACTGCTACTTTAAGTACACTTTTTTTAAACACACTTATTGAGAGCGACACATGCCATACAAAAGCTTTATCTTATTTTCTGCTTATTGCACACGATTTTTCTCTAAGTACAAACGGAGATACGGAATGATTACGCACAGTTTTTGTCTGTACCAGCATACCAAAATCATATTGTAACTAATCTTAAGTTTACCCCAGATACTCCCAGTCCCCCAATAATGAACCTCCCGACATTTGTGAAACATTTTTTATTTTTGTACTTAATCTTTTGTTTTTTAGTTACTTAGCCATATCGGCAGCCATAGCCACCGAGGCTGATTTTATGTTCATTCCCGAGGAGCCGGTGTCAGTCAATTGGCAGGACGAGATTTGTGTCAAGCTCCAGCAGGTTAGGCCTAGAGTCCTTCGCTACTCAATTAATTTCTAGTTAATCTTTTGTCAAATTTAAAATTCCAAAGTTTTACTGCTTTGTTTTTGGCCCTTTTGGTGTGCCGAAATTTCCATGGCGATAAACAGCTCTAACAGCTATTTGATTTTCTTGTTTGGGTCTTTGGGTCTCTGTTTTATCTGTTTATGTACTCCTCATGATGTCACTGAGTTCCTGTATTAACTTTCCCAACTCCACTAACACTCATCCTCGTTTAATCGATCTGTAAATCTTCATCAATGTTATATTTCTCAAATTACTGCGAATTGTGCGTGTGTTTTTCATATTTCAATCCATTCATTAGGCTGCAGCGTGTTTCAAAAATTATTTTATTCATTATGGAGATTAATTCATCCAGAAATTTTTGTTTATATTTTATTGTGAATGAACTAAATTAAATTTCATAAAATCATGTTCGGATTTATCGGTCTGAAACGCACTGCAATCATAAGCTTGCTGATACACATTCAGTTTCACATAACTCAAACATCAAATGCCAGAACATCCAATAAATACACTTCGTAGAAAAGATGATTTTCACTCATCTGCCTCTTCATAATTTGTTTGTGCTGTTGTAGTTTTTGTATCATCCATTTACACAATATTGTAAATATGCTTTAATTTATGTTTTACCGATTTTCTAACAGGAGCGTTCAGCTGGCCAGCGCCTGAACATCGTGATCGTGGCCGAGGGTGCCATGGATCGGGAGGGTCATCCCATCACTGCCGAGGATGTGAAGAAGGTGATCGACGAGCGTTTGAAGCACGATGCCCGCATCACGGTTTTGGGTCACGTGCAGCGCGGCGGCAATCCCAGCGCCTTCGATCGTATTTTGGTGCGTATTTAGCTTAGGATTACTGAAATATCCGATTTGTATACCACTTCCAAGCAAAACCTTGTTGTCCTTGATAATACGTTTTTCGTAGCATACTTTTTAACGCCTGCGATTATTAAGCTGGCTGTACACGATGCAGCGATTTGAAGTCTGTGTGGCTCAAATAATTATTTTGTTTATATTAAATTCTAAAACCTGAAGTGATTAAAAATACTGTTGTTAATTTTAAAGCGTGCAGTAAACAATGTAGCGTTCTAATGTCTGTGTGGTTCAAATAATTATTTTGTTTATATTAAATTCTAAAACCTGAAGTGATTAAAAATATTTTTGTTAATTTTAAAGCGTGCAGTAAGGTGTGTGCAGTGTAGTTTAGATATTTAGTTATTACATACTTATTATTTTGGAGAAATACTGAACTAACACTTTTTCCCTTGCAGGCCTGTCGCATGGGTGCCGAGGCCACCTTGGCCCTGATGGAGGCGACCAAGGAGTCGGTGCCGGTGGTCATCTCCCTGGACGGCAACCAGGCGGTTCGCGTGCCGCTGATGGAGTGCGTGGAGCGCACCCAGGCGGTGGCCAAGGCCATGAAGGAGAAGCGCTGGGCGGATGCCGTCAAGCTGCGCGGTCGTTCCTTCGAGCGGAACCTGGAGACCTACAAGATGTTGACGCGCCTGAAGCCCCCGAAGGAGAACTTCGACGCCGATGGCAAGGGAATCGAGGGCTACCGCCTAGCTGTGATGCACATTGGAGCTCCAGCTTGTGGCATGAATGCCGCGGTGCGCAGTTTCGTGCGAAACGCCATCTACCGGGGAGATGTGGTGTACGGAATCAACGACGGTGTCGAGGGTCTGATTGCCGGAAACGTCCGCGAGCTGGGCTGGTGAGTTCAAGTCCCAATGGCTTCTGCATGAATGTTACTAATCCTCAACTTAATCCACCCCCAGGTCCGACGTCTCGGGATGGGTTGGCCAGGGTGGCGCCTACTTGGGCACCAAGCGCACTTTGCCTGAGGGCAAGTTCAAGGAGATCGCCGCTCGCCTCAAGGAGTTCAAGATCCAGGGACTTCTGATCATCGGTGGCTTCGAGAGTTACCATGCCGCCGGACAGATTGCCGACCAGCGGGACAACTACCCGCAGTTCTGCATCCCGATCGTGGTTATCCCGTCGACGATCTCGAACAATGTGCCCGGCACAGAGTTCTCGCTGGGCTGTGACACCGGCCTGAATGAGATTACGGAGATTTGCGACCGCATCCGCCAGTCGGCGCAGGGCACCAAGCGCCGAGTGTTCGTCATCGAGACGATGGGTGGCTACTGCGGCTACCTGGCCACCCTGGCCGGCTTGGCCGGCGGAGCCGATGCCGCCTACATCTACGAGGAGAAGTTCTCCATTAAGGACCTGCAGCAGGATGTCTACCACATGGCCTCCAAGATGGCCGAGGGCGTCTCGCGCGGTCTCATCCTGCGCAACGAGAAGGCCAGCGAGAACTACAGCACGGACTTCATTTACCGCCTGTACTCGGAAGAGGGCAAGGGCCTCTTCACCTGCCGGATGAACATCCTGGGCCACATGCAGCAGGGCGGCTCACCCACTCCCTTCGACCGCAACATGGGCACCAAGATGGCCGCCAAGTGCGTCGACTGGCTGGCCACCCAGATCAAGGCCAACGTGGACGCCAACGGAGTGGTCAACTGCAAGGCCCCGGAAACCGCCACGCTGCTGGGAATCGTGTCGCGGCAGTACCGCTTCTCGCCGCTGGTCGAGCTCATTGCCGAGACCAACTTCGAGTGAGTATACGCATGTAGTTCTGGAGAAGCCATTTCTTATCATTAGGTTAAGTGCTACAATAGTCATCCACAAAGTGTCCCAAAATACTAGTCTTCTTCAAACCCATTAATGTTTGTGCTCTTTAACAGTTATTATATATAATCCTAATATATATTATATTATAATATATAATACTCTCTTCTTCCAGCCAACGCATCCCGAAGAAGCAGTGGTGGCTGCGCCTGCGTCCCCTGCTGCGGATCCTGGCCAAGCACGATTCCGCCTACGAGGAGGAGGGTATGTACATCACCGTCGAGGAGGAGTGTGACACCGACGCCGTCGCCTAAGCGGACTCGGATCCGGATTCTGACTACCCACTTCCGCTTACCGCCTCCATCGCTGCATCGAAGCATCCATGTTCTCCTACCCGCACCCTCGAATCTGTCTCTGTGTTCGCTTTTTCAGTTGTTTTGGCACCGCATCCGATCCGTCTTTTGGTTTTGACCATCGATCAGACGAAGAGGCCCATGACAGCAGCACATACGAAAGTATTTCATCATCTACCGACGCATACAACACGCACAAATACATAACTTATTTATATTGCCCGCCAGTCGATTTTTTCTTATGATTTTCCCAAATATCGTGTATTCTTGAATCGCGAATCTCGAATACTGAATAACGTTAATAGTTGATTCTACATTGCAGCCGTACCCAAGAGTCTGCGGACCTGTTAGCGGACACCGTTTCGTATGTTATCGTAAATTGTTGGTTCTTCAGCCCAACTAAATTAAATGTTAAAGTATTTACACAAATTACCCACTCAACGGAACAAAATCTATCTGCAAAGTGTTTTTCGAGTATTGTTATCGAACGAAGCAAAGATCTATTTGTATGGACGTGCTAAATACATAATCAAAGACCTGTAGGCACAATTTAAGCCAGTTTTGTGTTTTAATGGTATGCGGAAACATAAGCCTGCCTTCCTGAGATTCATCGTCCTTAAATTTGTCTTGAAGATGAGTTATATATAGATTTTACATACATGTTTTTAGGATTTAAAAAATCAAAATGAGTCATCAAATAACCAAATAGTTTTTAATTAAAAGTATTGGACATATTTCATACATTTTTTTAGCTTTCGAGGGCAAAAGGCAATTCATAAAAGTTCATAATAATAGGTATGGAGGTAAATAGTTTGACCCAATTAACCAAAGCAATCTAGAAATAAAAAAATTATATTTTAGTTAGGGATGTCCATATATGTACATGTTACAAATTAATTTATCATTATTGGTACAGTGCTGCTGTCCTAATTCGGTGGGTTAAGTATCGATAAGAGTTTACATAATTTCAATAAAAAAACATTATTTAATTTTTTTCTATTACTATAATGTATCATCAGCGTTCAGCAGAGCAAACTTGATTTTGTTGAACACGGCTATTGTAATCAATTTTTATTCTCGTTACTCGTAAAGTAAAAGGGTATATTGTATTCGTTTAAGAAGGGTATATTGTATTCGTGCAAAAGTATGTAACCGGTAGAAAGAAGCGTTTCCGACCCCATTAAATATACATATTCTTGACCAAGATTACTAGCCTAGTCGATCAAGTCATGTCCGTCCGTCTTTTTGGAAGAACGCTGAGATCTCGGAAACTACAAAAGCCAGAAGTTTGGAACTAACAACATAAATATCTCGGCTTAATACGCAGCGCAAGTTTATTTCAGCGGAGCGCCACGCCCACTCGAACGCCCACAATCGCCTTAAACGATTTTTGTCGTGTATCTGGTGCCACATTTTTAAAAATGTCGAAAAATTTTATTTTTTTGTCCTTTTTAATACCTATGGAAATGTAGAATAAAATTTCATAAAACTGTATGACCAAATAACGGAATTCAAGCAGTGCAAGCAGTCAATATGCTGCATGCATAACTCCATTTCCCTCGCACTTCCTTCATCTGCGTAACGTCGAGGGACTCGACTATAGCGTTCTCTTTTGTCTAAACTGTCTTTCAATTACAGTTACCTACAGTTTTACAGGACTAATATTCCCCAATAAGTGGTGATATAATAAACAGGCAATAATTACTTTTGCGCAAAACAATATTAATAAAATGTAAAGGTATTTCATTATTGGCTTATCAGTTTCAATTTCAAGTCGCACATATATTCGGTGGAAACATCTTTATAAATAAGAAAGGAAATGCTGCAGTGGAGGTCGGCTATAACAAACAATCGACGTTTCCGCCGCTTGTAAACTATCGTTGTAATCGATGCTGCCATCGCTGCTCTGCCAGCTCTAGCCACTTCGACTTTTTTTTGCCACGGATTGTGTATGTAGTTTTAATTGTGCTCGAAAAAACTGAGTTAAAGTGGATGTCAGCGTAGAGAAATCGCGCCCGAAAGTACTAGACATTTTGGTCCACTGTGAAGTGCGGCTAAAAACGATGTTAATGCATTAGTTCCAGTTAGTAAAACGGGTACGAAGCCAGCTCGAATTAGAGTTTCGAAGTGCGTAGCACAAAATTTCAAAGAAATTTCACGGGGGTGATAAACGATAAAGCAGCAAAGGGACGCTATATGTACAGATATATGTATGATGTGGAATTAATGGATATAGTCGGTGTTTTTTGCGTGTGTTCCATATTTGCAGCAACTCCAAGACGCTGCTGCAAACGTATTCTGTCCATTAAGCGCCGAAACCGAAACGCCACTGGCAAGAAATGGTGTCCACCCGCCAAATGTGCAGTGGAGGCGGTACGACGGCTTCGGAGGGGGTTCCCCCCTTTGGCGGTTCGGGTTCGGGATCGGGATCGGGATCTGGAGTGGGATCCGGATCGGGATCGGGGCTGCCAGAGCCCCCCGAGAGCACCGCGAACCGAACCTCCGTCCTGCGACGAACCACCAGTTATCAGGGTCACCAGAACCAGAACCAGGCTCAGGCACCTGGGCAGGTGACCTCGCCGGCCAGCTTAGCCTACTCCGCCAGCGTGGTGACCCGCCACCACTCGTACACCATCCAAATGCAGCGGCAGAGGTCACCCACGGCCAGCACGACCACCAGCCACTCGCTCGGTTTCCTGGATCTGCCCAACGAGCTGATTGAGAAGACCCTCAGTTACTTGGACTTCAAGAAAGTTTCGAATCTCAGATTGGTAAGTGCACAGCTCCGCCCCCTGTTCCACCCAAGCGTTGGCTATTAAATCAATAAAAAGCAATTTGCCCAAGTGCAAGCGTGGTACGGGCCGGGTTATCCAACCAACAGACTACCTGCACTTGTATGCCTGTTCTGATATTCTGCTGCTATGTGCATTATTTTCGCCATGCGTTGTGCTTCCCTCAACGGATTTCGGATTTCCCTTGGCAGGAGGCAATTAAAACTTTGTCACGAGGGCACATGCACTTGCGATTGTTTATATTTAGCGGCGACGAGTGTCATCTTGACTTCGGTTGGGGGGAAAATGGGCAGGCAGGCAGGAATTACATTTTAACAGGTCCATTTAAGGGACTCCACATCTCAGTGGGATAAAAGCTAATTCCTCTCCGGTTAAATATATTCAAACTTCAACGCATAAAATGTACTTTAAACTGAAAACTCTTTTTAACATCAAAAACCTTTTTTAAGTATTATTTACCGAATAAGAAAAAATTAAAATAATGTTCATTTGACGATAAAGAATTCAAACTTAACAAGAGAAAATACCCTTGTTTTTAGAAATAAGCGAGTCCAAAACTGGTTATAAAATATTTATTTACCAAGACTTAACAACTAAATATTGGAAATAGTTAACTTTCCTTTTTAACTACTCCAGTAATTAAATCTATTAAAGAGTCAAAATTAGCGTAGACAAAATTAGGTAAAAAATTGTTCCACGGATACATGTATTTCAAGGAACTGCTTTAGCTCAAGGTCCCGAGGGTAACTACACTTCGGTGTTTGTTTCTCGCTGGCCGATTTGCCTGCAGCGCGTCTCCCTTCCACAGTTCGTTGTGTATGTATGCATGGTTATTTGTTGTAGGTAGCGGCGACAAATGTAATCTGATATAATTTAATAACAGGCAGAACCACTAGCTCGTGGATGGATGCGGGCCCAGCAGCCGAAAACGAAGTGGAGACCTTAGCCCGAAACCCCGAAACATTCTTGTCTCTGTACCGCCTGCTAACCCGAATCCCGGATGTCCCTATTCGCAGGTGTCTCATCGCATGAACGACATTTGCATGGCCATGCTGAACGCAGCCTTCTCCAGGCAGATCAAGACCACGTTCAGCCGCTTCCAGTCGATCAAGGCGAGCATGCCGCGCAGGGAGTCCGCCCGCCGCAATCATCCGCTGGCATGCGAGTGCGACATCATCGAGACGTGCTACATGCGCCTGTCCTTGCTGCAGATGTCCATGGGCAAGCACATCGAGCGGGGTCACTGCTGCTTCTTTCCGGGCGCCGTGAGTCCAGTTGTCCGCCTAGCAAACTCAGATTAATCAGAACTTCCTCCACTTCCAGATACTAGACGAGGTGCAGGCGATCCTCAACTACATCAGTATTACGCCCAGGCTGCAGCGACCCTATCGGGTGACCGATGAGCTCTTCGATCTCTCCACCATGGCCATGGAATACTTCAAGGACCGCATAGAGTCCACGCTCCCGGGGCTGGCCTACTTCAACAAGGACTTCTACACGCTGCCCACCACCACAAAGCGACGTAGGTGTTCCGACCCAACTCCCTGGATCTCAAACTAATCGGTGCTTCTACCCCTCAGCCACGCTTGCCATCAGCTCAGATCTCGAGGACAGTGCCAGCAACTCGCCGCCCCAGAACCACATGGTGCTCCGCAAGGGCATCCGCAAGATCAAGCAGGGGATGAAGATGTACAACAACCAGCTGTCGGTGCTGCGCACCGAGCTTCGCACCTGCAAGCGCAAGGCCGCCGAGCAGAGCAAGCAGCTGGCCGAGCAATCGAATCTCCTGGCGGAGCAGCAGAAGCAGACGCTCGAGTACGCCAATCGGCTGGACGAGAACGACAAGAAGAACGAGGAGATGTCGCGCAAGTTCTCCACCCTCTTGCAGGTGAGTGAGCGCGGAATTGAAATACCCTGGATTGGCATTGATTCTCTCTTTCGGTTTGCAGGAGCTCAACAAGTGCAAGACGGAGCTGCAGTTCCGGCGCTCCAAAAGTCCGGCCATCCCTGCCGTGTGCAGTTCGTGCAATCAGAAGGTGGCGCCCATTGTGCCACCGGAGGATTTTCAAGTGCTGCTCAACCAGGGCGCGGATCCGGAGCACTTTGTCATCATCAATGACGATGCGGATGCCGAGAGCGATGTAAGCGTGGGCGAACTTAAGGAGTTTGCCTCGCCAGACGAGTCCACCACGGCCAAGCTGCTGGCCGTGAGCAGCGCAGCCAAGAATCTGAAGCGCAAGCTGCCATCGGAGAGCCAGTCCAATGCCATAGCGTCCACCTCGAAGGCAGCGGAGGTTGCCCAGTCCCAACTGCTGGCTGTGGCCGGTGGTGCTAATGGAGGAGCTGCCAAAGCTGCGGGCGGATACTCGCCGAAACTGTTCTATGGCAATCACCAGCGCAGTGGCGTGATTGTGAGTCCAGTGTCGAAGAACACGGCGGTGGCCACGCCATCGGACCATGTGGCGCCCGGGCAGGAGGCTCTCGAGGAGCCGGAGGAGGCGAAGAAAGCACGTAGAGTACAAAAGGCCAACAGATATGTAAATACGCCCGGCAAACGCAGTAAATAAGCATTAGGACATACGCATATACACTTTACATATTTTTTACCACTTATTTACATATAATGCGTGCATGCCTGCGTTCACCTGACCCCGAGGATGTGGGCTTGGGATCGGGGCATGCGCCGTAGTGTTAACGGAGGAATCAAATTAATATATACACTTATATCTATTAATGTCAAATGCAATAGGCATTTCGAATATTAATCATTATTATTATTATTATCGAGTACAACAAGCGTGTCTGTATGTTCTTCGGTTTTAACGCCCCGCAAAAACAAGTCTAGTTAACCACCACACTACACCGAACATCACACGAATCCCGTAGTTATTGGCAGAGCAAAACAGATAATAATAATTTAAAAGCAAGGTAATTTTAACTAAGAAAAACAAAAAAAAATCAACAAAGAAATATTTTAAATAAAACTTTAAAAGCATTCAAGTGGAGTTATGGAGTATGGATCTATCCCCGAATGAATTACGAATTGTGAGTTATACATGAAGAGCTACAATTTATTTACAAGACAACAAATGGAACAAAGTTAAAGCTTCTGTGAGCGCTCCTTGCCAGCCAGTGGCTTATTCCGCTCATCCCAAAGGGTGACACCATCGCAGGCACAGATTTTCTTGAAGTTCTCCAAAATGCCCGCCGAACGGGCAATTATACCGCAGGCGATTCTGCGGGAAATCCAGTTTAAAGAAATGATGTCAAAGGGATAGTAATAGACGTACCTTTCCCCAGAGTTGCCGTCGACCAGGCTCTGTTCGTTGCCGCCACGTCCCAGGTCATCGGCACTAGCGGTCAGCACGACAGCCCTTCCGATGATGTCCCAAACCTGCAGCACTGGATCCACAAATCTGAAGGTGGCCCTGCCACTTTCATCGGCCCGTATGTTGCCCAAGTCCCCGGCATGGCGCTCATCTGCACCAGCTGCGGGGCTTCCATGCGGCGACTGGCGGGGATTGTAGTGATCTCCGACGGAGGAGCAGCCGGCCGAGGTGTCCCCGCTCTCGTGGATGTGGAACCCGTGTAGACCCGGCGTCAGTCCGTCCACCACGCCATCCACCACCACTCCGGGCTCCCTTTCCGTGATGGTGGTAAAGCGGACGACTCCCTGGATCGGCGTTTTGTCCACCACACTGCCCGTGGTGTTGATGAGGGCCACCGCCGACTGACCTCCGAATCCCGAGAGCACGGCCTTGCGCCCGGTGGCTTCTATCTTGTCGTGAATCTCCGACCAAGGTCGCTGGGTCTGAACTATCACACGGCCCTCCTGGGTGTCGATCTCCACCTGACCCATGCCCTCCAGCGCTGAGCGGAGGGCTCCGGCGTAGGACTCGTCGCCCTTGCGCATTTGCACTGCAAACTCAATCTACTCTTTAACATGGAAGCATGTTTCCCGGTCTTCAAGGTAGATCCTTACCTTGATGGAGGTCATTTTTGTGGCCAAAGTGCCGATTAACAATGATAAACAAACTTTGGCCCGCTTTTGTAGTGTGACCGAAGTGGAACCCCGCCGAAATCAATAAAGAAGAATATTAGGGGGACTCTTTTTTAATTTAATTATTCTTTGAACACTACACGGTGTTGCTTAAAAAGGTCAGAGGCCAACAAATCGAATTTAACTGATTATTAAATGATTTAATGAAACAATTTAAAAATATAATTTTAAACCTTATTGAGTTGTATTTTATTAATTTCAAAGTTTGAAATTCGAACCCATAGTTTCCGGTACAAGGGAATAAATATATTTAGCGGTCAAACAATATATTAAATACATTAAAAAGTAACTTTTAATTATTATATTATTATAAACTCGTTAGTCTATTATCTGAGAGCAAAAGCTACAATTATTTTACAATTTCAAGCTATACCTCGGCTCTACTTTCGAATAGCACCTACTGATTTTGTTAAAAGTTGCAGGATCCATGTACATAATTTAATTTATTTTAAAGTCTACCAAATATTTGTCCGATTAATCTTAAATTCGGCGTTGCCAAACGTTTTAACACGGGTTTGCAAAGTGTCTCTGTTTTGAGCGCCCAATTCAAACTGCTAACCCCGAACTAGCTGGGATGCTAATTATTCTAATTTCTGTGCTAATTCTCGGACCTGTAGCTCCATTCACTTCTTATTACGCTTTATAATTTTTTATCAACTTTTCTTTATGGCAGCCGACAGTTTTAATCAATGGCCATAAAGAGTATTTTTAAGCCAAATGCTGCTAATTCGTGCGAATTAAAAGCGCTAATTAAAGTCCCCAAAAAACCCTAAGCGACAGATGCCACTTTAGTTGTGGTCCCAAAAAAAAAACGTGCAACCAATCTCGATGAGCGTTTCCATGCGCGCCAATTTATTGCAGCAAATTGCGTCTTTGACTTTCATTGTGCAAAATAAATTAATTTCACTTGGGTCCCGTTATTGATGGCAATTTAAAAACAATTGAGAAATATTTAATATTGCCTTCAATTGAAGAAATGTAAAAGGAAGCACTACAACAGGGAATAATAATAAAGCCAAGTCCAGTCAATTTCCGAAAATTCGGCAATTCGGAACATGGCTTTGGTCAATTAAGGCCTCAATTAGCACGGCGTTTGGGGATTGACAAAATTAAGTCGGCATTAGAGTACCGTTACTAGGCTTAGATCTGTAAAGTTTATTTGAAATCGCTTTAATCAACACACAATTCTAAAAGTTGACTGAAATAGAAAAGTTAATGCATTAGCCGCCAGTCAGGACGTAAAAAGTTGTTCAAATGTCATTCTACAGATTTGCATTTAAGGTTTCATCATTCATATGTACATATATTAAGGCAATGAACTCTATTGGACATTTAGGTAATTTGTTAACCTCTGTTCACAACAAATTTAATTGACTTACGAAATTACAAGGAAAAGTATTTGCCCTACAATGTAAAAACATGCATGTTGATTTTTGACAATACATATAAGGACGCATAAGGTCTTTGAAGGCAGAAATAGAATCTCGCACACAAAATACCGCTGGTTGCTTTCAGGTGAAGCTAAGGAGTTTAGGTATTAAGTAAACTTGCCTGGCAAAATTAACTTCCTCTTCTGTTTAAAATTGGGACAGTTTATCAATTGGTATTTCAATATAAGATTGGGAACAACAGTAACATACACACAAAAAAAAAACTTGGTAAAATCAACTGTAATAATTGTCAAACAGGCCCCAACCAGCAAAATTGTCAATTCTACTAAGTAAATTGTCATTTCACAACAACAAAATACACACAATTAGCGAAGACGCAAACCCAAAGCAAAAACAAAATACACGTAACTATTTTAATAGTTACGTAACTATCTTTGTTGGTCAATTTTACCAAGCAAATTTTTTTGTGTGTAGGGGCTGTCCATATATTACGTAATCACCTAGGGGGGGAGGGGGTCATTGAAATGATTATGTTTGATTACATGGGGAGGGGGGGTCTTGTACAATGATTACGTAATCATTTTATATTAATTTTTTTATTTAAAAACTTTTTTCCTTTAATTATATCTACAAACCAGGGACCAAAAATAAGTGTTATTGTAAATTTTTCATACAAAAAAATCACGCATTGTAGTTTACAAATCCGTAATGATTTTTATTTTTTGATTTTTATAATAAAACTCAAAAAATAACTGTTATTTTTTGATTTTTATGAATAACAGTTATTCCCTTGACATTTTTGAAAAAATGAAATAAATAAAAAAAACATGATTTCCGTGTTTTATATAACTTACTAAAAATTTGTTAAAAAAGGCAACCGTGCATATTTTATACCTATATTTTTTTTAAATTTATTTTACCCACAAAATCGCCATAAATCAAGTTTGAGTTTTATTTTTGATCACGACGAATAACTGTTATTTGCCAACTTTTATTATAAAACTCAAAAAATAACAGTTATTCCTTGAGTTTTACTTTACAAATCAGAAAATAACTGTTAAAGTGTGATTTTTAAAATAAAACTTATAAGGGGCTGTCCATATATTACGTAATCACCTAGGGGGGGGAGGGGTTTATTGAAATGATTATGTTTGATTACATGGGGAGGGGGGTCTTGCACAATGATTACGTAATCATTTTATATTTATTTTTTTATTTAAAGAATTTATTTAAAAACTTGTTTTCTTTAATTATATCTAAAAACTTGGATAGGCAAATAGGAAAGCAGAGAAAAAAATTTTTTTTAAGTGGCTGGGCGGCAAAAAAAAAAGAATGTTTAGTGGTTTAATTACACGAAGATGCCAGGACCTGGAATGGCTTGACGAAGAGTATGTTGGAAATAATTTCAGCGTAGACGAAGCGAATGAGTCATACCAAACTCCATTTATAAACAATATATAAGATTGGGTTGCATCTCCGTTTGAATCCACAGATTAAAACAAAAAAAATTTTATTCTTGGGATTACGTAATCATTGGGGGGGGGTTTGTTTATTGAAAAATCACCAAAAACGTGATTACGTAATATATGGACAGCCCCTAACAGTTACGGTCCCTGCTACAAACTTAAATAGGAAAGCAGAGAAAAAATTTTTGTAGTGGCTGGGCGGCGAAAAAAAGAATGTTTAGTGGTTCAATCACACGAAGGACGCGAAGACCTGGAATGGCTTGACGAAGAGTATGTTGGGGATAATATCAGCGAAGACGAACCGAATGTGTCATACCAAACTTCATTTATAAACAATATTAAAGATTGGGTTGCATCTCCGTTTGAATCCACAGATTAAAACAAAAAAAATGTTATTCTGGGGATTACGTAATCATTGGGCGGGGGGTTGTTTATTGAAAAATCACCAAAAACGTGATTACGTAATATATGGACAGCCCCATAACTGTAACATAAAAAAAAATGATTAAGATGAGGGACGGGAAATCGCGCTTAAAATGGGAGGTAGAAGAGAAAAATTTAAATTCGTGTTATAGAAGTTGCATATTTTGTAATTATAGTTGGATGGGGCATCAAATGGTTTTTACAGAGTTCACCAGGTCCACCCTAGCAATGGATCGACGCCATACGCCCTGAAGAGCTCGGCGCCCACACAAAAACAGCAGGTGCGCTCTGCAAGTACTCTCTTTAGTAGATGCTCTTTGGGGCAGCGACTAACGACAACAGCTGTTCTTGTTGATAAATAGCAATCACATTCTTTGTTGCCTTTTTGCTGAACAGCAAATGCAAGTCAGCCCCAAAAAACTTTAGACAAACTGGAAGCGAAAACGGGAATGTTCGGCTAGATAGGTTAGCCTGGTAAAAGTGCGTGGCATGGCAAATTAGCCTTGCCTTTGTTTTTATTGCATTCCACAAAGACGCACACACACACGCACTGGGGGGCAACCATTCTGCATTCGTGTTTGTGGGCCGAAGAGAAGAGCGCCCCAAACTGTTGTTGCTGTTGTCGCTGCTCTTTTGGAGCCGTGCGAGCGAGAGAGGAAGAGAGAGAGTGGGAGAGGAGCGAGAGAGATATAACGGGCTAGCTAGTGTGTTTTAATATTAGCGTTGTGACGTCCCGCTCACCAAATCAGTACTTTTCGTACCAGCGCCGTTAAAACACATGTTCAGCGACTTTATGCGGGAGTGCAAACTAATCTGGAAGAGCAACAACCATAGCAACAGCAACAGCAACAACAGCAAAAACAACAGCATCATCATCAAAAGCAACAGCAGCAGAAAATTTTAACACGTTGACGGTTTTTTCTAGTGTTTATCGCGAGCGGAAAAGCTTAATTAGCGCGTACTAGCGAGACCCCGAAATCTTTTTCTCCTCTTGGTCTTTGCGTCTTTGAGTGTGCGTGCCAAAATTTAAATACGTCATCGACGCGCGCAGCCTTAAAACATCAAAAAAAAACCGATACACATACATACAAGCGGAATATAGAATTCAATTGCAGGAGCAACAAATAAGTCCAACAAATTGAGGAAAAAGTTCCATAACACAAAACACCACACAGCAGCAATTTGAATTAATTAACTTGTTATTGTGTAGTAGCATTTCTGCCTTTTGCCATTCACCTCGAAGCGCAGGCACACAAAAGAACGTGCAAAACAGCTGAGACAGCGACTCAAACTGAGAGTAACGGAACGTCAAGCAACAAGTGCAGCGATAGCAGCAGCAGCAGCAGCAGCAACAACAACAGCAGCAGCGACACAAAGCCCTTTCAATTGAAAGAGAGAGAAAGCGTGTAGATGTGTGCACTCCAATAAAAATACGAGTACAAACACTTTGTTGTTGCCACAATCAATTAGAGTGATAGCAGAGCGGCAGAGGCGCAGGCAGCGCAGCAGCAGCATCCGCATCAATTTGCTGGCAGGCAGAGCACATCAGCATCAGCATCTTCGGGTCGGCTTAATTCCGAAAAGTGTCACTGTGAGCGTAGTTGCTCCGTTGCTCCCGTTCCGCCTCCGTAATCGCAACCGCTTGTTGTTATTGCCGGACTCGTCCGCCGATCCGCGATCTGGGATCTTTCGTTGTATTTGTAGCAGCGCCGTCGTCTTGATTGGAACGCTCCGTATTTTTTCGTAATTTTTTTTCCGATTCCGAACCGAAACTGTGGTGTATCCGTAGTTTCCCGCTAACGGCGAAAATTCACACAACTCATTGATATTTTAACCTCGTGTCCGCGTTGGCTGCCGCTCGACCAAGGTTCTGCCGCACAAAATGCTCGTCTCTTTGGGCTTTTCGAAGCCTGGCTTCGTCGGACTAAAAGTGCTCCTCTAGCACGCTGAAAGCACAAGTCCGGCCACAAAAAAAACAACAAAATCTAAAACAATATATATAACCCATTGAATTGGCAGCCAAAGTTATCACCACCCACCGTATACACCGTTATCGTTATCGCGAAAACAGAATCCACAGATAAAAACGTTCCGTTTCGTTTCGTCGTAAATACAGTGCTAAATCGTGTGAAGCAAACAAAAACTCCCTAATTCGCCTAATGAAAGCCGAGAGCCTTTTTTGTGAATAATTAGCCCCGAAAAAACCTGTTCGCGGCCGCAAAAAATTAGGCCCCCATAAAAAAAGTGACGATCCAAGAAACTGGCATCTCGCCCGCCTGATATATAACACCCCAACACACACTCGCAAAGCCCGCGATAACACCCATACTAAAAAAAGAGCGAAAATCCAATCCAGCGAATCAACTTCACAGTAACGTCGCAAACTCAGTGCAAGCCAGAGCTAAATCGTCGAGCAAACCGAGTAGTTGTGTCTAAAACCGTTGGTCCCCCAATCGTTGAATCTAAAAGCTTCAAGTTAAACCCAAAAACACCCCCACAATCTCGCCATCAGTGATCATTATCCAGCGCCAATAACTGCGGAATAATGTCAGCCTTCTGACAGTGTCTAAACAGAGGAATAAGGAAGCAGAAAGTTACATAACCAACGTTGAAAATACCAATTTTTTTGGAAGCGAAACCCCACAAGTGTCCCATAGCTTTAACTGCTAATTGGAATGTCGCATATCTGACAGTGACTAAATAAACACCGAAAAGCAACCCCCGAAATAAATCCAAAATCCAAAAAGAACTCAAGCAGAGAAATAACTTAAAAAGCGTGGTAAGCGAATCGCCCAGGAAAACAACCGAGAAGCCTGTGTTATCAGTGAATATTCACATATATAGACATTCGATTCCAGCGTAAACAACTGCTATATAATGTCCGTCGCCATCTGACAGTGGTCCAAACAACCAGCAACCAGAGCTAAAGAATCGCCGTAGCTAAGTCGACAAGTTTCACTAGATCGAGTGAGACCTGTACCGTAGAACCAATCCAAAACATTTGAACCTTGCAACCCGGGCAAACCGATTCAGAGTAAATGGAGAAATCTGAAATACGACTGCATCGCATGTCAAATGAATATCAGTCGCAATCGAGCTATATGTATCTCCGGACCAAGATGCTGTTAAAAATCGAAAACACCCTACTTCGAAGCCATCGTCAGCGCGAGACCACCGGTATCAAGAAACTATACAATTCGTTTTTCGTATTGTTTTAACTTGCCCCCGGCCATCCCCGAACCCTCCCAAAGGCCCCAAGAACACAATACGCACAAAAGCAACATTTCCAATTCCACTCAATTGTGAGCCAAGTTAGAAAAAGTTACAAAAAGCAAGTTATACATGTTTTACCTATATTAAATACATATATAATATATATGAATAAACTAGAGATATTATTTGGTTGTTAGTAGAACTCACGTCAAGTGCATATTGTTAGCCCTCGTATATCCAAGTGCTGTGCGACGAACGATTTAGTAAGTGTGTCATATGAGCATTTTGAACAAGCCAAAATGTTAACCTAAGCAAGTACCCAGTAAGTGTCAGTCGATTTTTCTACTTTTTCTACTTCGAATATTACTATTACCATCAATCACCTTGGTTGCATTTCGCGTTGCACCGAAAACTTGAGCAAAATTGCTGGCGAAAGGACTCCGGTCGGAAGCTGTGATTTGTTTATTTCGGGTTGGAGGAATCCATCGAATAATTCAGGCGGCTATCTAACAAAAAACAAAAGAAATAACAACAAAGGACTAAGCAGAAAAGAACGCGATTCCAACGCCGTTAACTCACGTACCGAATGGCGCTTTCGTTTCTATCGCAAAACTCCGGTCTGTTGGATTTACAAAGCATATTTGATCCACAATATTCTCATCATCAACAACAACAACAACATTTGAGCCACCACCCACAACATCACATTCAACAACATCAACAACAACAAGAGGAACATATTCAACAAGAGCAGCGCACCCTTTCAACGAAGTTCGATTTGAACCTTTTCAACGAATTAGACCAAATGGAATTCAACAACAATTTAAACCGAGATCAATACCAGAATAATAATATCAACAACAGCAGCAATAATCAGAACACCAACAACAACACTAACAACAGTGTAAGTGAAACCCTAAATCAGGTGAGTTTAAAGGTCACCAACACTTCAGTATCCATGCTCTTAGGTATTTTAAAAACATTCTACCACAAATAAAATATTACATTTAAAAAGTATCGTGTTGCAAATATAATCAAAATATAAAATTTCTTAAAAATGTCAATTAAAAAACTCGTTTCAATGAGAACTTAAGCTGAGTGTGGGGCATTTTTTCATGTTTACTTTAGAACATCAAGTAAATTAGAAGTTCAACAGAATCCAGACTAATTATAGATGGAAATGTTTATACAACTGTTTTTCAAACCATCGTTAGTTTGCTTGTTAAATCGAAATAGCCACCGTTAAGATTCCTTACAATTGAACGAAAAAAACTTTTCAAGATTCCCCAGCTAAATCAGTTTGCCTTGGGGCAAATATAAATATATAGTTCAATTGCTAATTATACTATATGGCGGGGTGTATCATATAACAAAGTTGTGGTAGACAGATAGATAGAAGGGAAAACAGCACAACAGCGTTTAATAAAAAGTTGCAAACGTTACGTCAACAGTCCGACTCACTCGCCAAGTCGATATCTGTTTTTTGTCCCCTTATTTTTGGATGTTCGTTTAAATATAGCCACAAGTTCTGGGTCTTCTTTGCCCAGCTCTTCAAGCTGAACCGTTTTCCGTTTGTTTACACACATCGAGCGTGTTCGAACTTATCTTTCAAACGCATAATTGTATGGAATCCAGCCGAATACGAGTCCTCATCGGCAAACAAACATGAATCGATGGGTGTTTTCACCCACTCTCTCTCTCGAAAAAGAGACAAAGAGGGATTTAGAAGAGCTCAGGCGAGATTTTAAGCGGCCTTATCAGCAAGGTTCGGACTCGGACCTACATATATAGTATTCGAGCTGGACTGTAGTGATAATGCTGAGAGGGCATAGCCTCGTTGGCGGCTAGACACGCTTTGTTGCTGCCTCTCTGATTCCGATTCGGTTCTATAATTTGTTACGGCGTCGAAATTCAGTTTTCGAACTAAAATCCCTCCGTTTCGGTTTTCCAGATCCAAAACCGCCACTTCATCAGCGGCTACCATCACCAGCATATTGGATCGGATTATGAGCAAGTGATCAACTTTGTTGACTCGCCGCCAAACTCCGAGGAATCGTGGACAGGTAAGCCGCAATGCCGCAATCAGGTTACCCAGATCAATCAGCTCACCTCATCTCCATTATCATCACCTTCGACATCCATTGAACTCGTAGAGACCAGCTCGCTAATCGAACAAATTACGATTGTCGTAGACGCCCAGTCGAAGGACTCGCCGGGACCGCAAATCATCGACGTGCAGACCATTTACCTGAACAGCGGCTCACGCAAAAGACGAATGGATTGGGACTCCTTGGACATTGTCCAAAGTGAAAACTCACCAACAGCATCGCAGAGCGGCGAGCTGCCCACCAAAGTGGCTCATCAGGAGAAGGACAAGCACAAGCGCGAGAAGCACTCGGGTAAGATTCCTATCAACCTATACTTCACCATTAACTTAAAAGGGATAAGCCGCAAACTATTTGTACATAAATATGCTAGATTCCAGGTGCTCAAACTCTATGTTACTTATTTGGGGAAATATGAAATTGACGCTTGTGGCGGCTGAGTGTCTAAATTTCTATGCAGATAATAAAATAAGATGACTTGGAATTACCCACAGTGACTAATCTTCCAATAAAGTCCCGTAACAAAACTGCAGTCCTATCACCAAATAATGAGAGCCTTGCTTTCGAATATGAGAATTATTTTTTGCTAAGAATGTTTTTTATTTGAGCAAAGATTAGCTTTTAAGTAAAGCCCAGAAGCTTGTAAATAATTCCCTGCTAATTTTAACCACAACTTAAAACAGGTCCAACAATCATATTAAACAATCATATTTTTAAAAATTTAAAATAAAAATGTCACACTCTCATCCAGATAATAATTTAAATGTATCCGAAAGTATTAATTCAATGCAAGTATAAAAGATAAAATTATGCAAAAAGGTCATAAATTAGCTTAGTGATTTGCATAAAATGTAGGGTGACCCACAATCAATGGAAGCAAGAATCAAGAATGAAAGAAGTCTCGATCGGAGCTGATGATTCTTCCTGGGATTGCAGCTGGAATCTGGGAGCGAGTCAGAAACTCGTTGCCCTCCCGCGTTTGCAGGCAAATTAGAAGCTGCCGTAATGGAGAAACCCGTTTCCGAGTTGCGCCTCTTTGATTATACAGCCCTGTACAAATCTGAATATATACAAATGTATGTATATTGGAATGCCCAGACAGATGTACCCAATCTAACGACTAATTCGATCGTAAGTCCATAAGACAAACGTGAGTCTTTCTGTTGTTGGGTGCTAAGTGACGTATAAACAGTGGAATATGATCGCTAATTAGTCTGTATCTATCAGACATTGGAGTTATACGACATATGCGTGAGATCACAATTAAAGGTTGCGCTGGGCAAAGGGTTAAACTTGAGGAGGTTTGAAGAAGTTGGGCAAACTTGGCGCAGGTGGAGTTGCACTTTGGAGGACCCCGACTTTAAATAGTTTCATAAACTTATTAACATTCGGCAGTTTTTTATATCGGAGCTTCGGTAGCCGTAATGAAATTAACAGCCTGCGATGGTTAAAACTCGCCATAAAACAGTTTTTTTTTTTTTTTTTAGTGTAACTCATATAATTTTACATTAATCAGCCAACTTAATGGCTATAAAACGTATAGTACAAATAGGAACAAATAACTTGAATACATAACAGGATGGCGAGTAACAAATCTTATAACTTATAATAGAAAACTAAAACAACAATACAAAAAACGCATTACTGCTTCAGGACTCGTGAGACATGACGTCCTCTTGTCCAGAGATCGCCGGGGTGCCTTCGCTTTAGCCGTCTCCTGTTCAATGGGTTGGCCAAGGAAGCTGCTAGGTGGTTGGGGTGTCCTGTGAGGCGGTCGTTATACCGACTGGAGTGCCGGTTTATCTGGTCCCTGACAGAGGGCATGTGGAGATCGTTAGCCAGGTCGACGTTTCTGACGTACCACGGCGCATTTGTAATTGTTCGCAGCGCTTTATTTTGAACTCGTTGGACCTTCATGACGTTAGAGTCAGAAGCCACGCCCCAGAGTTGGATGCAGTACGTCATTGAGGGCACCACAATAGTTTTGAATAGCAACACTTTGTTGGCAAGGCTGAGCTTGCTTGTTGACTTCAGCATCCAGTTTAGCTTCCTTAGCTTAGCGCGACATGTAGCTGCAATTTTTGTAGTGTGCTGTTTCCAGGTGAGCCGTTTGTCCAAGATCAGACCCAGGTACTGCGCCTGGGGAGATTGCGGGATGGTGGTGCTATGGAGCTCAACCGTTGGAAGGATCTGTCCTCTCAGAGTGAAGTTGCAGTGTTGAGACTTTCTGCCATTAATTGCAATATTCCACCTGTTTGTCCACTTGCCGTAGGAGTCAAGAAATTCCTGGGTTATTCTAGATGCTTCAATACGGCAGGTGGAATTTACAAGGAAGGCAGTGTCGTCAGCGTAGGTGGCAAGAAGAGTGTCCGGTGCATTGATAGACGGCAGGTCAGAGGTGAACAGGGTGTATAGAACGGGGCCCAGGACGCTTCCCTGAGGAACGCCAGCACGAGAAAATCTTAAGCTTGACCTTTCCCCTCTTACCTCGACCATGAAGCTTCGATCGAGCAAGTATGATTTGAGAACAAGGAATAGGCCTGTCGGGAGTAGGGTCTTCAACTTATGGAGTAATCCTTCATGCCATACGCGGTCAAATGCTTCCTTGACGTCGAGGAAAATAGCAGAGCTGTATTGCTTATTCTCAAAAGCATTTAAGATGTGCTGGACTAGTCGATGTGCTTGCTCTGGGGTCCCATGATGATTCCTAAAACCAAACTGATGGTCGGGAATGGCATCCTGCACGCTTCTTACTCCCAAGATTCTACTTAGAATTATTCTCTCGAATATTTTAGAGAAAGTGGGTAGCAAGCTTATCGGTCGATAGGACTCGACAAGATTCTCCGGTTTTCCTGGCTTTGGTATCATCGTTATCACAGCACACTTCCATTGAGAGGGAAAGTGGTGGATACGTAGCATTGAGTTGAATAGGAGAACAAGGAACAGGATTCCCTTTTTAGGCAGAGCCTTGGCAATTCGGCTGTCTATGCCGTCGAGACCCGGCGCTTTACTGGGATGAAGCTTTTGTATGTGAGTACAGATTTCTTCTGGACTCACGTGTTGAATCGGTAATGCTTCCGGGGAAGGAGCATTAAGAAAGGCCAGTGTTTCTTCAACGTCCTCGGGTCTCGCTAGGTTGAACGGCTGAAAACGTTTCTCGAGTTCATCTGCGAAAGCTAGGGATATTTCGGGGTCGGACTTACACCATGTATCGTCAGCTTTCCTAATGGGGATATTTCGGAGAGGCTGACGTTTTATATTCCGTGTTAATTTCCAAAGGTTGAAGCCGTATGGTTTGGTGGTGTCCGCGTTGATGAGCATATCATCGAAATATTCGCGCTTTGTTTCATGCAGAAGCTTTTTGAGTTCGTCCTCAGCACGGCGATAGGCTCTTTTGTCGACTTGATCCTGGGATCTAATATATCTGCGACGTAGGGATCTTTTCAGCCTTACCAGGTCCATAACCTCAGGTTTTAAAGGAGCCTGAGGTCGGTTGGAGAGGTTTGAGACTTGACCATTGGTTGAGGACTCGGCAGCGATATGGATGTTCCGGGCAAACATCTCGACAGCGTCGTTTATGTCATCAGGAGAGCTTAACACCATATTCAGATTAACTAGCCGGTTTATTACTGCTTGGAAGCGTGGAATGTTCGCATTTCGAGGAAGGATGCGAGGCCTATGGCATATTTTTTGCGCAGCAACTCTGAATTTAATTATCAGTGGGATGTGATCAGAGTTAAGTTCAAAGCATTCCGAGATATTGAGGCTCTCGGGCCGTAACCCTCTGTAGACAGCAAAGTCAATGGCGGTTGGTGTTCTTTGGCTATAGGGATAATGCGTAGGCCCGCCGGTAGCAAGGACCTGGACATTGGATCTAAGAACGAATTCCGCTATCGCTCGCCATAAAACAGTAATTAACTTAGCACCTCCGCTCGTGTTAATCAATAGAGCTTTAATAATAGAATGCCACTAAAGAAATAAAATCTTCTCTCAGTACTTTTCCAATGGCCCGAACAAGCCCCTAACCGAAACCCTTTAAACTTTGTAGATATGCATTCAAGATTGCTCCGAAAATCACGCAGGGTCCCCGGACTAATTACCCCGAAACGAGTGACTGGCACACTGATACACTTCGGAACAAACAGATTTAGGTAGACAGGCTTGTGTGGGGTACCCGACCATATAATTTTGACTCCAATCTCGTGCTCGGCCCCTCTCTCTGATGGCTTATCATCCACCAGGCGGCACTCGGCGTAGATAAGACTAAATGCTAGCGTTTTGCCGTACAACAATCCGCTATTAGGAAAACTTTTTCAGAACTCCATGATTATGGGGCAACCGCAAGCACCGATCTTAGATCATTCGACGGGCCTAATGGCCTTCGCTTTTGTCCCGGCTTTTTCCCACATTCGCTGTTTATATAAGCGAAGGCTATAAGATGATATTGAAGCCATTTCCCCTTGCCATTTGTCAAGGGAACTAACCGGGAGCATCCATTCTATTTGGTGCGCCTATATGTCCACATTTACAGATACTTTTAATCAAACAATTGGCTGTGACACTATCGCGAATGTGAAATGAGTGAGCAGCGGCCATTCGATGTGCGTCATTCGGTCTTGGATAACTCTGAATCAATTGTGATCGAGATATGTATTGTCTGATGAAACCCACACATCCACAATTTCTATCTGTGGACAGATTAAATCAATTAACGAGGCATAACAATACATGCATTCATTAAAGTACAATTTTTTTGAGAAATTTTGTAAAAACATTTTTAAGTAATTGTAAATTTAGCTTTGGACAAAATATATTTAGTATTCTAAGGAGTGCACTTTTTCACATTTGGTGAGTTAAATTCTTAAAAAGTTAACCCGAAATTACCAAAGTTTCTTATCGCTAGAGCAGCGCACGGAAAAATCTGATCTTTTTGTGTGGGTAATTAGATAAGATGGATATTTTTGGGTTATTCACTTCAAATGTTCTTAATTAAGATACAAAAAAAAAAACGAAAACATTCAAAATTACGCGCTGTATTCCATACTTAGACATTATTACATTATTATGGGGACACGTTTTCAAAATAGCATTAGCCGAAGATGTATGAAATTATATATACGTGTTTATCAATTAATTATAAACTGGCCTTAAAAATGTCGCATGCTATAAATTCTTCACAGAATTTATTTTGGCCAAGACACAAGTTTGACGTCAATAGTTTAAGGTCGAGAGCGTCACTCTGTGATAACAGTTCGAATCTAAAAGAAATCGCAAACGTGCCAGATATGGGTTGAAATATAGTTTTTGGTGTTCTTTGATTTTACAGGTCGCAGCAGCTGGAGCGATGATATTGGCTTCGATCTGAATGCCGAGTTTAACAGCAACTCGTACTTGAACAAGTAAGATAGCCCCTTAATGCAACTTCTTTCAATCTGTGCTAATTTGTGTTTTTCCACCGCGATCAGTGAGAACTTCCTGTCGTTCTCGCCCACGCTGACCACCCTGAAGCAGGAGCCGCAGACGGAGCAGATCAAGCCGAGTCCCAAGGTTTCCCTGGACAATGCCGTGGGATCGCCTTCCGTGGCCATTGCCAAGTTGGATGAGGGCCAGAATTCTCCGCCGCAGGCTAATCCGGGCCAGGATTCGGCTTCCGGAGCGGGCTCGGCTGGAGCTGGGAAGCACGATGTAAGCTCCGGCCTCGTCTGCGGATGTGGCTCACCGCAGGGCTCGCCATTAGCCAACACAGAGTACGAGTTGAACGAAAAGGGCAAGCCCCAGCAGCAACTCAGCGTTTTGGATCCAGCTAAAATCGAGATCGTTTCGGCCAATGGAGCCACCCATTCCGAAGATCACAAGTAAGTATTGGATTTTACTACTTAATCAATCGATAAATAAATTGGTTAAAGCTATAAAATCTGCTAGAGTTGTAAACCTAAAACTCTGAATAAGAAGAAACTTAATATTACATCCAACTGAAAGAGATCTAGACCTAGAATAGATACAATATTAGGATAGATTAATAGGTACCAGATTATAATCACTGCCTTGCTCTTTCAGATTTCAGTACATTTTGGCAGCGGCCACTTCGATTGCCACCAAGAACAACGAGGAGACTCTGACGTACCTCAACCAGGGCCAGAGCTACGAGATCAAGCTGAAGAAGATCGGCGACCTGTCCCTCTACAGGGATAAGATACTGAAGGTGAGTCCAAAGTCCCTGTCCGCAGCCTCCAATTGAGTCGGAGAGTCATGTGATGCGGTGAATTATTCGACTGTCGAGTGAGCGACTTGGTCATCAAGTCTGTGTGACCGAATATGTGTATCTGGGGGCTCAATTGATTTTAATAAGCCCCAATTAAGCCGGTCGACTTGAGAGATCTGACTAGGAGGCGAACCCCTCTGTGTACATGTGAAATCTGCGTGTGCGAAAAAACTTTCCGAGTGACTTCACTTCTTGCCACTACTCACAACACCGCCTCCCCTTCGACTTCTCTTGCAGAGCGTGATCAAGATCTGCTTCCACGAGCGCCGCCTGCAGTTCATGGAGCGCGAGCAGATGCAGCAATGGCAGCAATCCCGCCCTGGCGAACGCATCATTGAGGTGGACGTACCGCTCTCGTACGGCCTCTGCCACGTGTCGCAGCCACTGAGCTCCGGCTCACTGAACACCGTCGAGATTTTCTGGGACCCGTTGAAGGAGGTCGGCGTCTACATCAAGGTCAACTGCATTTCAACCGAATTTACCCCAAAGAAGCACGGCGGCGAGAAGGGTGTGCCCTTCCGACTGCAGATTGAAACCTATATAGAAAACACAAACAGTGCCAACACCACCGGCTCGAGCGGCAGTAACACCAGCGGTGGTGCCAGCGGCAACAGCAACGCCAGCGGAAACAGTGGCTCCACTGCCCCAGCATCTCCGGAACGGTCTCCCAATGGCGGCAACAATGCCAAGCAGGCGGTCCACGCAGCTGCCTGTCAGATCAAGGTGAGTGGGAGAACTTCTTCAGTCGAAGCTCCCTTGGCCGGACAGTAATTTGTCCGTTAATCTATGGTATATGTTTGTATGCGAGATCAGGTTGCGGTGGTTTAAAAATGAGTTAACATGGGAGTCCCTTGTTTAATGTTTTAGATCTGTCCTCCCATTGTGTTTTTCAGTTCCAACCATATTTGCTTCGAACTAATGGAATATTACGGGTGGTTACCTAAACAGGACCTTGGTTATGAGGTGTATGAGCCATAAAAGTTTATAAGCTGTTTCAGCCAATAAAAATAATCATATATATATATATAATCCTAATTGTAATTTTAATTCGTCCTAGTCTTCTGACTTTTAAAATGGGAAAATATCAAATGAAACGTTTAACTACTAAAACTAGTTTAGTTTTTGAAAAAGGGCTTGTTCGCCCAAGAGAGCTGTCCGCCAAATTATCTTTTTCCACTCAAGGCACAATGATATATTATATTAAATATTAATTATTCGCAGGTTTTCAAGCTAAAGGGAGCTGATCGTAAGCATAAACAGGATCGAGAGAAGATCCAGAAGCGTCCTCAATCGGAGCAGGAGAAGTTCCAGCCCAGCTACGAGTGCACCATTATGAACGACATATCGCTGGATCTGGTGATGCCTGCCACCACTACTGGCTGCTACAGTCCCGAATAGTGAGTATTTCGATTCTCCAGAGGAGCACAGATATATGTGTAGGGAAATTATGGGGGAGAGAGATTCATCTCCAGCTGGCATAGCTGCTGCTCCAGAATTAAGCAACAATTTATTTCGCTGCGCAGTCCCGCAATCTTCCAATTGAGCCCGCAAATTTTTCCACAAGTCTTATTTATGTGACAGCTACGGCCCGAGCTTTTTGATTTACGAACCAACGACTGCAGTCCCAACCATTTACATAACATCCAGTTAAGATCAAGTGCATATTACGTATAACGTAGATACTTGTTCCTTATCTGTCTGTACAGTTCGGTTCAGAGCCCTAAGGTAGGGTCTCAACCATGTTTAGATTAAGTACATTTCAGATATAGGTTAAGGCTAGAGAGGAGCAGTGATTTAGATTTTATGTTTTATGCAACACATTTTTTTTGGCCAAGTGCTTACGGAATCCATTAAGATCAATTAAGATAGGGCATGATTTTAGTTTCAAGGCGCTCCATTTCAATTTCATTCTTATTTTTTTATTTATGCGAAAGAAATATGTATTGTAAACACTACAAGATATAAATTATTTTAACTTAAAATTATTAGGGCTTGAATATTAATTTTTTGGTTGCTAGTAGTACAGTTCTTCCTTGGGTTTGAATAGGAATTCTTTGAAGAAAATGGTCAAAATCGTTTTGCTTACACACAAAAAAATTTGCTTGGTAAAATTGACCAGCAAAGATAGTTACGTAACTATTAAAATAGTTACGTGTATTTTGTTTTTGCTTTGGGTTTGTGTCTTTGCTAATTGTGTGTATTTTGTTGTTGTGAAATGACAATTTACTTAGTAGAATTGACAATTTTGCTGGTTGGGGCCTGTTTGACAATTATTACAGTTGATTTTACCAAGTTTTTTTTTTGTGTGTAGTTGTGGATTTGAAATATAAACAAACAATCTAAGCATAATACACTTTCGATTTTGTGGTATCATTAAATTTCGTATGTTGCTAGGAAGCAGACCATATAATTTGTATCAGATAGAAAGAGATTTACTTTGTAAGACTACAATTTTGAAACGCACTTTCCAGTGGAAATTTCCCATAACGAGTGTCAGAGGAAATCATTTATTTTGTCATTTGCATGATCGCCAAATCATAAAGATCAATCGAATTGAGAGCGAGTGGATAGATAGATATATGCAGAGAGAACCCCTCTATCAGCGAGAGATTGGGAGAATCGGGAGAAAGAGATATAGAGAGAGGGGAGAGATGTCGAGAGATCCATAGAGAGCCATTGAAGGATCTCTGGGCGCTAAGAGATCAGGTAAGAGCATTTTGCGCCGTGGGCTTTGTTGTTTTTGCATTTGCTCCAAGCTATTTTTAGTTTAAAGTTGCTTTTAACCGGTTTTCGGTTTTCGTTTCTGCTCAATGATTTTGTTTGTTTGCAGGCCGAACACTATAGATAATAATGGCAAATGATATGGGGATTGTATAAGGTCTTGTTTTGTTAGGATCGATTATATCGATCGGCGGCAGAAAAGCCATCCTATGGCCAGGCATTATCCATTCAAAAAACCGGAAACGATTGCGGGGGCGGGGGGCGAAAGACGAAAGTCTGGAAAATTTCCCCGCTAGAAAGGCAGCCATATAAAATAGTTTCCGAACGGGTTTGAATCGCCAATCAGCCGCAACAGGGCGTATCGGGTGGCTTGTAAACAAGGCGAGTGGTTCACCGAAGAGCAAACCAGATTCTCCGGGCAGCGGGGCGATGGGAAATTTGAAATGCGAATTCCGCGATGGAGTCCCTCGCATTCGTGAACATGCGCTTGCATCTGAAGGATCGTTTCTCCTGCCAACGCCAGATACAGAACGAGCTCTATTGGATTTGTAGGACCTGCATGAACCCGTTTCGAGGTTCCCTTTAACTAATCCTTTCCTCCTTTTCTTTTCTCCTATCCCTTTCAGTATGAAACTCTGGCCAAATTCGCCCGTGCACATACCCAAGTACGATGGGATGCTTCCGTTTGCGCCAAGTGCAGCATCGCCGGCTACCAGCAGCAGCCCCATTGCCATTAACTCGGTGACTTCGACCAACTCGCCCACCCTCAAGCTGATGGACGCCACCAACATGGTCTCACCGCAGCATGTGCCCGCTGACATCGACGATTATGTAGGTGTCACTGTCCCTCTGTCCCTCTGTCCTCTAAAAACATACTAATCGACCCTTTATTGTCCATATCAGAACCAGAACATAATGCCGGAATCGACGCCGTCGCAAGTGACGCAGTGGCTGACCAATCATCGTCTCACGTCCTATCTCTCAACGTTCGCACACTTCTCGGGAGCGGATATCATGCGGTATGTGATCCAGTACATGGGGATGTAGCAATTTTTCATTACCTAAGTCCTTAATTAATCAGCAGATTTCAAATAGTTCCACAATCTGATTCTTAGTGACCCCTTTTTTAGGCGACCATTTTTGTTAAGACTCGAATACTCACAAATCTATTTTCTAATCGAAGAGGTGATATCAGTGATAACCATTGTTTGATATACTTCGGTTCATGAAAGTTACAACGCAAAACACTTATATAAGAACTTAATAGTTGATATAATTCCCAGACAATTTGTCAACTAAGAGTGCTTGAGTTTTTTGATTACCATTTCATTTGGCTGGGCTATTTAATACAATGTTTCAATCAGTTAACCATTTGGGTAATCTTGTTGACTGGCATCTAAAAGATAGCGGAACGAATGGCAAAGAACTTTAGGATAACATGATTCCACAACCAATTTATAGCGGACACTAAACTCAACCATAGACCTTTTGATTATTAAATGACTCGATAAGATAGCTGGCCTACCGCATCAGATACTTGACTGGTTTCCAGTCGTTATACTGTGGTCTATAAGGGATTTTAATGGCTTATTTATATATAAATTCTATTTTTATCTCGATCCGCAACGCACATATTTCATATTTGTCTGTTTGTGATTTATTTTTATTCCGTGATTTATTTATAGCATGTCCAAGGAGGATTTAATTCAAATCTGCGGCCTGGCCGATGGCATTCGCATGTTTAACATTCTGCGCGCCAAGTGAGTGCTTAAATTTTGTGAAATTCGAAAAGTATTCTAAATCTCTACCCTCTTGTAGGACCATTGCTCCCAGGCTAACGTTGTACGCCAGTTTGGACGGCTGCAGTTACAATGCTATTTACTTGCTGTCGAACACGGCCAAGGAGCTGCAGCAGAAGTTGTTCAAGATGCCAGGATTCTATGAGTTCATGGCCAAGGCCAGCGCCCAGGAGAATGGAGCCGGCGGAGGCGCCGCTGCTGCTGCTGCCGCCCTCTTCAACAACTGGGGGATGCACTCGAAGTACTCGGGTAGCGGCTCAAATATCTTCAACGACGCCAACAAAAGCTGCGTGTACATATCGGGTCCATCGGGTATCCTTGTGACCGTCACCGACGAGGTGCTAAACAACGAAATCAAGGACGGAAGCCTCTATGCCCTGGAGGTGCAGGCCGGCAAGGTGATCCTCAAGCTGATCAACAAGCAGGACAACAACTAAGCGATCTTATGGTTACGTAGACCCACTGTAGTAGCACCACCCGAGCAACCAAGTATAGTTTATAGCATTTACACGCAGTTCGATAGCATATCGAAATCGTTTTCTATGTAAGCTTCAATTTGTATGAGATTTCGCGCAGCAATTTTGAACAAGTAAAAAGCCAGCAACCCGAAACCCTGTTCCCCAAAATCCCCAAATCTTCGTTAAAGAACTAGTGCAAAATATTTAAGATTTCGTTTTCAGTCCTCACTTTAAGTTTTGTTTATTTTATATGTATTTTATACCACCTACGATATACGACTACATATGCACATTTAATTCTCTGATGCGATTGCATTTCGATTCGTTCTTTTCTCTACTTTTAATTTCTTTTATTTCTATGGCGCATGCTTATCACATATATAACGATTATATATTTGTTTGTAGAACCCAACCAATATCAATTATTTGAAGTAGAAAGAAAAAAACCCAAAAAAAAGCAACATAACTATACAATAATGATTATTATCTTCAAGTACAGTACCACGAATACAAGAATTGAGCAATTGTTTCGAAGCAGAGTTCAACTAGCAACCAAACAACAACTTTTGTATGTGATAGAAGCAATAAAGTGTTATCCACAAGTGGACTGTCAAAAAAAAAGTGTTTTTGTGTATTATTTGATTGGTTTTGGGTTACAAATCGAAAATATTTTACATAAGGGTTCAAAAATGTGAATCGCAGACTACTAAAATATATCGATAGAGATCGATTTTGCTATGGGGATTCCCCGAAAATGTAGTCTATTGTAACTTCTCGTTCAGTCCGTATCATAATTTGGCCTAATATTTTAAAATTTACAGTTAATAAGGTCCTTAAGCCGATGGATATCCTCATTGTAATATACCTATTATTGTTCTGCTCGCTGGGTGAGTTATTCAAATATAGTGTACGAATTTGCGTAGGAAGACGTATGATCCCGACAGCCTGCGAAGTACGGGGCGATTGTCAAATAGCCCAGTATATGGTAGAACGATCGAATCGCATCTTCACCTATCGCGATGCCAGCGGGTCTCTCCAACTGCAGCGTAGGGAAACGGTTCCATCTGGGGTCATTCTCTTCATGTACTGTAATCCTTCTGATATGGTGGAAACTCTGTGCCAGGGCAATGGTCACTTCTCAGTTCCGCTCCCCATGAGTTGTGGCAATCCAATGCAACCGACGATAACGCGGATCCGGGATGGCGATTGTTCAGGGACCCTCTATGCCGTGGGCTATACGATAGACGGCAGGAGTCTGGAGCTATATCGCACCTGCTTTGATTCCGGGCAAGGAAGGGTCTTGTACTCACAAAGCGATGTCTACTACAAAACATTTTGTGAGTGCATCTGAAGCTCATCCTTGTAATAACTCTGCTTAAATGTAATCCTTTTAGTTCCCAAGCGCCCGTTCGTGGACTTCGTGGCTGACGAAATGTTCAGTCCGCAGGAGGCCGCCGCTTACTACAAGTCCAACATATACTTCGCCTTTAAATGCATTTACGGTGATGGTCAGTCCTACCTACCAAGTGCCAATTCCCTGGTGATAAATCGGGGGCATATGGTGGCCTCGGCGGACTTCCTTTTTGCGGACCAAATGGGCAGTACCTTTCGCTACCTGAATGTGGTTCCGCAATTCAAGTCAATTAACGATGGTAACTGGGAGAAAATCGAGAGGTGGGTGCGCGGTCAAATTCCGCCGTCGAGCTATTACCGCATCAAGTCCGGCGGAATCGGTATCCTGACATTGCCAGATGCCAGGGGCTTCCGTCAGCCAGCTTTCCTTGCCGGCTCCAAGATCCCAGTGCCCGAATGGACCTACAAGGTGGTGCGAGATGCCAGCGGTAATGGGCTGTATGTCTTCCTCACTTATAACAACACCTTCCGGAGGGAGAGGCCACAGTGCCTGGATATCTGCCATCCACTTAATTGTCCCCTGGGTCTCCCGAATAACCCCGATGATGGATTCACCTTCTGTTGCGATCCCAAGCAGTTCCCACTCGAAAAAGGGACGCGTTGATGTATATTTTATCGAAGGACTATGCCAAATTGTCCTGCGTAATAATCGCCGGCTGAATAATTTAGTATTTTTATATAACAGACGCACTTGAGCTTAAAAGGGGTGTGCACTGCAAGAAAAGGGAACGAATATTTGAAAATTTGCATCCATTTTGGTAATGGGGGATATCAGAAAAAACTTTGCTGTTGCATACTAATTGAACACCACATTTCCTTTCATTGTCAGTGGATTGGTGGGGATATATTTCCAAACCAAAATCTGTTGTCAATTTCTTTAAAGACTTTTAAAACCTTAGTATTTAGGTATTCCACTTTTTGTTTAGAGCACACGAGGATAATTAGCCAACTATTCAAGACCCTCTAATGGCATTTTAAGTACTTGCTGAAGAGCCATATAAACACTTGACCAAATCAATTATCCTTAAGTTTGAAGAAAGTCCCCGAGTGAAATGAGCAATCAAGTGGAAATCTTTTACAAGGGCCAAAAGGCCCTGTTGAACGTATTCTCGCTGTGGCACCAGAATGAACGCCGGTGGAGAATCATCCATCAGGTTAACTACGTCCATGTGATGGGATTCTGGGTGCTACTCTTTGATCTTTTACTGATGATGCACGTGGTGGCCAACCTGAGTTACATCTCCGAGATTGTGAGGGCCATCTTTGTTCTGGCCACAAGTGCGGGGCACACCACCAAACTGCTGAGTATTAAGGCCAATAATGTGGAACTGGAGCAGCTCTTCAAGAGGCTGGATGAGGATGATTTTCGGCCAAGAGGAGTCGAAGAGGAGTTGATCGTGGCAGCTGCCTGTGAAAGGAGTCGGAAACTTAGGGATTTCTACGGGGCTCTCTCGTTAGCCGCCCTGGGCATGGTCCTAGTACCCCAATTCGTCGTGGACTGGTCCCAGCTTCCTCTGGGCACATACAATCCATTTGGCGACAATCCTGGCTCTCCTGGCTACTGGCTCCTGTACTGCTATCAATGCCTGGCTTTGTCCGTCTCCTGTCTCACCAATATAGGCTTCGATTCCCTCTGCTCCTCGCTGTTCATCTTCATTAAGTGCCAGCTGGACCTTATGGCCGTGCGACTGGACAAGATGGGCCGTTTGAGTAGTGCCGGTAGCTCCGTGGAGCAGCATCTGAAGCAGAATATCCGGTACCACATGACCATTGTGGAATTGACCAAAACTGTGGAGCGTCTCCTTTGCAAGCCGATTTCAGTGCAGATCTTCTGTTCCGTATTGGTTCTGACTTCCAATTTTTATGCTATAGCTCTGGTGAGTACACAAATACATGGAGTTGTATCACCCAGAATGAATGGTAACTAGAGGGCGACAATATTTAAAATATTTAGGCTTATCGTTAGTTTCCTAGATAAATTAAAATACTCTAAGTAATTTTTGCCTTGAAAGCCAAGATTTTGACTTAAAGTTGTTGATCTTTAATATTTGCAAATATTAACATATAAAGCCCAACAAAGTTAGCTAAACCAGTGTAATCCAACCAGATACTCGATTGTAGATAATGTCTTTTTACAGCTTAATCTGAACTCTTTTATAAAATAAGAAAGGGCTTTAAGAGACTCCCGTGGAACAAGAATAAAAAATTTGCCCCTTTACAATTTGTAGGGTATTTTAATTATAATTTTAAAAATACAATAATTTCCTTACCTATTTTACAATTTAGTTGTCCGACGAGAAGCTGGCTCTATTTAAATTTATCACCTATCAGGCGTGTATGCTGAGCCAGATTTTTATATTGTGCTACTATGCCGGGTGGGTAAGGCTACATTCCAAATCGAATTCACATCGGTAATATTTTTCCCCAAAAAATAGTGAGGTAACGCAGCGAAGCTTGGAGCTTCCCCATGAGCTTTACAAAACTTCTTGGGTGGACTGGAACAAGGATTCTCGAAGGATTGTGCTCCTCTTCATGCAACGCCTTCACTCGACTCTGAAGATAAGGACCTTAAATCCCAGCATTGGTTTCGATCTAATGCTTTTCAGCTCGGTGGGTTATTTTCGCAGTTCAACTGTGTTTTTTGTGCACTGTAGTCAATTTCCATAATTAGCCTCATTATCGTTTGAGCTTGTGGCCTATAAAAGGCTTTCCTTGTGGGGTTTTTGGCTGGAAAAGTGAAAATCGTCAGCATGTCTCAGCATCAAGTGCTCGCGAGTGCCTTCTACAAGTACCAGGTGTGGTACTTTCAAATTCTAGGCGTTTGGCAGCTTCCCATTTGGGCAACGAATCACCAGAGACGCTTTCAGTCCATGCGGTTCGCTTTTATCCTGGTTATCCTGTGCATAATGCTGCTGCTTTTTGCCTTGGAGCTCCTGAATAACATCTCCCAAGTTCGGGAGATCTTGAAAGTATTCTTCATGTTCGCCACCGAAATATCCTGCATGACCAAACTATTGCACTTAAAGTTGGAGAGCCGGAAGCTCGTTGGCCTGGTTGAGATGATGACGTCCCATGAGTTCGCATTTAAAACTGAACAGGAAAGGGAGATTTTGGAATCGGCCAGAGCGGCTGTTGTTCATATGAGAAATTTCTATGGCATCATGTCCTTTGGCACGGCTTCACTGATCCTCCTGGTTCCCTGTTTCGCCAACTATGAGGAGCTACCACTGGCCATGTTCGAGGTGTGCAGCATCCAGGGGAGAATCTGCTATGGATTGCAGTACCTCTTCCACTCGATTTGCCTGCTGCCGACTTGCGTCCTCAACATAACCTACGACTCGGTGGCCTTTTCCTTGCTTTGCTTTCTGAAGGTTCAGATCCAGATGCTGGTCCTTAGATTGGAAAAGTTGGGCCCTGTGATCAGTGGGCGGGATAACGAGAAGATCGCCAGGGAGCTGCGTGAATGTGCCGCCTACTACAACAAAATTGCGCAGTTCAAGAATCTGGTGGAGCTGTTTATCAAAGTGCCGGGCTCCGTGCAACTCATGTGCTCCGTACTGGTGCTGGTGTCCAACCTGTATGACATGTCCACCATGTCCGTGGCCAATGGGGATGCCATCTTTATGGCCAAGACCTGCATTTACCAACTGGTAATGCTCTGGCAGATCTTCATCATTTGCTACGCCTCCAACGAGGTGACTGTACAGAGTTCCAGGCTTTGTCTCGGCATCTACAGCTCACAGTGGACAGGTTGGAACAGGTCCAACCGCCGGATTCTCCTGCTTATGATGCAACGCTTCAATTCGCCGATGCTTCTGCGCACCTTTAATCCCACCTTTGTTTTCAGCTTGGAGGCCTTTGGTTCTGTAGGCCACCTGAATGTTATTCCCTTTTGGCAAAACTAACTATTGTTTTTTCTTCCAGATTGTCAATTGCTCGTACAGCTATTTCGCCTTGCTAAAGCGAGTGAACAGTTAAATTTCGAAAAATCGGGGAGGTCCAAGTATTGGATGGAAGAATCTTGGGATGAAAATAACCAAGTCTAAAGATGCATTCTTTAATGAATTTACGATTATAGTTAAAACTGTCAAATGAATTACTTATCTCTGAACATGAGGCCTTTATAAGTAGAAATGAATTAATTGAAGAAATAGCTGTTTGCATTTGCCTCGAAAATATTTATTACTTCATTAAGTGACTTAATAAATCGTTTTTAAGACAAATGAAATAACTATTTAAGCACTTGTTAGTAGAAGTAGCAGATTGTATTTGTGTTTGTCCTGAAAAATATTTATGAAAACTCTCAAAACATAAACAATTTTAATAAAATGTAGTAGCTATAAACATTTGAAGAATTGTTTTAAATGTGTTTCTTCAAAATTTCGTTTGGCGGTTGCGGTTTAAAAATCCCTGCCATACGGTCACTCTGAAAAAAATACCAGACGGGCGACGGAAAGGAAATGTTACATACTCTTATAACGACCTATAAATGCCGTAGCGCATTCAATCTGCTGACGGACAAAGATTAAGATGTCGGAAAACGCGAAAAACAATAGCTGCCTGCATTGCAGCGTATTCAATACGAAATACCAGTACCAGGAGATATTCGATGAGTTCGGCATCGAGCTGGGACTGCAATCCCTGCTGGCCAAGCACTTCCAGTTCGATGTGTCCCCCGACCCGCGGAAACCACAGCTCCTCTGCGAAGTCTGCGTCAACAATCTCATCAGGCTGTTCGACATCGATGAACTGGAGAGGGAAAGGGATGCGGCCAAGGACCAGGGTCAGGTCCAGGTCCAGGTCCAGCACGTGGCCCCCAGGCAGGAGGAGGTCCAGGCACCTCCGCCAGCTGCCAAGCCTGTCAGGAAGGCAACGACGCCAAAGCCTCTGGCCAAGGTCCTGCGTCCTGTGCCCATTGTTCCCACGCGGGAACCAAGTGCCCGCATAAGGAACGCAATGGCTGCAGCTCAACAGATAACACCTAAACCATCTAGCCCTCCTGCGCTGGCCAAGAGCCCTTCTCCGGAGGTGCCTCAACCCAAAAGTGCGGCCAGGTTGGCTCCAAATAAGGCAGATCAGGAGCAGATCAGCGCCCTGATACAAAACATCCTGCAGGAAGACGAGGCTACGGCTGACGACGAGTCCATTGTTGAAGAAGTGGCCTGTGAAGATCCCCCGACCCCCGGGGAAACGGAAACTGCTGGACAAATGGTTCTTCTAAACAACGAGTCCGTTGCAGAACCCAATTTGGATGAGGATGTATACATATACGAACACGAGGGTTTGTCTGACATAGTTTTTTCATTTTGAAATGATTAACTAACTACATGCTAAAATCACATTTAGATATTTTGGATCCGAATTTGGAGAATGTCAATGCCAAACCATCCAGATTGATAGTGAAAGCAGAGGAAAGTCAAAGTGAAGGAGAAGTCGAAGAAGCCGAGCACAGCAATATAGTACTCTTCAACTTTGTTGATATCAAAGAAAGTGGGTGTGGGATTGGCAAAAAGAAATACCAAACTATAACTCTTTAAAATCGTATTCTTTACAGAGGATGACATTGATGATATTCCGGAGTATTTGACCACCGTGGTAAAGACCAGCTTCGAAAAGCTTACCTTTGAGTGGTGTACCGTATGCAAGCACTGCTCCCTTAAGTGTCCCACTTTTGAAAGTCTTCTGAGTCACATTTTAAGGACCCATAAAACCCGAAAAGATGTCTATCAGTGTCCCATTGAAGGCTGCACCAAGGTGCTGATAGGACGGCAATTCCTAGCCATGCACCTGGTTTTATTGCACGCACCCGTTGCTGAGTAACTATATTAACTCTATCATTTAAAGGTATTAATAATCTAATTAGAGATTCTCCCACCTAGAATTCCAATTTATGGAAGCTGTCCGGAATGTAAAATGACTTTTTCCAACATTTTGCAATATAACAAACACTCTTGTGCTCACGTAATCAAAAAAAAGCGAGGTATTCGCACATTTTGTGAAATGTGCTCTTTGGAGTTTCCATCCTGGAAGCGGTAAGTCGACTTATTTATCTTATCAATGCATTATTTGATGTTTATATTTATTTGCCTTTCACAGCTTCAATTTCCACAACCAATTCCATCTGGAAAAGCATAGACCACGCGCTTGCTTCGTTTGCGATTTTGCCAGCACCAATATCGATGAGCTGTTCCAGCACTTGCATTACTCCCATGAGCCAGCGGGCACCCTATTTTGCGACCTGTCAGTGGGCTTGATTTATTTATTGTTTTCTCCATTTAATGCTGTTTCCTTCCAATTTACAGTTGCGACCGCACTTTTCGGGACCCCGCAGTTTTCATGGAGCATAACAAGTCGCATGCTAATGTGAGCAGCACAACATACTCTTGCGGGGAATGCATGGCGAACTTTGAGTCGCGTGGTCGATTAAATGGACATATGGTATGGATTTTAAAAACTCTAATTACGGGATGCAAAAAGCTCCTTACAGTTTTCTGTACCTATTTTAATATATCGCTCTAATTTCATTTATTGTTTAACTTTTTGTATATATCAGAGGGCTATGCATGGCAGCGTTATAAGCTGCGAGCTCTGTTCCCGCGAATTCGCCACCGAAGCCACCTACAACATTCATATGAAGAAGCATCTGATCATCGAGCGGGATGTTCATGTGTGCAGCTATTGTGGCCTGCTTAGTAACAGCAGCGAAACCCTACTTGCCCATGTGGATGCCGTGAATTCGCCTTGCTTTGGTACAAAGATAAACACGGAACTCCTTCGGAATGCTTACGTCTGCGAGTACTGCACCTCCTACTTTAAGAAAAAGGTCAATTTGCAGGCGCATCGCGACTCGGGTGTTCATAAGGATGGACTGTACTGGTGTCAGCCGTGCGGCAAAGACTTTCCGCACATGAAACTGTACCGCCATCACCTGCGCAACTACCAACAGCTTCGCTCGGACTCGACGCATCGCAAGCTTGAGATTTGTGTGTATTACATGTGCGATCAGGAGGTGAGACATCATTCGTTCGATCATACAAAATTTAAATTTAATAGAACTTTTGACTGCAGAACTGCTCTGAGGCCTATGTAAACTGGAACTCTTTGTACACGCACAAGCGACGCACTCACGAATCCTCGAACAAGCAGGCGGAGAAGACCGCCAAGACTACCCCAGAATGGATTTGCCAGTTTTGCCTAAAGGAATGCCGCTCAAAGATGTCCTTGTCTGTGCACGTGGCAAGGAGCCACAATAATGGTGTGTGTTGCATTTTACAAAATTTCCTTACTTTGCCCAATCATTTGAAATTTCAGACAACGTGGTTTGCCCTTTGTGCAATGCTTCATACAAAAGCCAGGATGCTCTGGCCAAGCACCATGCCTATTGGCACGAACCCATTGAGTGCCCAGAGTGTTTTAAAATCGTCAAGAATCGAAGGAATTATGACACTCACGTAAATGTGGTGCATTCGAATAAAAAGCGCTATTCTTGCGGTGTCTGTCAGAAGGGTTTTTATCACAAGAGCGAAATGGAGGCTCATCAGAAGGTGACTATAGAATATTCCACCTTCAGTCGGTCTTAAAATTATCCCTCATATCCTGCAGCTTCATGGACAGTCTTACAGCTGCGAGCAGTGCAGTTTCACGACCAGGAACAAGAAGTCGCTTTCTGTTCACGTCCTCGGTCAGCACTACAAGCGTTTTGCTTTTGAGTGCAAGGTGTGCAAGAAGAGGTTTGGACGTCGGCAGGGCCTGAATACTCACATGCAGCGATCTCACGGCTCCAAGTACATGTGCCGTGATTACTTCGAGGGCGGCTGTGGACGCACCTTCGTAAACAGCTCCCAGTTAAATATTCATGTGCGTAGGATGCACAAGGGAGTAATTTTACTCCAAGAAGATGTTGTCGAAGAGGAGGAATATGTCGACGATAATCCAACGACATCCAAAAAGCGCTGCGTTCGTATCAACGACGACAATATTGAGTTTATAGAAGAAGCCGGAGATGATCCAGATGGTATTGATATGGAAGAGGGAGTCGAGGAGGAGGACGAGTACATCGACGAGATACCAGAGGAAGACACCCAGAATTGAGGCTGACAGATTTCGGTAATGTAAGACTTTTTGCTAAAGCATGTTTATTGACTTGATTTTCAGTTTTTTGCTACCAATTACTTGAACACAAATGATGTCCGAAAATGACATTAATATGTATTCCATAGTACATAATACATAATTCTAATGATAATGTAATAACTACATTTAGGCTAACTTTAATTGCAATTAACTATCCAGAGTCTGGCGGAAGCAAATTTGATTTATTAAGCGTTGTAGTTTGGTCATTTAATTGCTGAAGATTGTGTGCGGAGCTTACCTGAAATTGAAAATATAATTATTTATATTATAAACGAAATTAATGAAGTTGGCTTAAACTTACTGGGCTAATTGGTGTTATAACAATGGCGGTGCGCGTGGCGCACTGCAGCAGGGCTGTGTCCTCGGTGGACTCATCACAGTCGCCATCGGCATCCGCGTCCACATCCACTTCCACCCCAATATCACTGTCGATCTCCCAGGAGGGGAAATGATCCATTTCACCTTCACAGTTCAGATCCTCCTCCTCGAAGTCCTCGTACTCATCGATTAGTATAACTAAATGGGAGATTTTTAATGTTTATTTAAACACTCATGTCGATTTTAATTTAAATCTAAATCAAAAGTAACTTAATCTTGCCATTAAAGCAAGTGTGACAAAATGAAACCAATTTGTAAAATAACAGCAAAGTTAAATCCTTTTACGAATTTGTACGTTTTTTATTTTGTTCGGCAAGCAATTTGATAATTTTTCTAATGGTCTAAATTATATAATAAAGATCTTAGGACAGAGGAACTATCTATTTTTAATTACTTGAACTATCTGGCGGCGTTGGCTTTGCACTGCTGTCCAGGGATTCGGCTCCCTCGTCGGGTATGGTAATCCTTTGCTCCTGCTTGCTATACGGCTCCGATGTGGATCTATGTAGGCTGCAGGATTTAGGATATTTTTATACACTATGTTTTAAGTATCTAGATCGGTATTCACCTTAACGTAACACGTTTTTTGGTTCTATTCTCTAATTCAGTCATAAAAACATCATTGTGCTGCTGCTTCTCAGACCCCAGCTGATATGAGTTAAGCACGGAAGACTGCAAACATAAGTGAAGATAATTATAGTTTTGTTAATTATAATTTAGTATTACCTTTGTATTGGTCGCTGTATGCTGCATGTGCGGCGGCATGGGGGTTTGTGTGGCGATCGCATCGGTTGTCGTCGTGACCGTTTGTGTGGCTGTCAGGGATCGCAGATCGGCGCCATCTGCTACCGAGGGATTCAGCAGCGGTGTGGTGGTCACCTGCTCCGGATGCACACTGAGTGCCGCGGTCCGTTTCCACACATCGATCATCGCCAGGTTGTGGGCGTGGTGCAGGGGCTTGTGGCTAGGACTAATGGAATGTATTTTGGGCTTGGCTGGCAGCGGAAGAGCCAGGAATCTATCACGATCCTCCATGTACGCCTTGATCAGCACGTCCAGCTTCTCTTCGATGTCAGCCACCTATTAAGGGTTGTAGAAAAGTAATTAGGTATATGTTATTTGAGTTATATTCTGCAACTTTTGCTTACCTGCCGCTCGACTTTAACCACGCGGGAGGCTAGGCTTATTTTGGATGCATACACATCCTTGCCCTTGGAGCCTTGTTTGCCCAGGATTTGATCCAAACTGTGGGTTAGTTTTGGGTTAATTAATTTAAGTTTACCATGGTTTATGGATAGTTGTGTGTAATTCTCACCGCAAATGAAGCATTTTAACGCGACCCAACAAGTCCACATGTCCTTAAAAAGAAGAGTTTGTACTTAGACATTATATTTTCAATGAAAAAGGAGAAATAACTATTTCACTTTGGTACTTTCTATCCTGCAGAAATTCTATATTGGCTAATTGGACCCGGGTATCTGATAATCGAGGCATTTTCTCATGTTTGCAGAGGGTATTATAATTTCAGTCAGATGTTTGCAACGCAGTGAAGGAGACGATTCCGACCACATAAAGTATATATATTCTTGATCAGCACCAACAGCCGAGTCTATCTAGCCATGTCCGTCTGTCCGTTTCTATGCGAACTAGTCTCTCAGTTTTAAAGCCATCGCGATGAAACTTTCCCGAAAGTCTTCTTTCCATTGCAGGTAGTACATATGTCGGAGCGAGCCGGATCGGACCACTATATCTTAAGGCTGCCATAGAAATATTCAAAAACAACATTTAAATAGAAACGCTGAATCTGGAATCCCTGGAACTGCACCGAGTGAGCATTAAACTATAGGTATTTACTTTATCTGCAAAGGTATATAAGCTTCGGCTGGTCGAAGGTAGATTCCTTTTTTGTTTTAATATGTTTATAAGGCCTGTTCCGAATTTTACTTTCGAGAAATTTGGTGGACTTTGATTTTACTATGCAACTTGGGAAACTTTACAGAAACTTTTCTGAAACAATCAAGTTTTAAGCCTTCTTTCTAGCTATTAAGAACCGTGCAAACCGAAATAGAGTAAAATAATCGTAAATATGATTGTATTTTTAATTTTCACCTACCGGCTGCATACTGCTCCATGACATCCTTAACGTCGTAGGGTTTCAAGGCCTCCTTGAATTTCCTTCGTGCCACAAAGTACTTGAGCTGTTGGTTAAACAAGTACCCGAGTTTTAGATCAAGTGCACAGTATTACAGGGAAGTCCCGCAGTCTGGACCCTCACCTTGCGTATGAACCTGATGGCGGTTTTGTGCCGGTTGGTTAGCTGCGTGCAGCGCGGCTCGTCCTCCTCATCTGCGGGCAATTTGTGAATCAGAGAGATTGACTTGTGCGTTAGGTTTTGGTTGCTAGCTTCGCTTGTTGGTTATTGGTTTTTTTGGTTTTTTTTTGGATATGGTTAATCAAGTCAACGTCAACGCAAATATACAACAACACATACAAAAGTACCGTTACACACACATATGGAACAATTAGTAAATACATATGGATTATCATTAATATATAGAGATAGAGAGCTTAGTTAGTTAGTTAGTTAGTAAATGCGAGGCCGAAGGATCCCCCAGCCCAGATACTGAAGCAAGCGTTGTGGTGTGAGGTGTCGCAGTGTGATGGAGGGGTATGGATTTCAGGTGGGTCGGGTGGCAACAGATACCTACATCAACTACAAATCAAACTGCTGGGGGAAGGGGATACTCTATTTGGGGGGTGGACAGCATGCAGCCCTAGCGCAGGCGGAGGAGATACATTGCAGGTACGTTCGGAGTTTCGATTCTCTGGTTAGCACGCACTTGCCACATCGCCAGTTGGATTTGGGGTGCTGAATCCGGTCTCCAGAAAGTGCGATGCAGCCGCAAAAAAGCGACCTGTGCGTCCACTGCCCGGACTGGGATTCGGACTGGAACAGGGACTCCCCGGCTTGGCGGGCAGCGGCAAGGTGTTGCTCCGCTGGCAAGTATCTCTCTGGACCTCTCCCTCCTCCTCCTCCCGGCCAGCTTCCAGATCCCGATCGTTGGCCGGAGCCACCCGAGGATTGCGCAGCGAAAGCGTCGAGCCCAAGAAGCTGCCGTGCAGGAAGCCGTAGAGCACCACCGGAATGGTGAGATTTCTCCTAGAACCACTGACCTTGGCCTGCTCCTCAGCCTGATCCCCATCCCCATTCCGATCCTGATCCTGATCCTGATCCTGATCCCGATCAGGAAACTGGGCCAGGGAGCCCGCACTCGAGCTGAGCTTGCAGTGGGCCAGCGTCGCGGGCTGGCTGGCTAAGTTAAGTTAAGATTTGTGGATTATAGGACCCATTGGGAGGGGGAGTAGTCGTGTTAGGCAACCAACCAACAAACAACATCAATTCAAAGTTCAATCAATCTTATCTCTGGGATGCATTGGATTCACAACATTGACACAACCACAACACTCAAATACAATAATAGTGTGATATAACAATCGTTTTATCTGTTTTTGTTTTTTTTTTTTGGATATTCGTATTGTAGGACCTGGGGGAGAGGACCTTGTAGACTTACCGTCTGAATTTTTAATATTTTTTAAGCAAGTGGTTTCAGCAACTGAATCTTCGCTGAAACTTGGATTCATGGATTTGCCGTTTTGTACTACCTCTGCAAAATTTCAAATCAAACGTTAAACTCGACAATCAAAACTCCACTCATTGCGAATCGGAACAGCGTTTCTGTAACTGTAACTGGAATCGGATGGTTGCCAATATATATCTGCGATTCGAGAGACACGGTACACTCTAAATATGGGTCGTACAATATTGCACCGATTAACACGATTGTGAGAACAAATCAAAAGTAATGCGCCACAGTGAGAAATCAAAACATCCAACTTCTAAGAACAACAACGAAAACGTAATTCTTTTAATTGGTTAAATGTTTTTTTTTACTTTTTCTTTGGTTACTGTATTTGTTTGTTGGTAAATTTAAGAAAGACTTCGGGCTTAATGGGATTAATTTTGTGTAGGCTGGTGTTTATTTATGGCTGCTAATGAGAATTGGACCTTAATGAAGTTCGTAAAGCTTATCTGGCTAATGTGTATTTGACTTCTTAAATGTTATATATCACGAAAATAAATTTTCTTCAATTTTGTTATTATAAAAAAATGTTTAAAAAATTATATAGTTTTTTTATTTTATACCTAAATTTATTAGGACTTTTTTACAGGGACCGTAAATAATGATTATTTTCGCTATTTTTAAATGAATAAATCATACACTTCCAATCAACATAGAACAAGCTTGACTAGAACGTTTTTATCCTTTAAGGCTACACTATGAATATCCTTGATGATTTTTAATTTTTAATTGTTATATTTATTCTTCTATTGTTACACATTATTTTTGAGCAAAAAAAATAAAAATCACAAATAATCATTATTTTTGAGCAAAAAAAATAAAAATCACAATCATTATTTTTGAGCAAAAAAATAAAACTCAAAAATAATGATTATTCGTGATTTTTATTTTTTTTGCTCAAAATAAAACTCACCAAGCAACAACTTTTAATCCTTTAAGGATATTGCCAATATTGTCCTATGTCCTTATAAAGGGACCCTAGAGCAACAATTGACAACAACAACAACAACAACAAAACGTATTTTACCTGTGTTTGTTGCAATTATTTAATATAAGGTCAACTGTTACATACAGATCAGCAGCAGCAGATATACACAATTACTAAAACAATGATTATAATGATAATGATAATCATCATAATGATCAACCAGTAGAGCAATTAGGTACATTAATTTTCAATTTATTATGTATTTATATAATTTTTATTTAATTTTAGGAATAACAATTTTGACAGCGACTCGCTCGACAAGTTGCACCTTTGGTCGGTTAGCATTATTTTAAGCGCAGAAAAGGCACGCTCTACGCTAACTTGGGTAGCTGGAACCGCAAGCACCACCTTAGCAAGCTGATATAAATTATCATTATAATCATTCTTTTAGTAATTGTGTATATCTGCTGCTGCTGATCTGTATGTAACAGTTGACCTTATATTAAATAATTGCAACAAACACAGGTAAAATACGTTTTGTTGTTGTTGTTGTTGTTGTCAATTGTTGCTCTAGGGTCCCTTTATAAGGACATAGGACAATATTGGCAATATCCTTAAAGGATTAAAAGTTGTTGCTTGGTGAGTTTTATTTTGAGCGAAAAAAATAAAAATCACGAATAATCATTATTTTTGAGTTTTATTTTTTTTGCTCAAAAATAATGATTGTTTGTGATTTTTATTTTTTTTGCTCAAAAATAATGATTATTTGTGATTTTTATTTTTTTTGCTCCAAAATAATTATTAGTTTTGATTTAAAAAATTAAAAATCGATAAGTAATCATTACAAAGTAATTTTTAAAATATTACTTATAATGATTACGGTCCCTGCTTTTTTATTTAATTTAAATATCAAATTTATCAGTTTTGTTTTAGATAAGATAATAAAAATACTTTTTCTATGAAAAAAACAATTTTTATCCGTAATTAATGTACGCCAAATACGATTGTAATGGCTAGATTCGAGAACTTTAGTAATAGACTTGCTGAAGCGTTATATAACTGTAATAACTCAATAAATATCGCATCAAAACCGACTAAAATGCTTTATTGTTTGATTAATGAGCGGTTTATTGACAATTTATTTAAGTGGAATTTATTGCAAAACGCTGCATGCATAACAAAACGAAACGTAGGAAAACAAAATTCCCTGAAACTAAATTGGCTTTAAATAATATTTTTAGGATCGGTCAAGCCATATAATTTCCAGTTTAATCTCTTTTATTTTCATATAATCTTCTGTTTTGGATGTGAGATTTGACTTGTTGGTAAAATTTTTGGAAACTGTGTAAATAGCAAAAGAACTCCCGATTATTCTGTTATTATTTGTTCAACAATAAAGTTTGAAAGAACAACATGCTTGGGCCGAACAGTACGTTTCGTTAATTTAAGGCGTCGTTTTGTTTTTATTTTTTAGAAACAAGTAAATTTTGACACACCTCTTAAAATTGCTTTAAGAAATAACTTCGAAGAAATATTAAAAATGTACTCTGAAGCAGATAAAAAGTATTTTTTGTAAGAAATTTAACAATATATCTAGACATTGTGAATTCGAGAGTGTTTTCTCTCCCATTTAGAAGTTGCTTAGTAAATGATTATATTTCAGATATATTAGGTAATATATTATAAATATTTCAGAGCTTCGTCTTAAAGTCACGAAACGCACTTCTATATATCCTCGTAAGCTGTGTGTGTGTCTGTGCAAGTGGGCTGTGTGCAAACAGAAATTCGCAATGGAATGGAAATGGGAAACATAAACGGAAATCGGAAAGAGCTGCCCGATGGCCCACCAACTTACCCAGGTTCTCCACGGACGCATTGATGTCCCGGATGGTGCGGGTGTACCTCGTGGAGGCTCTCGACGAGCCCGGCGGCTTGGACACTCCGCCGCCGTCGCCTCCGCCCGGAGTCTGGATCGTCTGGCTCTTGTGCCGCCGGATGGTGGGCAGCCGGGCCACGAAGGACGTGTTGTGCTTAAAGCTGGAGGACGCCCGTCTGCATCGAAGGGAGTGGGGAAAAATCTCTCAATCAAAACGCAAATACTAAGGCTTATCACATAGTTGTTCTTATAGTAAAGAGATAGGTTATCTGGCAAATAGTTAGTTAACAGGATACGACTGTGGTTCAAAGTGAAGGTGTAGGTGTGTAGCTGTGTGTGTGTTTGTGTAATTGCTCATACATACATAGAGAGGTGAGGATAGGAGTACTTAAAATTGGCAATTTGGTGCTGAGGCAACAACATTGAACATTTATTCCAACATTAACAAGAGAGAAATGGAGTGCTGAGGAGTCGATGAATTTCCGACTACCCGCCCGTAATTCGAAATGAAAGCATCGCTTATTATAGCACTGTTTACTGCCAAGTTATCTTGTATTTATCTACAAATATTTTTGCGTTTTATCTGAGTACCGGCTGAGATTCACCTTCTAAAAACTGCTTTTATTGTACTTGTCTTTGAAAATGAATTTAGAACTTAACAAATATTTTTGGTTGCACTATTTCAAATAACTTATTTACTTTTAAAAAATGATTATATTAAAAAAATGTTATCGAATTAAAATAATTTGCTAAGATATAAATTATATAACTTTTTGTTAGAAATATGTGAATATTTAATAATAATTAATAGAAAATTGAATTAATTTTATTACGACTGTGTTTTTTTTTAGCATGTTTTATTAAAATTTTCGGACTTCTGCTGTATATTAAAATCTTTAGGTTCCTGGACGATGCTTTGATCTTTGAAAACGGGACTATGGGATAAGAGGCAACGAGGTGCTACGGTCAAAAATCGTAAAAGTTCGGGGAGTGAGAAATTGGATTGTGTCTTCAGTTGGCTTGGTTATTAAAGGGTAAAAGGAGCGAGAGAGAGAGATAATCGAATAAAAAGCTTTTCACTCATTTGGCTTCATTGAACTCACGTGTTAATTATAGATTATACACACATTTATATGCATTTTTATGGAGTTTTTTGGGCGCGGGCAGCAGAACACACAAAATAAGAATCAATTCGTATTACATTGATTAATCGTACTTCGGTCATTGGGAAAAGTTTCAAAAATTTAGCAAAGAGAGAGAGATAGAACGAAACTGGTGCTGATGGTAGAAAAGCTGCGAATTAACTTGATTCAATTTAGGTTTTTGATGTGGGAGCCATGTCTACTGATGTGGGTGCTTTTAGGGGGCTGAGGAGCACCGCCTGTACAGAATGATTGGCAGATTGCTTTAAGTCTTGCTTGGCTTGATTTTGATTGCTTTTGTTATGGTTATCAAGTTTTACCTATATTCAGTTATGTTTTTTAATAATCGCTCCCAGTTTTCAGAACTGAAAATGTTTACAAAAATTATATTATCTATGGGAATAATTAAATTATATAGAACATAAGTGATTAATCGGGTGGAGAGAAGAAAGACGGATAGAGAGACAGTCGGGTGGATATAGTTGATCGGGCTACTAGATATAATATCTTTAATTCTAACTATGCTGAGTGTTTCGGGTTAATTAGTGTTCTTGTTCTGTACATGGTTATGGCTAATTCAAATTTCCAATTTCATGCCCTGAGCTGTACATGACCATTTACCGAATTCAGCGCCTTTCTATGCGCTTCTCAACATGTCTAGATAGCCAGCTCATAAACACACTTTAAAGTTTTCTCTTTGGTTAAACACAACAATGCAGATTGTGTTTGTGTTTGTGAGTAAGTGTGCGAGTGTTTGTGACTGTGTGAGTGTTTTTTCATTACTGTACAATAGTCGTTGAATTTCTTCTCTGCAAAATATCCCCAAAAGAAACTTCAGCTTCGTATAGAATTTCCGCACCCAAAAAGGATTGGTCCAAATGGATTCAATACTTACGAAGCCGGTGGACTGGGCAGGGCCACCCGGTGGATATTCCACGTGGCCACCGACACGGAATGCTCGTCAGCCGCATAGCATCGCCACACGGCCTGAATGAGAGTGGCCGCTGGCTGGCGTCGCCGGATCATGTGCTTCTGCCGCTGCTGCTGCTGCACTTTCAGAGCAAATCCACTTCCAAGGATGCCCTAGAAAGAGTTACGATTGGATAATGAAATGGATATATAATAATTGGATCAAATTTGACATTTTATGGTGTTTTTGTTAAAGACTTACCGCAGGGAGAGCGAAGAAGGAGATTCCCAGAAGAGCACAACAGGAGGCAATTAGCTTGCCTTGCCAGGTGATCGGCACCATGTCTCCATAGCCCACTGTGCAGAGTGTGATCTTAAACCGCAAATGGTCAGCTAGGATTTTGAATATTTACTGAAAGCCTTAACACTCACCACTCCCCACCAGAGGGCCTGGGCAAAATTGCTAAACTTGTCATTAACGTCCTTCTCCCACATATAGACCAGGAATGATGCAAAGATTAGACCTAAGAACCCTATGTACATGGTTGTTATCAGCTCCTGTATGAAGAAAAGTAAACAAATATATGTACGAGATCTCAGAACACAAGTTTGCTTCAATGTCAGTTATCAAACGTATTCAATTGATGATTAAACTGCTGTTATCTATATTACTAGTGTCAACTTCAACGGCACTTCAAAGGTTTGCAATCCACATAAGATTTTTCCACTTCCAATAAGTTATTCATTTCATTAGAAAGATGGTAAGCTAACTCACCTGTCTGTGTGCATATACAACCGAGCCGAGCAACTTCCAGGTGCCGCCCCGTCGATCCATGCGCACCATCCGAAGAATCTGAAAGAACCGGAGGCCACGTAAAGCACTCGTGGCAAACACCTGGCCCGAGGTGCCCATCCCTAATACTACGATTGAGGCTAAAATGGTGACAATATCTGAAACACGCAAATTCGATGTAGTTTCTTAGGTTTAGTAACTTTAGTTGTAAGGTTAACCCACCTATAATACAGAATGGTCGTTTCACGAACTTCATCCGACCCAGGCAGCCCTGGTATCGCGATCGGCAGCCCGATGACCAAAGACGGGCTCCGAATTCCATCGTGAACCAGATGACCACCAGAATCTCCATGCGGAACAGGATGTAGACGGCGTCCTCTTCGTACTCCTTGATGGTGGAAAACACACTGAGCGCCAGGCAGGTGAACACCATCAGGAATCTTAAGGCAAAATTGAAGAATTCAGAAAAGGTGGAATAGTTACTATGTTAAAGTTACTACGCTAGCACACCTAAGTGTCCTTATAAAGGTAATGTATTTAATAAAAATATAAATCTATAAAAATAGATTATCATATAAATAATTTAAAAGAAGACATTAATTGAGACGAAATTTGTATTTTTTAAATTATTTAAAAACTACGTTGAACTATTTAAATTGATTGCATTCTTTTAATTAAAAAAACTTTTAATTTGTACAGAATGATAAGAGTATTAAAGTATCTTCCGGATGCCGTAAAAATATTACTGGGAGTGTACTTACACCATCACATGGTAGAAGATGGCATGCAGGCCGCGCGGCCGCTCCAGGAAGTTGTAGAGGCGACTCTGGAGGCGCCGGTAGCGAACATCGCGGCGGGTGCCGCGGTTGTAGTTCAGCGGCTTTCCTAGGAGCGACATTCGCGGTTGCAGGATTCGTTCCGAGTTCGGCCTGCCCGGTCTACATTTCCTGCAATCCACACAAAAGCAAAATAATATTTATTTATTTATTGTTTGCACTCGAAAAAGCTCTTCAGCTGGAATTATGGTTTCTGGTATACCCCTTGTAACCCCTTATGTCGTAGAAGGCATATATATCGTTGTCCGGATCCATTGTGATCTCATTCCACCCGTATGAGTTCTCAGTAAATCTCAACTAATATTTTTGACACTTTGGACACGTCTGGCTCCGACGACGATTGAACCGCAACTCGATCGACGGCTGAGCGTCGGCCGGTTAAAAAACCTTCCTTAACAACTAGACTTTCAAAACCCCATGTGTAAATTTTATTAATTATCTACATAAACAGTTTCTTCGTTCCACACACCTTGCATTTTTACGACAGCCCAAGTCTGCGTAGACCTCTATTTGATTTTATTTTAATATATACCCTATATACCCAAGTATATTGCACCTCGTCATCAACAAAGTGCCATAAAATTTCGCGTATTTTAGCGACGTTTTCGTTTTGGTTCTCCTTCGCTGTTGTGGGCGGGTCAGGTTCGCTTTAGTCACGATCTCTCGACTTTGTCTTTGCCCAACGTGCTGGCGAGTGATCGTACGTCATTAACATTAGGCACTTGCCATACCCCACAAACAAACCCAATATGGGTGAGTTTTGGCAATTAGTTCGGGTGTGCTGGAAAATTACCAGCCGCTGAGGGGAGAGTTCTATTTAATATTGGTATTGGATTCCAGAAGGGTTCATTCGTACAAATGAAATAAAACCACAACAAACGATCAGCAATACCTGTGTCGGGTAAGTAATAGTTATCAAATCTCATGGTTTATATATAAATAAATTCTACCTATTTATTTAGGAAAATTGTAATTTACGCAGCTTAGATCATTTTAGACTTAGTTCAGAAAGATTAGTTCTTAAGTAAATATTTCAGGTTTTACAGTTAGTAAATCTGCCTATACAAGCAATGATCTTATAACAAGGCAATCCCAATAAAAAGCTTTTGTAGTCATTATTGATGCGTTTCAAATGCTATTCATTAACAGGACAAAGAAAAAGTTAACAATAAATGAGTTGTATGGCTCATCTTCGATTTACATTATAAATCAATGCAAATTTTATATGAATCAGCAAAATACACAATTACAGATTATAGACACGCTAGTTATCGTGATTTCACTGGCCAGAATTCTTAGTTCCCGAACAAATAAATAACATATGTATGTGCCAATGTATCAATGTTATTAAAAGTACACACACTATAGGAAGTCCAAACAAAGTAATGAGCAAGGGAATTATTTTTTATTAAAAATGTATTTTTATTTTTTAAGGATGATAAAGAAAATAATTTTTTTAGTTAACCAGCAATTAAAATTACTGTAGGTCGTCACTACATCACTTATTATCGCACCGATAATATATACTATCAAGCAAAACACCAACACGAGGAAAAAACTAGTGACGATTGTACCTTTAACATACAAAAGTTCTGATATTTAAAAAAATTATTACACTTGTCAATAAATACACCTTCAAAACTTTTCTCATTTCAAAAGTTTTTTTCAGTTTAAAACAAATGGTACAATGTGTAGCATTAAGACGGTTTAGGTTTGTAAACTGGATGTACCATTTCTAAAAGTTAGCTTTTTAATGAATGTATGAATGAACGATTTGTAAAGTTTAAAAAATGATAGCTGATCATACACTTTGCTTTTTAAAGTGTAATGGTTAATGTAAATTTATACTTTTTGAACACAAAAGATAGTGATATATAATAACAAAAATATTAATAAAATTAATATATAAACGTTATTAAAAGCGCTACTATTGTTCAAAGTAATAATTCTATATTAATAAACAAATCCTCAAATGTGGAAAAAGCCCTGTAGGTAGGAATGCTAAATGGACGTATAGCAATCATAAATAGTTATTTTTCCGCTAATTGCATGTGGGAAGCGGGAGAGCCAGTTCTCCACAGGTCTCTTTTTCAGCAACTTTTCAAAGCTCGAGCAATATAATTGTGCTGAAGTCAGTTATCGACATAGAGATCGCGAAAGCTCTTCACTATCCACGATCCGTGAAAATGCGCCTGTGTTGAGTGGTTTTGATTCCGCTCTATGACTCATACATATCTTATCTTCCAGCGATCCCAACGGAAAGTGCTGCCCATCACCATTAAACGGAGAGAATCGGTAAATTTTAAAATTGTTTAATGCATTCTTGCTTGTTTTTTGTTTTGTGTTTGTATTTTCGTTTGTATTGTGTGGCTTAGGTTAGGCAGTAATTAAAATATACGATGTGGGTGCGCAATAATGCTCGCTTGGCCGTTTTTGAAAACGTATTTACAAGGTGGTTCGCCGGGGGGAACAGAACAGAACAGCACATTAACAGTAGCAGTAGAGTACGTTAAGTATAAATGAATCGTGCACAAGATCACAAGTTGTAGCACCAGGCGGGGGACGAAGCGCGGTAGTCGCAGGGGCAATGCTAATCCTCTCCAGTTCCAGTTCCGGAAGCAAAAAGCAAGAGCCCCCATTTCACTTCTTGGCATCGATGATGATCTCGTCGCCCGACTGGATGTTGTAGCTGTACAACTGCTTGTTGGGGAACCGCATCTCCTCGGGCCCGAACTCCTTGTAGTCCTGATCCAGATAGTACAGACGCATCTTGTTGGGCGCCAGGCCCACGAGTTTCTCCAGCTTGGCCTTCAGATCGTTGACGGTCAGGTAGATGTCCACGAACCGGCTCTCGCTGACATCGTTGTAGGTGAACAGGACCTTGACCCGCTTGTCCGGCTTCAGGCTCACGCTGACCAGGGGATCCAGCTTGCCGTGGATGCGCAGGAGCTCCTCGTAGCGCTCGGGCCGCTCGTCCTCCGGCTTGTCCATATAGTATCGCACGAAGGCCCGTTCGGAATCGACGCGCTCGTCGTTGCTGATCTTGCCGCCGCCGTTGAGCATCTCCACATTGGGCAGTCGGGCTATCAGGAGCTGCCTCCTCTCGTGCTCCGTGCACTCCAGACTCTCCCACAGGGGCCAGTGCTTCACCCGGAGGTTGCGCAGCTGCCCAAACTTGGCCAGCTGGTCGATGGCCGTCCAGCTGTCCAGTTGCGCGGAGCTGAGGTTCAGCAGCCTCAAGCTGGGGAAGTACTTGTGGGTCTCGCCGCTCTCCTCCGCCTGCAGCGATCTGATGGGACAGTCGGCCAGGACCAGGGCTTCCAGGTTGGGGAACAGCCGGCCCAGACGGCAGATCTCCTGCCAGTGCTCGACGGGATTGCCGGTGAAGTGCAGGGTCTTGAGGGCGGGATGGGCCTTGGTGACTCGCCGCTCCGTCTCCTCCGGCGTCTCCGTTTCCTGCAGCCGCTGCTCCGCCTCCTCGGCGTCGATCAGCACCTGCCTGTAGTTGTTCAGGCTGAGGTGCAGCTCCTGCAGCACGGGCAGGTGCTTCAGCAGGGCGTCCACGCAGGCCCAGTCCAGGTAGGTGCCGTTCAGCACCAGGCTCTTCAGGTTGATCGTCGGCGCCGTGGGCAGCGCGCTAATCGGACTGGCCAGCTGGTTCTTGCTCAGGTTGAGGAACTCGATGCGCGGCATGTGCTCCAGTATGCTGAAGACCTCCGACCAGTCGCTCAGCTTGTTCTGGGCCAGGTCCAGTTCCCTCACCCGCTGGCACTTCTCCCGGATGCTCTCGAAGTCCCCGGCCGAGTCGATGTCGCAGTCGTTGAGGACCAGCAGCGCTGGCACGCTGGTCAGGGGCGAGAGGCGGGGTATGAAGATGGAGAACTCCATGCGTCCGCCGCACTTGGTGACCGTAAAGTCGTTGGGCAGGTCACTCCGCTTGTGCAGTTCCGGCTGGTGGGCATTCTCGAACTCGCATTCTGCGAAGTACTTGCGCTCCAGCGCCTCCAAAAGGGAAGGCATTTCGGATCGGAACGGGTGTGCAGGATAGGTTCAGATCTCAGATCTCAGAACTCAAATCCCAGATACCAGATCCCCCCACTATTATTCTCTATGAGGTCTACTTGTTTGGCCCCCTATTGATTTTCCACTTTTCCTCGCACATAGACTTCTTCCTGGCCTTCCGTTCTGTGCTGGCTATGATGCAATTTTTCAGTTTTGCGCAGTTGCAGTCTTCATTGATTTTAAACAAATTATTGCGCACGTTTCACGTTTGTTGTATTTTTTGCACTTAATTATTGCGCACTAATTCGAGTCTTTTTGTTTCGATTTTGATTTCGACGTGCCTCGATGTTAAAAAAAGACCGTAACAAAGAAACCCAAAGTGCGTTGGTCTTGGCTGGCCTTTTTTTCCGAATCTCTCCAGCCAGCTTAGATGCGTTTTCCCTTTGTTGTCGTTTTGTGTTTGTCGCTGCTGGTTAACCTTTGTCGCAGTGGCCAGCTTTTCCGCTTTTCTGCTTTTCTGCTTTTCCACAACGCTCTCCGTCCGCTCGCAGTGCCACCAAACGCTCAACTAACCACCGAGAACCGCGCCAACTCCTCAGCGGTCGGTGGTGCAGTGCCTCTGTGTATGTACGAGTGTATATGGGTGAGTCGTGTGCTCGTGTTCGGACTCGGATTCTGGCCTGTTTAGTGCTTTTTGTGTGTAGGTCGCTCGACATGCGCACAGGAGCGGTTCGTGGCTGATGAGGGGGCCGTTCCCTGTGAATTTAGGCCGAGAGGAGGTTTCACTAGTCCAAATGCGATAAGTTCCCGTCTGAGGCCCGTCCGAAATCCGACCAGACAAGAACTTATCGGTTAATTTTGAATAAGCCTAGAAAATAAGAAAAAAATCGACTCTGGGGCGTACTTCTCACGGCCCCCTACCTGTAAGGCTTGTAGTCACCACGCATGAAACACAGAACAATTTACGACTCGAAATTGCGAAATGATTTCATCAATGATATCAAGGAGGAGTGACTATCAACTCTTTCTTTATTATAAAATATGTTATGATTTTTAAAAACGCGTGTTATAAGTATTTTTTTTAAAAACAGATTACTTGGTTCTGTAGGCGCAATTTAGCAGATTAAGCTTAGGGGGCTCAAAATTTCTTTACAGATCTGTGGGCCCAATTTCGGGCGCTGCGTACGTCCGCCCCCCATGTAAACGATTTGACAGCGACCTTGCCGACCAAAAATAAATACTCTGTTTCAATTACGAAATTTTGTTTAAACTAAGACGGCAGAACAAATTATTTGTTTGGCTTGCTCTCGCTTATTTTTTTGGGGTTTCTGGCGCAGGCAGAAATAGAATACAGGGAGGGGTGGGGAAATATTAAAAATAAATAAATACATTTACAATGACCTTGTCTCGTGTGCACTTGACAGGGGCCCTACAAAATGAGCCAAAAAACTGAATAGAATTGTGATTCATTCGACTGTCAATTTTGGCGCCCTAGTTTTCCCGTGAAAAGGGAGTGCGCCTCTGGCGGGCCGTGAGGAAAACCAGTTATAAAGTCAATGGTCATGCCACAGTGGGTACTCATTACAAGTGACACATGGCCAATTGCGATGCCGAGTGACAGGAGCAATTGCAAGCGGCGTGGGGCAATGCAAATAAATAAATTAAATAGATTGATTTAAATTCTGTGTGACCTTGCAGTTCATAAAGTGCCGTTACATGGCGGGTGGTGGGTTGCTAGTCAAAGGGGTTCCACTTTACAGCTTGAAAGGTGCGCAATAGATTCGCGAGAGATCGAAACGAATGGGGAGGGGGGATAGAGCGAAAGGGGAAGTAATTGAGAGGGTTTCAGAGAGCGGAGAGCAAAGCGCCAATTTGCAACACACAAAGCCCCCGCTCTCTTTCTCTCTCTCTCTTCCACACAGCTGGGCTTTGTTGTCCCACGAAAACAAAGCAAAAACAAACAAACGGGGGAGAGTGGAAATCACCACTCACATGTTTGTTTGCATTACGGTGCTTTAACGGACAACAAAAAATTACGCAGCATTTGTGCTGGAGCTTTGGCAGCCACCAGCTGATTGTGTTTGGGCAGAAAAGCTCCCCTCCCATCAGCCAAGACCCCACCACCTCACCTCTGCCACCCAATTTGGACCCAAAAGCTTTCGCACCATGTGCAACACCAATCAACAAACAAAGAGCAAACAGATGGCAGCACTGTGTCCGCTCTTTTGTGCTTTTCCTTTGTCATTGGGGGCGTTATGGTTCGAGTTGTTGTAACGCCGTCTCCACATCGAAGGTTTCGCTATACGGTACGACCTTAATAAAGGCTACGAATAAGCTTAAAAAAGTTGTATCAGTTTGAAACGTTAATTTTTGAAAGTTAAACCAATCAGAAGTATATTGCCACCATACATTTATCATAAAAATTTTACTACAAATACACGTATCTACTTTTTCAATATATTTGCATAAATCAAAGCCGTTATAATAATATTCAAGCTGAATTTCTGTTCTGATCGGAAAAATGTATCTTTAAAAATCAATATTTTTCTCAGACGTCCATATCCGTTAGTCAGAATTTGCATAAAGAGTGATCTTACCGGAAACAGTTGATTTGCTATGCTTCATATCTTTACTTTTGTATTTTTACTTGTATTAAATATTTTCCAAAAATTATGTAACTAATTTAAGTGGAACTCCCGACTTTATGAAGGATTGCTTTAAAAATATTTCCCACCATTCTGTTTGTGCTAGTAAATTCAAGTTAACTGAATTGGAAGTAATATTTTTACCATCTCTCTTTAAAAACTCAATTTCATATTTAAATTAAATTTGGTGAATTTCTCGTTACAGAATTTCGACTGCAATTGGCTTTGTTTTTTTTCCCGCCACCGTTCCGCATGACTGAAGACAATTTGCGAATATTTCACTGTGCAGGCGCCCATAAATATGGTTGATAGATAAAAGTGTTTGTACACACATGCAAGCTAATATTCCGGATTGACAGCCAGTTGCAAATTGGTCAATGCCTGAGCAGGGTTCAATCAGAATCCTGCAATATTTCGCTTTACATGCCTTGCCTATTGTCGCTTTATGAAAAGAATTTCGAGAATATGAGGAATGGAAAAGTCAAAAATGTTGACAGCTTGAAAAATACCTGTATCATGGAGGGTATGAATTTTAAACTACCTTGAATTTGGCTTAAACTGCATAAAGTTGATTGCTTATTTTTATAAAAAGTATATTATCGATACTACATAATACTAACTGTAGTCAAATACTTTGATTTATTTGACTTATTGTTCAAATGTTTTTAAGAGGTATAAAGAGATTCCAAAACAAACGTGCCACCAAAAATCATTAATAGCTATTGTGGGAAGTGGACATTCGCTGACCATTCCTATACAAATCTCTTTATGGGGCTCTTAACCCCAGAAGTCAATCACTTAAGTAGGCCTGAACCTGTGCCATATAGCCGAGTTGAGGACTCGTGTGTGTTTGCATCTATCAAGTCATCAATTATGTTGACGACCCACATCGCTCAATAGCTATACGCTACATGCGTTTTTTTTTTGTATACGTATACGTATTGGCTGTAGCCAATTTCAAGCACCCCTAAAGAATGCGTCTATATTTAACCAAAATCGTTGGGACTTTTGCGCTTAGACTTGCTGGCATTTTCGCTATGTGAGATAATAGTTGAAAAATATATAATTTTCTGTTATGGTTTGTCGACGAAAGAAGAGCGGCGAATAAGTCATTTGTCAATAGAATTTTCATTTCATTTGACTTTTCCCCAGTGACCAGTCCATAATTCAGTCCAGTCCTCTGGGCCACAGGTCACTTTGACCGTCAACAATCGTATATCTCTCACTTTATATCATATATCACATATCATGCATCATGTATATCAGCTAAATTTATTATTTGCTGATCTATATGCGCATTGATTTGCCTTTATTGGGGCCTTTTCATGAAGATGGATGCGTTTGGCGGTAATTAGGAATTCTCTGTTGCTTTGCAGCGATATAAATATTGCTTTTATGGCCACAAAAACGCTGGCTTTTGTTTACACGTGGGATCGGCACAAAGGCCTGGTATAATCCAGCCCATTGAATTTTCAAATCGATTGCGTCAATTAATGCAGAAACTAGACGAGTTCTTGTGGGTCGGTCGTAAAGTTTCTAAAAATTGTGCTGGTGTGTCTGCGACGTTTAACGACTTTAAAGCGAATGGCACACAACCTCAGCAATGGCAGCGTAAACAATGATATGAAATGGCACAATTTTCCCTCGGCAGCATCTTTATTATACCCGTTACTCGTAGAGTAAAAGGGTATACTAGATTCGTGCAAAAGTATGTAACAGCTAGAAGGAAGCGTTTCCGACCCCATAAAGTATATATATTCTTGATCAGGGTCACTAGCCGAGTCGATTTAGCCATGTCCGTCTGTCCGTCTGTCCGTCTGTCCGTCTGTCTGTCTGTCTGTCTGTCTGTCTGTCTGTCCGTCTGTATGAACGCTGAGATCTCAGAAACTACAAAAGCTAGAAGGTTGAGATTTCCCACACATATTCTTTGGCTTCCTACGCAGCGCAAGTTTATTTTAGCCGAGCGCCACGCCCCCTCTAACGCCCACAATCGCCCACTAACGATTTTAAAATGGGTCCTGCGCCCACATCTTTAAAGATTTCCGAGAAGTATAAATGCAATTTTGTTGTGTATATTTATACCTATCGAAATGTAAAAGACCATTCATTAAAAAGTTATACGCAATCAAAAATTATATATCTATCTCCCTCGCACTCCCTTTAGCTGAGTTACGATTATTAGTCGGGACACCAACCCGACACAGCGTTCGCACTCCCTTTAGCTAAGTGACGGGTATTAGATAGTCGGGACAACAACCCGACTATAGCGTTCTCTCTTGTTTTTCATCTTCTTTGTCTCTTTCAGAGTCTAGACGGAATTTTGAATTATTGCACGATACCCAGTGTCAACAGCATCCACTCTCCCTGGTTGGGAGTAGATGTGTCTGGTCGGCGGCTAACCTTGCGTATGAGTAATTTCATTATGATTAGCCGCCTTGTGCTGCATTTCAAATGAGGTTTGCGGGACCATTCAACGGTTGATATATGAACATTT